ATATTTGAAATGAAAGTATGATTTACATACTCTCTGTTCAGTAAAAAACCAAATAAAGCTTTGACATAAGACTATGATGTTACGGATCTGGTTTTTTTATCATTTTAAGGTTGAAATTTTCATTTTGACTGTGAAAAAGATTTCCCTCTATTTGTATATGTGCCTCCAGGGGTATTGTATTGGGAGAATTGAGGTTGGTGATGTGGATCATGGGTCTCTAGACAAAGTCAATGCTAACCTGGTCTAGCTCTATTTACACCATCAGTAATCCTACCTCAGTGGTTCCTTATTGAATTGACATGAAACTTGTTAGGGATGAGCAATCTACAATAATAAGTATTTGAAATGGCCTTAAAGCTGCTTTCTGACCTTTTGGTTAGTCAGCTGTTCCTGTGTAATGTGTATAAAGTTGACACTTGTAAGCTTATTGGATGCTGTACTCAGACTGAGCTAAACCAGATTACCTGCTTTGGAGTATATGAAAAAATTAATAAGTGATTTTGTAGACAGACGTTGTGTTAGACTCTGAATTATTGATTGATCTGGGAGACATTGATTGGTCAATGGATTCCACATCAATCAAAAACTACGTTATTGTGCAGAGTTGGGAGAAGCTGGGTGAGGTGAAAGGCGCCACATGTAACTGGTAGACGCTATCAGATGTTGCAACAGAATCGTTAAAATTCATTTGGTGACTAATACATCTTCAATATTATAGCTCCGTAGTCGTGATCAACTGTGATCAATTTCTAAGGGCACCTGTCTTCACTGGGAACTCTAGAGTTATATACATGTTACATCTTTACATGAAACAAACTTAGGTTGCAAACGATTGGTAGCTGTGGGATTTGTGATGGTCACATGTCTATCCACACTACTAGACTAACACAATTAGAAAATCATCGTTCAAGAGGACATCCATATTGTTGATGAACTAGAAGAAAGGTTGGGTCTGTATGGTGTAAGAGTTTTGTATAATGTCTAATACTGTTGACACATCTGATGACATGTCTGGTGACACATCAAATGATAATGGTACGAGGGATGACGGGTTCAAGGTAGAGGCTACTCCTACAGCTACTACAGACTCGGATACAGAGGCTAGGGGGAGTTCAAAGGAGGAAGGTGATGTGAAGAATTTTGAGGAAGGACAGGAACAAATCGAAGGATGGTGGTGTCTTTGTGAGGATCATATAGTGAGTTGTCCTTCAGCACTGTATCTGTAATAAACCAATCAAGGTCTGGTGTGGTACAGAAGTCAGTCTGGGGGACCACAACTTGTGGTAGTTGGTAGACCATCAGATATTCCTATATAGCTCAGGCGGTTTGTGTCTCTCAGGAAGCTGACACTATCCAGGTATCCTGATTTTTTCCTTGAGCAAAAGACAATACTCTGCCCTGTCACATTATGTACATATGTAGACAGTATAATGCTTCTGTGGGAATGCTCTGGTTGGTGTCTGGTGCAAATTGGTCTGTTTGCACTGTTTGTGTGTGAACTTCTTATAGGTTGTATCAAGTATAGGCGCTGTCTAGTTTGTGCCAGGTGTAAATTTGACAGTGTATCACTTATGTGGGAATATCTAGTTTGTGCCAGGTGTAAATTTGACAGTGTATCACTTGTGTGGGAATATCTAGTTTGTGCCTGGTGTAAATTTGACAGTGTATCACTTGTGTGGGAATCTCTGGTTTATGCCTGGTGTAAATTTGACAGTGTATCACATGTGTGGGAATGTCTAGTTTGTGCTTGGTGTAAATTTGACAGTGTATCACTTGTGTTGGAATCTCTGGTTTGTGCTTGGTGTAAATTTGACAGTGTATCACTTGTGTGGGAATATCTAGTTTGTGCCCGGTGTAAATGTGACAGTGTATCACTTGTGTGGGAATCTCTGGTTTGTGCTTGGTGTAAATTTGACAGTGTATCACTTGTGTGGGAATATCTGGTTTGTGCCCGGTGTAAATTTGACAGTGTATCACTTGTGTGGGAATCTCTGGTTTGTGCTTGGTGTAAATTTGACAGTGTATCACTTGTGTGGGAATCTCTGGTTTGTGCTTGGTGTAAATTTGACAGTGTATCACTTGTGTGGGAATCTCTGGTTTGTGCTTGGTGTAAATTTTACAGTGTATCACTATTACTTCCTATTTATGCAAGCCCTAATGCTTTTGTTATTGATAGCTTTGAATCAATCAACCAGGGTCATTCAGGTGTGAACTAGTTGTGGTCAGTTGGATTATGAACTAGATACAGTATGATGTGAACTTACACATGATCAGTCAGGTAGGGGTTGTGGTCATTTGGGTTAAGAAGCAGCACACAGGGACAGTTAACCATGGTTAGTGTGAACTTCAGGTTCAGTGGGTTGTGAACTTGTGTTGGTCAGTAGGATTATGAAGTAGATACAATTATGTGAGTAGTAACCTAGTAACCTTTAACCCTGGGTGTTATACATCTGATTGGTCAGTATAGTGATAACCTACAGGTAAATGTGTTGTATGGGAATTTATCAAACTTGTTCTTTAGGAACAAACTTCAATACAAACCATAGTGGTTGTAATCATCATATCAAATAGGTTTATAGCTAGGGCGTGTGTAAAGCTAAAATCCACTCAACAACATTTTAATGTTTGACCAGGGAAATAGATTGAAATAGTTTCTCCCTGGTATGTTAACTTCAATACCTGGTGTTATTTGTATTTACTTGTGCAGATGGTGCAAATACAGGTGTTTATTTAGGTGACAGGTAGCCGGCTGTATGTGGGCAATTCTTGTTTATTGCGAAAGTGCAGTAATTATTCATGGAATTATCTTGAAGTGTGATTTTTAAATTTTTAATGGAATAATTGCATTATGTTAAAAAATTCTGAAATATTGTTGTATATATATATATGTTTGAGGTTTGAAGTTTGTACTTAATTGCATAATTACATTTATGCTTTTGTGCTCCTGTCCTGTCGGATAATCTATTTATGAACATTCACCATTATTACTACATATCCAATGTGTGTATCAGAAGATTACCATCACCTGTTGCTGGACCTTCCAAGTGTACAAAAACCATGACTATACCCACTGATCTATGTGGATACAGGTGGAGACTTGTACACCTTGGCTTAACTAATCAATAATATTGAAGAATTCCTCAAACTACCTGGTAACACTTGTTGTTGGACAGCTTGTGTTGAAATATAAAAAAGTGGTTCACAGGTATACTTATCAACCTCTGTTTTAACGCTTGTTGTTGGACAGCTTGTGTTGAAATATAAAAAAGTGGTTCACAGGTATACTTATCAACCTCTGTTTTAACACTTGTTGTTGGACAGCTTGTGTTGAAATATAAAAAAGTGGTTCACAGGTATACTTATCAACCTCTGTTTTAACACTTGTTGTTGGACAGCTTGTGTTGAAATATAAAAAAGTGGTTCACAGGTATACTTATCAACCTCTGTTTTAACACTTGTTGTTGGACAGCTTGTGTTGAAATATAAAAAAGTGGTTCACAGGTATACTTATCAACCTCTGTTTTAACACTTGTTGTTGGACAGCTTGTGTTGAAATATAAAAAAGTGGTTCACAGGTATACTTATCAACCTCTGTTTTAACACTTGTTGTTGGACAGCTTGTGTTGAAATATAAAAAAGTGGTTCACAGGTATACTTATCAACCTCGGTTTTAACACTTGTTGTTGGACAGCTTGTGTTGAAATATAAAAAAGTGGTTCACAGGTATACTTATCAACCTCTGTTTTAACACTTGTTGTTGTACAGCTTGTGTTGAAATATAAAAAAGTGGTTCACAGGTATACTTATCAACCTCTGTTTTAACACTTGTTGTTGGACAGCTTGTGTTGAAATATAAAAAAGTGGTTCACAGGTATACTTATCAACCTCGGTTTTAACACTTGTTGTTGGACAGCTTGTGTTGAAATATAAAAAAGTGGTTCACAGGTATACTTATCAACCTCGGTTTTAACACTTGTTGTTGGACAGCTTGTGTTGAAATATAAAAAAGTGGTTCACAGGTATACTTATCAACCTCGGTTTTAACACTTGTTGTTGGACAGCTTGTGTTGAAATATAAAAAAGTGGTTCACAGGTATACTTATCAACCTCTGTTTTAACACTTGTTGTTGGACAGCTTGTGTTGAAATATAAAAAAGTGGTTCACAGGTATACTTATCAACCTCTGTTTTAACACTTGTTGTTGTACAGCTTGTGTTGAAATATAAAAAAGTGGTTCACAGGTATACTTATCAACCTCGGTTTTAACACTTGTTGTTGGACAGCTTGTGTTGAAATATAAAATAGTTCATGGATATACTTATTAACCTCTGTGTAAAAACGGGCCTCAGTACTTTTATTTTTTTATGTACTGGTACCCGAGTACTGTTACTTCATTAAAATCACTACGAGTACAGGTGTCTCGTGCAATATAATCACACAGATTGACGTTCAGACAAGTTTTTTCCATTCATTTGGGAATGGCATTTTTTATCACATTTTTGAGGGAAATCTCAAATGGGAAGGAATTTTTGAGCAGTAAACAATACATTTTGAGAATTTGGCTATTATAGAAAATAAATTCTTCTGAGAATAGGGCTCAAATTCAGTCCCATTGAAACCCTAGAAATATGACAATCTAAGAATATTTGAGAGAGTAAAAACAGGCCACTATGTGTATGATTGTATGTCAGTCGGGAGAGCCCAGTGTGTCTATGACATGCTGATTTATAGACATGCATATTGAAATAAATATGTTCGTTTCCTTAATGGTTAATTGGGAAAGCTTAAAAAATCAGGTAATAATGCACTGTTTGAATAGGCATAATAGGCTTTCTTTGAAATCTCGCTTTGGAGTTGGGTTACTTTCAGTAATTGTACCGTGGTAATCGATATGTTCCCCATAAAAGGTGTAATTTATCCACTCAATTAAAACTTAAATTAAAACGAGATAAGAAAAATAGTTGGATGTTTTAATGGTGACTGATTTTTGTGTTTTGTAGAGTGCACAGTCACGACTGTTCCTGAAAGGAGGCCGAATAGTTAACGATGACCAGTCTTTTGATGCTGATATCTACATTGAAGATGGAATTATCAAGTATGTAGTAATAAAGATAATCATTCTCTTGCAGTCTGCAGATTTTTATAATTCATTTGGTAATAAGTCCATTCTGGATTATAAGTCAACCCGTTTGTATTGCTATACAGTAAAATCACTGATAATTCAGGCTGTTCCATCAAATTGTGATTGTATATTATATTGCTATACAGTAAAATCACTGATAATTCAGGCTGTTCCATCAAATTGTGATTGTATATTATATTGCTATACAGTAAAATCACTGATAATTCAGGCTGTTCCATCAAATTGTGATTGTATATTATATTGCTATACAGTAAAATCACTGATAATTCAGGCTGTTCCATCAAATTGTGATTGTATATTATATTGCTATACAGTAAAATCACTGATAATTCAGGCTGTTCCATCAAATTGTGATTGTATATTATATTGCTATACAGTAAAATCACTGATAATTCAGGCTGTTCCATCAAATTGTGAATGTATATTATATTGCTATACAGTAAAATCACTGATAATTCAGGCTGTTCCATCAAATTGTGATTGTATATTACAGTATATTGCTATACAGTAAAATCACTGATAATTCAGGCTGTTCCATCAAATTGTGATTGTATATTATATTGCTATACAGTAAAATCACTGATAATTCTGGCTGTTCCATCAAATTGTGATTGTATATTATATTGTTATACAGTAAAATCACTGATAATTCAGGCTGTTCCATCAAATTGTGATTGTATATTATACTGCTATACAGTAAAATCACTGATTATTCAGGCTGTTCCATCAAATTGTGATTGTATATTATATTGCTATACAGTAAAATCACTGATAATTCAGGCTGTTCCATCAAATTGTGATTGTATATTATATTGCTATACAGTAAAATCACTGATAATTCTGGCTGTTCCATCAAATTGTGATTGTATATTATATTGTTATACAGTAAAATCACTGATAATTCTGGCTGTTCCATCAAATTGTGATTGTATATTATATTGTTATACAGTAAAATCACTGATAATTCAGGCTGTTCCATCAAATTGTGATTGTATATTATATTGCTATACAGTAAAATCACTGATAATTCTGGCTGTTCCATCAAATTGTAATTGTATATTATATTGTTATACAGTAAAATCACTGATAATTCAGGCTGTTCCATCAAATTGTGATTGTATATTATATTGCTATACAGTAAAATCACTGATAATTCTGGCTGTTCCATCAAATTGTGATTGTATATTATATTGTTATACAGTAAAATCACTGATAATTCTGGCTGTTCCATCAAATTGTGATTGTATATTATATTGTTATACAGTAAAATCACTGATTATTCAGGCTGTTCCATCAAATTGTGATTGTATATTATACTGCTATACAGTAAAATCACTGATAATTCTGGCTGTTCCATCAAATTGTGATTGTATATTATATTGTTATACAGTAAAATCACTGATAATTCAGGCTGTTCCATCAAATTGTGATTGTATATTATACTGCTATACAGTAAAATCACTGATTATTCAGGCTGTTCCATCAAATTGTGATTGTATATTATATTGCTATACAGTAAAATCACTGATAATTCAGGCTGTTCCATCAAATTGTGATTGTATATTATATTGCTATACAGTAAAATCACTGATAATTCTGGCTGTTCCATCAAATTGTGATTGTATATTATACTGTTATACAGTAAAATCACTGATAATTCAGGCTGTTCCATCAAATTGTGATTGTATATTATACTGCTATACAGTAAAATCACTGATTATTCAGGCTGTTCCATCAAATTGTGATTGTATATTATATTGCTATACAGTAAAATCACTGATAATTCAGGCTGTTCCATCAAATTGTGATTGTATATTATATTGCTATACAGTAAAATCACTGATAATTCTGGCTGTTACACCAAATTGTGATTGTATATTATATTGTTATACAGTAAAATCACTGATAATTCAGGCTGTTCCATCAAATTGTGATTGTATATTATATTGTTATACAGTAAAATCACTGATAATTCAGGCTGTTCCATCAAATTGTGATTGTATATTATATTGCTATACAGTAAAATCACTGATAATTCAGGCTGTTCCATCAAATTGTGATTGTATATTATATTGTTATACAGTAAAATCACTGATTATTCAGGCTGTTCCATCAAATTGTGATTGTATATTATACTGCTATACAGTAAAATCACTGATAATTCTGGCTGTTCCATCAAATTGTGATTGTATATTATATTGTTATACAGTAAAATCACTGATAATTCTGGCTGTTCCATCAAATTGTGATTGTATATTATATTGTTATACAGTAAAATCACTGATAATTCAGGCTGTTCCATCAAATTGTGATTGTATATTATATTGTTATACAGTAAAATCACTGATAATTCTGGCTGTTCCATCGAATTGTGATTGTATATTATATTGTTATACAGTAAAATCACTGATTATTCAGGCTGTACATCAAATTGTGATTGTATATTATATTGTTATACAGTAAAATCACTGATAATTCTGGCTGTTCCATCAAATTGTGATTGTATATTATATTGCTATACAGTAAAATCACTGATAATTCAGACTATTCCATCAAATTGTGATTACATATTTATTCAGTCCATTACTTCCTGTTGGTCAGAGATGATGTTCTCTGATTATGGTGGGCTGATGAAACATACACAAAGACAAAAATAAAACAGCTTTTTTTATATAAATTATATACAGTAACAACAAATTAATATACTTACTTAAGAATACACATTGTAACAAAAACGTTAAACAGATTAGGGATGAATGTAACAAATATGTCATACAAGGCATGAGAGGTGATTACATGTATTATGCTTCTTAAAATGCTGTTGATTATGTAAGTGTGATAAAACATGACAGTTTCAAAAACAATGGGTCATTGTAAAATGTAAAATATAATTTATCAGTGGCTTAAATGGTAAACTTTATTTATTATAATTTATGTAACAGTCCTGTTGACATGTTAAGACAACCAGAATTAAACTGTTTTGTCAATTTCAGACAGGTGGGTAACAACCTTGTCATTCCTGGGGGATCACGGACGATTGATGCCCGCGGCAAACTCATTATACCAGGTACGTCCAATATTGCCTGTACATACAAAATAGAATTACTCTGTGTTAGTATGAACTGACAAATCTTTGGTGTTTGTACAGAAGCCTAGTTTGATCCTTCATAGCATGATTTGTTTGTTAATATTTTATTTCTATCAAATCTTAATTTGAGTATCTTTTGTTGCGAATCATTCAGGTGTAGATTTATCTGATACAGTGATACATGTCACAAATTCCTCGAGCGTGGGTTTATCAGATACAGGGATACACGTGTAGAACAATACGCCTCAGATCTCAATCACCAGACCTCTGATCCAGACAGCTTATATCAGGGTGTATCATATGACATGTAATGTTAATTCAAAATATCTACAACAGGTATCCTTTACCAGCGATACCAGGTTATGTTGGTTTAGCAAATATTGACCAATCATTATCAAATGTGTTTTAATTTCTATGTTAGGGTAATTTTTTCTGTTTTGTTTAATGGAATTAGTGGGAGATTGTACATTTTATTGTCTGCTGAAGGTCGAAAGACATCAAAAACAGATGTAAAGCCTGTTTTAAGATTTTAAAAAATGGAATTCAAAGGAAAATTTTGATTGATTTGGATTCTAGGTAGACACAGAGATGGAAATTTAGGTTTCTACTGGTGTGGCAATGCTAACGAATATATAGGATATTCAACAGGAAAAAATGGGAAAATTTAATTTATATTATGTATTATGTTGATACTTCATAAAGCTTTGTTCTCAATAAGATTGAAAACGACTGGCTAATCTATTAAAATAGTGGGTTAAATATTGTTTTGTCACGATATACAACTTTACATAATGCTTGAAAAATTGCTGGTTCAAAATATGGCAAGGAAAAACCAACAAGTCAACATAATCATAATCCAGACACAGATTAAATAAAGCTAGGGCAAAATTTGATCAAAAGAAACATTTACATGTAGACTCCTGAAAAAGTGCAAGGAGAAGAAGATCAGGTGTTCCAGGAGAGTAAGCATCTTTTGCTTCATCAACAAATAACAGGCTACTTCTGTCAGTAACTGACTTTCTGATGTGAATAGTGATAATTAAGATATTTTGATTTATATCAGATTTTCTGATAGATTAAACATGTGTTTCAGGTGGTATTGACACGCATACGCACATGCAGCTGCCATTTATGGGAACCTATGCTGTAGATGATTTTTACAGTGGAACCAAGGCAGCTTTAGCAGGAGGAACTACCATGATCAGTAAGTGACGAAACTCTTCAGAAAACGGGCAAAACAATCACAATGAAATATGTAAACAGAAATTAATTCAGTGATGCCCTTATACTTATACAAACTCAAAAGTTTGACAACAGAAAGGCCTGAACAGACATTTTGTTTTCATCTGAAAATTATTTTAAAATCTTAATATCAGAAATAAATAGAAATGTTACCGATAACATTTTTATGAACTGGAACTACGAAAACCTAAACAAAATTAGGAAACAGATGGATGTCACTTCAGTTTCCGTCATTATATGATAAATTCATGTTGATTATTCTGTATTAGAAATCTGAAATGTCCTAATGCTATTTTCACTTGGTTCAAATTTTTGTTAGTACTGATACTGTGCGACAATCCCTACTTCAGAAAGTAGGTCACATTTCAAATGAACCAATAAGTATCAGGATAAGGGTAGACCTATTCACAAAAGTACACATTATCTGTTGTCTTTTGTGACACAGATCTTTCCATCTTCGTACAGAAATGTCATTTGACAAAAAATCTGAAGATATGATGGAATTCTGAGGAGATAGGCATCAAATTGTTTGATTTTACACAATCTTAACAAATACTACACTAATGTGTAGGAAAGAAACGCACAATTGTTATATGATAAAAGTTTTTATTACCAGTGCTGAGTGACAGATATAACTTAGGAAGTGTTGGATACAATGGTTCATTTAAAAAGTGACACGATCAGCAGCAAGATGATTTGATTTTGTGTTGATAACATCAGGCTTTTCCTCAGATAGGCCATGAAGATTTACATCAAAGATTTATCTTTTAGAAAATATGACTGAATTATGTGTGTTATGATTTGACTTATGTGAATCTGTTACACTGTGGGATCAGCCCATTAGAAGACAGACGAGGGAGATGTTTATACTTTACGTCTATAGCTTGCTGTATAGATTAAACCCACCTGTTATAATGATACTCCACTGTTTGTTACACCTTTCTCTCGATTAGCCGTCTGATTAGGATTGAATTTGGCAGTGATAGAGCATGCCTTCAGATGTGGAGCTGTGTTATAGGTCCAGAATGCTTCAACTATTTAGTATTGATTCCCACAGGGTTAGGACAGGAGGAAAAACACACCGCAAAATGTTACCTAGCTGGCCATTAGTCTTGGTAAAACTATTAAATGTCAATCATTATAGAGAATTATTGGCAGCGTTACAGGATTACCTTGATATATGGTAAATACCCCAGATTATCAGTCATATTTTGTGTTATTACAGGGTTCTGTCAGTCCCTTAGTTTGATGTAAATTGTTCCTTAGAAGTTTGTTATTTGTCTTTGTATTCCAGTAATTGGAGGGGAGACTTTTGGATAAATACACACCTGGTGTTTTAACCCTCTGCACAACATCAAAGCTTGAATGGACCATGTTTTCTATACCATTTGACCTAGTACTACTTATGAATATTGCAGTATGGATGCTCCTTGGGATGGGGAGGGGGAGAGGCATTACATTGTTAAATTTAGTTGTTGTGACCTTGACCTTTGACCTTGATAATGGTAGTAGGTATTTCCTACAGGAAGGTCAAAGACAGCTTTGCCCCTCTATAACAAATTCATGTTCCAAGGGTAACCTAAAATTTTGAAGCTGAAGTGAATTTTGCAGAACTGGTACAAGATGCAATGTTTTCATTCATATTTCTACTGGGGTATATATTTTTCCAATTTAATTCACACACAAATTTCTAGAAGGGACTGAACAGATTTGTAAAGAATACATTCTCATGATCTAAAGAAGCAGATTGCTTTCTACAACTTTCATCAAATGATATATGAAACTACTGATTAATCTTGAGCGTGTCTTCCATTCTGGGGAAATTCTGTAGAATGTTATAAGATTAACAGAAATGGCTGGTGTTGTTCCATTTTGATATTACATTATTTAAATATGTACAATCTTAACATCGTAAACACAAAGACATGATTAGTTTAAGCTTAGCAGTTTCAACAAATTTGAAAATATATAATCTACATTGTATAAGAATTTTGAGAACATGCATTACAAATCTGAAACCTTCAGTAAAAATGTTTGAGAATCAGGTAGTGATTCATGTTGTACAAGATTGATTGGTTTATAGAAAGGACACTTTCCAATACTGTAATCCATTAGAAAGTCTGAGCCTATGAGAAAACTAAAAGACCGATTGCAGACAGAAATATTGGCAGTCGTTTATAAAAACTCCTGATTCAGCAGAAAATGTGGGTGTAGTTGCAGGGCATTATATTGATCTTTACAGTATGATTCAGAGACTGAGCGGATCGCAACCTCTGCCGTCACATGTTGTGGCAAAGATGGTCCTCGCTCATGGCTGCTGTCGTTATTAGCATTGTATAGTAATGGGTGTGGTGGGAAATAATAAAATACTTTCACAAAAACGTTTCATAGCAGATTGGACAAAAAATGTACACTGGAGGTCGTACACAACAGATGTGAAAGATTGCCTGTGCATTTAATCTATTTCTACCATATGTGAAAAATATCCTGGTTTTATTGTGTGTATCACTGATGACATCATTACAAGCTTGATAAATGGCTATCCCTTCACAGAAATGTGATGTGCATCATGAAGGCAATCTCTCCAAATATTAGTGTATGATTCATCTATGGTTAGATGAGATTTTCTAGACTAAGATCCATAGGTATTATATGCTCAGAATTGCAAAATTAAACAATGTTAATTTAATTCCTTGCTCCTCGATAGGTTTATAAAGAGTTACTAACCAAAAAAATGCCTTTTAAAAAAAACTTAAACTGGATGATATTTCTTAGATTTGATTGCTAAGTCGACAGAATTCTTATAACACAATCACAGTCCTAAACCTACTTAACTTGGCGTAAAAGACATTGTGCATCTTATTTTTTAACGTATTCTCCACTATGTTATGATTCATCATTCTGGCCAAAACTGTATTTAATGCCTAACTGTTGACTTTTGCATCTATATGCCTAACTGTTGACTTTTGCAGCTATGTGCCTAACTGTTGACCTTTGCAGCTATGTGTGTAACTGTTGACTTTTGCATCTATGTGCCTAACTGTTGACTTTTGCATCTTTGTGCCTAACTGTTGACTTTTGTGTCTATGTGCCTAACTTTGCACTGTTTGACCTTTACAGTTGACTTTGTCCTTGACCAAAAGAATGTATCTCTACTGGAAGCATATGACAAATGGAGGAACTGGGCTGATGGTAAAGTCTGCTGCGACTATGGACTTCATGTTGGGGTCACCTGGTGGTCAGATCAGGTCTCTAAGGAGATGGAGGTCCTGTGTAAAGAGAAAGGTTAGAATATTTGTCACTGAGATCACTTTTGTCTTATTGTTGGACAATCTAATTATTTCAATTAGAAGAAAAAAAATAAACACCAAAATATTTACAGAACTCTTACTTAAGTTTTGTGTATATTCAGTTGATATGTAAATATCTGTCAGTATGACATCACTGCAGAGTTAGTATACCAGTATGATTTTAGTGACATCACAGTAAAACAATATTTTTCTTTATTCATTTTTTTGTTAATTATTGCATATATATCAAATGTATCACCTTATGAACAATGCCAGTTGGATTTTGCTGAAATATGCACTTAAAGAGATTAGTTAATAATTGTAAACATGAAAATTCTTATTTATTGATCAATGGTGTGAATATGTAAATTTTGGGTCATTTATGATAATGCATGCACACACAGCACTGTTGTCTGTAAACAAAAATGGCTTCCCACCTGAATCAGTCCAGACAATGTTGGTGATCAATTTTACTTATTTTGTAATTCTGAGTTGACTTTGAGTTCTCAAACATTTGCCACATCCATAACAAAAACTAGTGCTGAAAAACAGGATTTTACTTACCTTGTCACTACTGTCACTGTCATCTCTGCCCGCTATCATGTGTTCGTACTACAAAATGAACTTTCAAAACTATTTTGGAATATTACCAGTGTTAAATTTGAGAGGATTTCCTGAACCAAACAAGTGGTCAAGCTGGACATTGGAAATTGATAGTGAATATCGAGATAGCATAGAAACGTAACTGGAAGTATATGAAATACGCATTGTTAATTTTCATACTTAAATTTTGTCTCGAGCATTACACTAAAACTATAAGAGATGTCAACATGAAACTTCATAGGTAGATAGATCTCAACAAGAAGGAGGGCAGTGTACAGGAATCATAACTCTCTTATTGCCCTTTGTTATGTTTCATACTTTAACTTTGTCCAATTCTAGCAGCATAACCCGTCTCTGATGGCCCACGTTAAAAGAACTGAATACCAGTAAGATAAAGGGAGAAATGGTTTTACTGATTTAGTTTAATAATCTTGTAAACATCTTACATTTATTATTGAAGTGATAGACACAACCCATTTAAATAATACTTTAGGCATTTTACTAAATGTATTTGCCTTACAAATCTGTGACCTGACTCTAAATGCCATACTTAGGATGTCCAGTGACTATATTTACATATTTTCACAGTTTTTATTTAAATCTTATTTGATTTACACAACACAGAACCATTTTATGTCTCTGTATAGGAGAAATATGATGTCACAACAGCCATACAAACTGATATTTTTTTAACAGAGTAATAAACACCACATTTATCTTGTAAGATTAACTATTGTGACAACTTCAGGCACTGATGTTATACATCTGTTTTTAAAAAAATTGTTGGTTATCATTTTAAAACTGCCAATGGGAATGCAGGAAATTTGAAATCAACTAAAGAACTTTCAGATAAACTAAGAAACAAGTTAATATATGGAGGATATTCTTTGCTTCTTTAGAAATAACAGTTATAGTCCATCAGCTGGGATAGAAAGTTTGTTATGTATGCGAGTGTAAAGTATCGTTACTTTAATTTATCAAGAAATATTCTATTTCTTTCATTTGCCAGCAAGTTTCAAACTTTTCATAGTATCTCTAGTGAAGTTGTTGTTCCTGAAGTCTTGTATCCATTCTGGGAGAATTTAAATTTTCACTGCAAATATAGTGATATGATAGGTGAAAAATAAGCGAAAATATCAAAACTTGCTATCATGGGAGTGAAAGTATCATTTATATTTCATCATAAAACCTTTTATTTCACTGTGCATTCATTTGGCATTTATGGGCTTGTGCATGCCAACTGGATAAAGGCATATTAATCTCTTGTGTGCTACAGGTGTGAACTCCTTCAAAGTTTTCCTTGCCTACAAGGATGTATTCATGCTGGATGATGATGAAGTGTACCAGACCTTTACACGGTGTCGGGAGCTAGGTGCCATTGGCATGGTCCATGCTGAAAATGGACATTTAATTGCACAGGTAGGAGTTTTGCAGAATCTCTTGAAGTTGACAACCAATTGCTAATGCTTCTAATAGACTTTATAGAAGCATTACTAAGTTTACTGTAGAGAAGTCAAGTGGTTAAAAGTCACTTTAGGATCAAGGATTTCATATGGAATAATTATTATTCTGTCCAAATCAGTGTCATATCTAAAGAACCTCCATAAATATTTGTTTCATATTGACCTCATAGTATCATCATATGAGGTCAAGTTCTCTCCTAATCCAGTTCTGGTTTGCATGATGATGGAAGGAGGGATTCATGTCGTATAAAGATATTTTCTGATTATGTCCAAGTCTACCATGCACTAATGGATGCGACTCTTACTTATCCTAGAGGGAAACAAAAGTATACCCTTATCCTAGAGGGAAACAAAAGTATGCCCTTATCCTAGAGGGAAACAAAAGTATGCCCTTGTCCTAGAGGGAAACAAAAGTATGCCCTTGTCCTAGAGGGAAACAAAAGTATGCCCTTATCCTAGAGGGAAACAAAAGTATGCCCTTATCCTAGAGGGAAACAAAAGTATACCCTTATCCTAGAGGGAAACAAAAGTATGCCCTTATCCTAGAGGGAAACAAAAGTATACCGTTATCCTAGAGGGAAACAAAAGTATGCCCTTATCCTAGAGGGAAACAAAAGTATACCCTTATCCTAGAGGGAAACAAAAGTATACCCTTATCCTAGAGGGAAACAAAAGTATGCCCTTATCCTAGAGGGAAACAAAAGTATACCCTTATCCTAGAGGGAAACAAAAGTATGCCCTTATCCTAGAGGGAAACAATAGTATACCCTTATCCTAGAGGGAAACAAAAGTATGCCCTTATCCTAGAGGGAAACAAAAGTATACCCTTGTCCTAGAGGGAAACAAAAGTATACCCTTATCCGAGAGGGAAACAAAAGTATGCCCTTATCCTAGAGGGAAACAAAAGTATACCCTTGTCCTAGAGGGAAACAAAAGTATGCCCTTATCCTAGAGGGAAACAAAAGTATACCCTTATCCTAGAGGGAAACAAAAGTATGCCCTTATCCTAGAGGGAAACAATAGTATACCCTTATCCTAGAGGGAAACAAAAGTATGCCCTTATCCTAGAGGGAAACAAAAGTATACCCTTATCCTAGAGGGAAACAAAAGTATGCCCTTATCCTAGAGGGAAACAAAAGTATGCCGTTATCCTAGAGGGAAACAAAAGTATACCCTTGTCCTAGAGGGAAACAAAAGTATGCCCTTATCCTAGAGGGAAACAATAGTATACCCTTATCCTAGAGGGAAACAAAAGTATGCCCTTATCCTAGAGGGAAACAAAAGTATGCCCTTATCCTATATGCCCTTATCCTAGAGGGAAACAAAAGTATGCCCTTATCCTAGAGGGAAACAAAAGTATACCAAGACAGGACAAGTTATCCTAATTTTAATTTCCTGAAAATAAATATAATATAGATGTAGGGATTTATTTTAAAAGAAATATTGTTTGTAGGTGATTCCTAAAAAATATTTATATATTGTAAACATATTGTTTTTTTCCCCGATCAGAAATCACAGGAGATGATAGACAATGGTATTTCAGGACCCGAGGGACATGAAATGTGTCGTCCAGAGGAGGTAGGTCAGAGCACTGAATCAGCTTAACAAACGATAAGGATGTAATTAATGTCATACAATTTATTAATCAATAGAAAATGGAAATTAATTCTAGGAAAAGATTGTCAATATCTCCATATAAACATTAACGAGCTATTTTGTGATTATCTTTAATAGGAAAACAATCAAATTTTAACCTTTTTTAAAAGTATTGCTTTTAATTTATAAATGACCCTGTAAATACCAATCATTAGCCATCAATATTTACTGAAGATTTGGCAAAAACTAACTTTATGATGTTAAGAAATCATGTTTATTAATATTCAAAGCCTTTTTTCTGTATGTTTAATGCACATATTAAACTTCGTTCTTCATCTTTTGAATACCTATGTCTGACAGAGAAAAATCAAAACTTCAGAAAATGAAAATCACTTTAAAAAATGCTAACGTGTCGTTCAGAATTTAATAAAACATACTTTAAAGTACAGTTTTCTCATGGTGTGTAGTTTTATGGAAAATTTACTTTCTACTGCTTTGTAGCTTTTGTGTTTACTATTGTGAAAATGGTTGAACAACAAGTCAGGTTTTTGATAGAAGAATAATTCTGACACTCCCAGCCTTATCATGACTTTATCTACTATAGCTGTCAGTTTAATGTCTTTTCAATTGTTTATCAGCAAGATAACTTAAAATTTGATCCCTGTAAGTGTTAACAACATTTTTATATAATTATCTTCATGTTAGAGTGTAAATGTTATTAGAATTGTTTTGTCTAGAGGATTAAAACTTCAGTTTTTTTATGTTTAGTAAAGAAAAACCTGACTTGTTAAACTGTAGTGTATAAATGCTTATTGTCGATACTTTGATATTTCGTATTAATTTCTGTTTGTGCTTACCATCTTATCTTTTTTCTGCTTACTTGTATCTCTGTATAGAACAAGATTTAAGTCTGTGTAACAGAAAAAATAGAAAGAACAACAAAGAAGACTAATTCCCATTGTCTTTAGTTTTTGGAATAATGAAAGGCCTCGGACATGAACCCTCTTGTTTTTCTTTTTAAATTAAATCAAGTATATATTATAGTCATACAGTGCTGTAGAACAGTAACTAAATTTCATACACAGCCTTCATCTGCACCGTAACTCTTGTGTTGTATGTTTGTACCACCGTCCCAACCACCAATACAATTAGATTTTCCTATAAAACCACCAATTAGGTTGTCCAACCACCAGTATGATTAGGTTATCCAACTGTCTCAACCAGCAATATACTAAGGTTGTCCCACCATCCCAACCAGCAATATAACAAAAATGTCTTACTCTTCCCACAACTACTTTAATGTCCAAAAATCCCATCCACTTTTGTAATTTAGTTAATAATTACATTTCCCATTTTCCAATCCACTGCTATGATAAGGATGTCCAAACTTCCAGTCTGTTAAATGGACAGATTGTCCTGTCTGACTACTCCAAGTAGATTCACAACACAACCTAATCTTATCTAGTATCGAGGCTCCTCAGTGTTCAATATGCTCTTTTAATTTATTCTGCCTTTCCTAATTCTTTATTTCTGTAAAATATTAATTTCTGCTTTAATTTACATTTTCTTCTTGTATACCTATTAATGTAGAAATTGTGTATAAATAGTTTTGGGTTTTGGTTTTTAATCACTTTTGTTTCTTTTTGTATGTTTCTTTTTGCTTTCCTTGTAACCCTATCTTATAACAACACTAGGTGGAGGCAGAAGCCACACTACGAGCTATCACCATAGCCAATCAGGCAAATTGTCCTATCTATGTTGTTCATGTCATGAGCAAATCTGCAGCCAAAGTGGTAACTGCAGCAAGGAGAAAAGGTTTGATATCAATTTATTTATGTTCAACCCACAAAGTGGTCACTTTACCACAACAGATTGTTCTAGTTTACAGTACAAGGGAGACAAATCCACATTATCTTACGTGGACACTTAAATTGCTGAAATGTAACTTGAATTTAAGTTATTTGTTTGTTTTTGGTTGTTGTTTATTTTTGGTTTTTGTGATGGAAAATCTGTTCGGTAAAGTGACTATTTTGCAAATTTTGTAGAAAGCTTATTTTGCATGGTCATTGTAACATTTTATTTATTTGAATACTTTGGCAGAGTGAATCCAGACATTTGCTCTAACATCTAGCTGGATATCACAAAGTCAGAGATGGATTCAAAACAACCCACCGAAAACTGTACATGAATGACATGTACACAAATATACAGGGACCCTACTACTAAAAGGTTTTATAATCAGGAAAGGTTTCAGTTTTTTGTCAAATGTTATGGACACATGAAGGCTGATTTTGAAGACTTCTCTTGACAGTCAGACTAGGCTGTATTGTAAGTACACTTCAGTGGATGGGATTGGTTGCGATTTGTAGGTGGAAGGTGAAGCTGTAAACAGAGCTGTAACAATAGCCAGTCAGGCCAACTGTCCGCTATACATATGTAAGATCATGAGCCGAACAGCGGCCAATGCACTGGCTGATAGTCGTAGGAAAGGTGAGATTTTATGTTAAAAAAGAAACCGGGGGTGTGGTTGTGTGGTGATGGTTAGTACTGGAAAACATATACATATTTCTATGTGGTGTGACTAAAACTCCTAATTTTTGGTTAATATTTATATCTGTTTAGAATGACAAACTTTATCTGAAATAACTCTTATTCACTCCTACTATACAACATTTGTTGTTTTTTTTTTTTTCTGTGGTTTCTATCGATTCTTACAGTAAAGCTGTTGTATTTTATCAAAAGATCAGACTCTCCATTAGAAAGCAAGTCTTTGTTTTGGCAGTGATGAATGGTTCTAACCAAATAGTTACTTACTTACACTTATTAATGGATAACGAGATCACAATATTCTGACAGTTCATGAATAAAGACAGCACAATACTTACACTTATTCTAACAGCTCACTTATTCTAACAGTTCATGGATGAAGACAACACAATATTTACACTTATTCTAACAGCTCACTTATTCTAACAGTTCATGGATGAAGACAACACAATATTTACACTTATTCTAACAGTTCATGGATAAAGACAACACAATATTTACACTTATTCTAACAGTTCATGGATAAAGACAGCACAAATACTTACACTTATTCTAACAGCTCACTTATTATAACAGTTAATGGATGAAGACAACACAATATTTACACTTATTCTAACAGTTCATGGATAAAGACAACACAATACTTACACTTATTCTAACAGTTCATGGATAAAGACATCACAATATTTACACTTATTCTAACAGTTCATGGATAAAGACATCACAATATTTACACTTATTCTAACAGTTCATGGATAAAGACATCACAATACTTACACTTATTAATGGATAACGAGATCACAATATTCTAACAGTTCATGGATGAAGACAACACAATACTTACACTTATTCTAACAGTTCATGGATAAAGACATCACAATACTTACACTTATTAATGGATAACGAGATCACAATATTCTAACAGTTCATGGATAACGACAACACAATACTTACACTTATTCTAACAGTTCATGGATGAAGACATCACAATACTTACACTTATTCTAACAGTTCATGGATGAAGACAGCACAATATTTACACTTATTCTAACAGTTCATGGATAAAGACATCACAATACTTACACTTATTCTAACAGTTCACTGATTCTAACAGTTCATGGATAAAGAGTACCCACTTAATCAATGAAAACAACCCATAAAATTTAATGATTTTTACAGTAAAAATGATTGTTGTTCTGCCCTGTGGTACCAGAACATAATGTTAACAATGTGGTATAAATTCAAGACATTGTCAAATTGCTTAATTGTAATATTCCAAGCCTTTTGGTTACTGAATCTGTATTTTAACAATTTTCCATCAAGCAAGAAATTTATGTAAGTTGGAAAATCTACAATACATAGCATGCCTTTATACTACATTACCAGTAATATACCATAATATATAACATGGTTGTGTTTACAAAGAGTTGTAACTGTTCCAGGTAATGTTGTGTTCGGGGAACCCATCGCTGCTAGTCTAGGTACAGATGGGACTCACTACTGGAACAAGTGTTGGAGACACGGGGCAGGGCATGTGATGGGCCCACCCCTTAGACCAGATCCAACCACACCAGGGTATTTGATGGACTTGCTAGCAAAGTAGGTTAAGAACAGGGGCTATAATTAATACCTGAGATGACCCCATGTTATCTGTCAAATATTAGCACTGAGTGAATATTTAAAATTCTGTAAGGCTGGTTAGAATTTCAGGTTAATTCATAGTCCTGTTAATCTCCTGGAACCTGCTTGCAAAAAAGAAGCAAGACGTAGTTATTTGAAAGTAAGATTGTAATCTATCTGTTCAACAAGTGAAATTTATTCAATACACATTTCCACGGATGTATATCTTATGTTTTAATTTATATCTACAGTCTATTTGATGCTTATATTATCCTACATATTTACACTTGATTATTATCTAACTGTAGTCATTGTATATCGTTATATATTACTGATACTGGAACTGTAATTGATGCTGAAAAGTAGTGCTTTAATTAAGTGTGACTGCCTTTCAGTAACGACCTTCAAGTGACCGGAACAGATAACTGTACATTTAATGCTGACCAGAAGGCATTGGGCAAGGACGATTTTAGAAAGATCCCTAATGGTGTGAATGGTGTAGAGGACAGAATGTCCGTCATCTGGGAGAAGGGCGTTGTAAGTACTGTGAAAGACTAACAGCTTCCTACAGTCTGTTGATATGGGTTTAAGAATGTCAGTAGGAGAAGGGCGTTGTAAGTACTGTGATAGACTAACAGCTTCCTACAGTCTGTTGGTATGGGTTTAAGAATGTCAGTCATGTAGGAGAAGGGCGTTGTAAGTACTGTGATAGACTAACAGCTTCCTACAGTCTGTTGGTATGGGTTTAAGAATGTCAGTCATGTAGGAGAAGGGCGTTGTAAGTACTGTGATAGACTAACAGCTTCCTACAGTCTGTTGGTATGGGTTTAAGAATGTCAGTCATGTAGGAGAAGGGCGTTGTAAGTACTGTGATAGACTAACAGCTTCCTACAGTCTGTTGGTATGGGTTTAAGAATATCTGTCATGTAAGAGAAGGGCGTTGTAAGTACTGTGATAGACTAACAGCTTCCTACAGTCTGTTGGTATGGGTTTAAGAATATCTGTCATGTAAGAGAAGGGCGTTGTAAGTACTGTGATAGACTAACAGCTTCCTACAGTCTGTTGGTATGGGTTTAAGAATGTCAGTCATGTAGGAGAAGGGCGTTGTAAGTACTGTGATAGACTAACAGCTTCCTACAATCTGTTGATATGGGTTTAAAAATGTCGGTAGGAGAAGGGCTTGTAAGTACTGTGATAGACTAACAGCTTCCTACAGTCTGTTGGTTTTCTGTTACCAAAATTATTTTCCAGTTTAAGTGTATGAAAATGGATTTAGTGTTAACTTACTTGGTATTACCAAATAGCTGTGGCATTCTTGTTATCAAACGACTGTGGCATTCTTGTTATCAAACCACTGTGGCATTTTTGTCATAAAACCACTGTGGCATTCTTGTCATAAAACCACTGTGGCATTCTTGTTACCAAATCGCTGTGGCATTCTTGTTATCAAACCATTGTGGCATTCTTGTTATCAAACCACTGTGGCATTCTTGTGATAAAACCACTGTGGCATTCTTGTTATCAAACCACTGTGGCATTCTTGTTACCAAACCACTGTGGCATTCTTGTTACCAAATCGCTGTGGCATTCTTGTTACCAAGTCGCTGTGGCATTCTTGTTATCAAACCACTGTGGCATTCTTGTTACCAGATTATGGTGACAGTAGTATGCTATTAATCCACACACTGTAAACTACATGTAGGTACCTGGTTACTTTTTCTATAGCTAGATACCCTTGTATAAAGGAAACATTGATTTGAAACAGTGACATGTTGCTTTCATTACTCAACACTGTCACAAACAAGTGTAGTTCTTAATTAAATGTACATTTGTACAGTTATATATGTGATGTTTTACAGGCATCTGGTAAGATGGACCCCTGTAGGTTTGTAGCTGTAACTAGTACCAATGCTGCCAAGATCTTCAACATTTATCCTCAAAAGGTAAGATATGTGTTTATCATAAACATTTTTTCAGGTAAGTATAGTACACTATTTCTAAAATTTTGATGAGTCCCAACACTAAGAGATATTGTAGGTCTTCAGAATCTCGGTGAGTCCCACTGTTGTGAGTCCAGGACTCAAATATCTGGAGTCCCACTGTGGTACTGACAATTAGTTAGTACAGTAAAATAGAGAGTAAATCTCAGTGTACATAAGGATAGACTGAGCAAGTATACTATATACAGATGGAGAACATTTTGTCATCTATTCACTAAAGATATAACAAGAAGTGGCACAAATCTAGTTTAATGGAAGATGAATTTTCTAGTTTATAGAAATATCAGTACATGATTGAAGAAACCCAGATGAAACATGATTGCATAAAGATTTCTTTTCATATAAAATTTTCATTCTCAAAAAGAATTGCTTAAGATAAAAATAATCCAGACAGTTGCTGTAAACAGCGGTAATAATTATGTTAGAGTAAGTTTTGGTAATGTAACACATTTCCTATTTTTTACACAAGATAAAGTTGTTTATTGTTTCTGTAGGGCCGTATTGCAGTAGGATCTGATGCAGATATTGTAATCTGGAACCCCAATGCGACTAGGACTATTTCTGCCAAGACTCACCACCAGGCTGTAGACTTCAATATATTTGAGGGCATGACATGTCATGGTGTGCCCGAGTATGTTATCACTAACGGACATGTGGTGTTAGACGAGGGACAGGTAAGACTGCTTTCTTTCATATCTTAACACAAACTAGCAGAGTTCAGGGGACATTATCACCAACTAGTAGGGTTCATGGGTAGTCTTCCTTCAGTGAATTCTAGTTTTTATAAAGATATTATTGGAGTATAACCTGTGAAATAAATGTAAAAAATCTAAATTAGACCCTCAAACATTAGCTTACAAAAATATATTTAGGTTTTCACTTTTTCAGACTGTATGGTTCCTAATAAGGACATCACTGTGATGTTCTATGATTCAGCCACTTCTTGCTTGAATATCAAGCTATGTGTGTAATTACAGCATTTGGTTACTTTTGTCTCACCTAACAGAAGTATTTTGAAAGAGAGCTGGTGGGAGATGTTATTACCTTGGTCAGAGAATTATGCTACGTTCTTTACAGGAAATCAGAATTATTGTTAAATTGATGAATGACACTGATGAGCAGTATGATATGGCAGAATACATTAAAAATTTGTGTTTTCAGTTGCGGGTAACACAGGGAATGGGACGTTTTATTCCAACACCTTGTAACTCAGAAATTGCATTTAGCCGAATCAGAGAAAGGGAGAGGGTATGTATTGTGACATATGTGTAAACAATTGTTCTTGACACTCTTTGATATTCCATTTGCTAAAAAAGAACATGAAGTCATTGTCAATTACTTCCATGATGACTGCATGTCTGACATATATTTCTAAAATTGCAGTCGTTGATGACATTTTTCAAAAAGTTATTTCTTACTGTGTTTTCATTGTCTTTGTTTTCCTTTTTTCACGTATGTGTGGGTTTTTTTTTCTCTCTCTTATCTTTTTGAATTGTTAATTGAAATAGAACTCAAGTTTTGAAGATGCCTTCTTTTCAAAGTTCAGTGGAAATAATTCATAAACAAAGCACTTTTCTACATGTTTGACTTCAGTGCTGTTAAAATATACATTCATGACTTAAAAAGAGAAAGTTGATTTCTTTTAATTTCCTTTCACAGACCTGTAAGCCTTGTAAGGTTGAGAGAGAAGGATATGATGGACCAGTTGTAAAGGTGGACGGAAATGTGCCTGAGGTCATCACCAAGACAAGCAACCCAATCTTGTCTGCCGACGCAGGATCAGACAAGTTTAACTCTCACTGTCGGCCAGCTACCAGCAGTGGTGGGAGAAACCTTCATGACTCTAGCTTTAGCCTCAGTGGTAAGATCAGGGAAGCTCAGTGCACCTCAGGGGTCTACTCATTTACAATCAACACACAACATCTATCCTTATATCTAGTTTGAGCAGAACATGATCTCTTTAAATCTTTTCCCCTTATACGTAAATTAGAAAATAAATATGTAAATAAATATCCTAATTTTTCTATTATCTGTATAAATTCTGTAAAACCAATATTTTTTTTTTTAATCTTAGTTTATGTGACTGAATTCATTGATTTAAATATATCTCTTGTTATAAATCGTGTTATTTGATGAAGTCAGTGTTTTACCGTAAACTGATATTCAATAAAAGTTAAATTCAAGTCACAACTACAATCACAGTGACCTAGTCAAACTTTACTAACTTGCTGCATGTAAAATGTAAGATATACTAACATTGAACTAAACACCAATAAAAAGTGATGATCAACTCATTAAGATTCCAAACCATGTGACCTTGAATTTTGATCTATTTATAGTCTAGTGTGTACTGTTACATTTTTATATAGTGTTGCGCCAGCTTATCTAATTTATTGACAGAACTTTACCAGTGAATACACACTACCTTGTATTCAAATACATGTTGAAGATTTCACCAGAAAATGCGGTCGAATGTTGTTAAATGAAAAATCATATGATCATTTTAGAGTGATCAATGTAGTGATATTAAATCATTGAGATATTAAGTAATCAATATAGAGTTAGGGGAAAAGCTCAAATTTCCGCCCGTCTAAAGTGTTCTTTTCAAAATTTCTGATAAATAATGTTTTTAATAAGATACATCTCTGAGGTATTTCTGATAAATGAGTTGGAAACGATATATTAAGATTCTGAAATATACCATTGTATTAAGAAAATCCCTGTAAGTTACTCGGAACGCTACTAACCCCAAGGCTCTCACACTTCACAAAACCACTACACAAGAGGTGCACTGAGCTCCGTTAAAGACACAGTATGACAGCGTCATTGTTAAATGCTCTATATTGGAAAATCTGCAAATTTTTCTCCATGTTTTATTTTTGTCTTGAATAGGGAAGTATCTTCATCTTGGTCAAATTTTTGTAGTGTACTTGTGTATAAAGCTTATGGATAAATTTTCTAGAGAATAATATCACACGGTGAGATCTGATTTTAAAAAGTAGTACATAAGGAAAAGTTGAAAAGTGAAAAGCACATGGTATCATACTATGCTGTATTTAATAGTTCAAAGTGACTTTCTATGTTTCACTGAAAATTGTATATGTCATTATCCCTGTTTTGTATATAGGGTGATTCATACACCTATCAATGTGTTCTAAAAACTGTCCAGGTTAAGAATGCTTGGTATGAAATTCAGATACTGGTGAAACGTGATATGACATGCTATCATGCAAAAGGCTTATGCTGGCATTTTAAATACATGTAAAAAAATCGGGCAGACATCATTGATTATAAAGTTAAAGCAAAAATGTTCCATCTGATCTTGGTAATGTTTGGGATATGAAATCTTTTTTGTGATATGTCTGCGATGTGTAATGGACACTAGCAGGTAGAGAGCTTGTCATGTAATTGTGTCTTTATACGTTACCACACCTAATGCAGCCACTAACACAGTGTTAACGCTAACTTTGTGGGCTATCAGTTTATACTTTGATGTACTTTCTTTATTTGTTCCAACTTCTTTGATTTTGACCTTTTGGTGAATTAAAGTATAAATGTTGAACCATTTTTATATTATTTTATATAGGTTTTCAATTACATATTAAATGTCACAACATACATCACATGTATTGGAATCCTCTCCATGATTTATTGCATTTTCTCCTCAACTCTGATGTTTGCAAAAACCTGAGAAAAGATGAGGATAAATTTCACTCAATATACTATGTTTTACCTGTCTTAGATTTATTGAAGCATAAGGATTAGGTTTGAGTTAAAGTTTAAGAACACAATCTTTTTCAAAAAATTTTTGAATGGTACATAATTTTTTTCCTGGTGACATTTTTAAAAGTAAACATAAAAAATTTGAAGCTTCTGAAGAACAGAACTGAAAACTGTTTAAAATTGAGAGTGTTTAATTAGGTTACAAAATCTATATGTAATTCTTGGTTTGTCTTTAATTTCCAATCATCAAAACTGAATTCACTGAAGAAATGGAACAGATATAACACCTACACTAACAGGGATGGTAAAACCGCTGCATGGTTTGTGGAATATCTTGGATTATTTTAGCTTTCTGAGGTGACAGGGATATTGAAATCAAATCATATTTACACAGAGTCTTCATTTTTCTCTTTTCACAGGTGCTCAATATGATGACAAACAGGTTCGAAAGTCCTCCACACGTACGCTAAACCCACCTGGCGGAAGGTCAGATGGTATCTGGTAAAGGACAAAGGTTGAAGCTGAAAACTGGATTAGATGGGGTTACAGGGGCCATGAGGGACAGAGACAGATCTGTTTTATTTCATGAATATGCAGCAGTAACTGATAAACGCTTTTATTGTTAGTATGTGCAGCAGGTCAAGGTCCTGTCAAGGTCAAAGTCAGGGATTGTAAAGTTATCTGTGGAATGTCTCCAATGAGGGTAGTAGCATTTTCAGTTTGTTCTTGACATGAATATATATATATATGTATATATATATTATACACATAAAAGAACTACTTTTTCTCAACTTCAAACTAGGATTTTAACATTTTTTGTGTATATTATATATATATTGAGGGTAGAGAATTGGATTTGTAGGGTCCGTCAGAATCAATCAAAACCTGAAGCTCTCAGTGTCAGTCAGTTTAATTATATAAACTTTAATTACAATTGTAACATTATGTACTTCCATATTATTATAAACTGGTTGTATTTGTGTGTCGTTACTAATGAACATCAGGCTATGTCTTGGAGCACCTGATGAGATTCGTTCATCAGGTGCCATATGAGAAATAGATGGAAGATGAACCTGGTTTCTACCCAGTATTTAAACCATTAAGACACTAGAAGCCTGTTGGATCTGTAGCTTTCATTAAAATTGGCTATAAATTTTGTCGGTGCCTTTCCTGCAGTGTGTTAAGGTAAATGAATCTCTTGTCACAGAATCCTCAAACATCTATGGACAATAACTCCTGTTTTAGGTGGTACCAAAGATGTCAATTTAGATTTAAAAAACAGTGATATGATCTGATGGATTTATACCTTCATAAAGCTAACAATTAGAAACTTTATGACAAAAATATTTCGTAGATGTGCATCAGTCTACAAACACACCTTCCATTATATATAAGAAAGATCTCTGTAATTGTGCGATAATTTTTTTTATCAGTGATGTTGTGTGTAAAATTGGATGTGCGGAGTTTGATGTTCCATTATCAAACATTTTGTACATGTCTTTAACTTCATTTATCATTCTATGGTAATGATACTTAAGATGAAATAACCAGAAGATAAATACTGCTGTTCTTGAAATATTTACAGATAATATAGCTTAACCTACCCATGTATTTGTCTGTAACCTACGATCTCTGACTCTACGTAATGATGTACACAATGGGTCTAGATCTGTCTCCCCATGTTAAGATACCAAACACTCCACTTAGTCTGAGGGTTACTGTGCCCATTAGTCTGAGGGTTACTGTGCCCAGATGGTTCTGCAAATCATGTATATGTGAAAAAATATTGTTATGCGAGTTTGTTCCTGAGCTTGAACTGTTTAATTTGTGTCAGTGGAAATTGCATCATTTATATTCATGATGAATGGTTACTAAATTTGTAAAACCAATTTCTACCCCAATATTATGCCTTAGATGTTACAAAATATAAGTAGGATTAATCTTCAGTGTTGAATTGAAGCTTTAGATTATAGAAATCTTAATGAATATTCAGAATCTTTTATTTTATCTGACTCTAAGGAGAAGGTATATATTTACAATATTTGGAGTTTTAACGTCTGTAGATCCTATACCATTTATTAATTACATATGTAGGTGGGAGGTTTTTAAAGTACTTTGTATTTGAATGTGATGTATGAATTATTGTGAAGGTCAAGTTTTTTTTGTTTTCTAGTTTACAGATCTGAACTTGTATAAGTATTTTTCCTCATTCAAAATCTCCAGTACCTAGTTCTGACAAACGTTGGGTGTGTGTGTTCTGTGGGAATTTTGAAGAAAATAAAAGTCTTAACAGCTGATTGTCTTTGGATCTGTGTAATGATGTATTTGTGACTATAACTTGTTGTTGGAGAAAATGAATTGAACATTGTGGGTGGTTTACATTCTGTATGTGCTATATCAGTAAGATTTGATATAGAAAGAGTAAAGGTGATATAACTCCACTGCTTGTATTCTGACAGAAGTAACCCATATATTCAACAGCATTTGAGCATTTAGCGGTATTCATAATCAGAGATCTTCCTATTTTAAAGGTTTCCAAAAATCTGAAATTTAATTATAAGCTTTTAAATGTGTCCAGTTTTATTCAATGCTTTTGGCGTTAATCTACTCATAGAAAATGGCAAAAAAAAAATAAAAGTAGATGTAAAAAAAACTCCATTGAAAAAGCAATTTTCGTGATAGCATATTGATCTTGATTTCATTGCTGCAAGGTGTCAAGTATATGTCACTGTATTATCAAATTGTACAAAGGAATTTCTCCATACACAAACTTGCATGTGATAATCTGTCACTTGTCAAAGTTGTACACTTTTAAAATATAAGGATAGTTTTGTTTCACAGGTTACTGATAATGTCTGTAATGTTAAAGTTTTCAGCTTTTTTTAATCTATTAATATTTTATCTAAAAATCTGCTACTGTGAAAAGAACTCAAAGAACCCAATACATTGGACTGATGAGTAAAATTCAAAAAATTATTTTCAACTCTTTCCCTCGGCTAAGTTTGCCACAAGCTTCGTACTTGGTACTCATTAGTGAACATATAATCATTTACCTTTTTCAGCAGATATTTCAAATGTTATTTAACAATACAAATGGTTTGTTATGAGTAGAGAATGTTATTTCCAGATTACCTCCCTTTACTGGCTTTGTTTGGTTGTTAGTCCTTGTATATGAGAAATCATGCTAGTATCCATTATGTGATTAAGTTGTCTGTATGGAGTTGTTGTTTTGGTACGTGTAGCATTTACATGAATCATGTTTTCTTTGATGTTATTGTAACCTCCTAAATTATTTGTTGGTTTATATAGTAGAAAAAGCTTGTGCTGTTTCTGTAAGTCACTTCAATTTTAGCGGTACATATTCCAGAGTTTCTTTGTTCAAATGATGAATGGTCATAGTGACTGTAGAACTGTTAGATTTGTAGGAAATCAATTCATGAATATTCATGATGAAAATTGAGTTATGAATATATTAACTTTATCCTAGAAGTGAAATGATTTACAAGTTTGAGCAGAAGTTCATTATTACAAACACTGCCTTTGTACCTATATCAGCTAGAGTTTGTCCTGTCAGCAATATTTCAAATACTTTTCTGTATGGAATAAATATTAAGTTAAAGAAACTAACATTTTGTCATTTGTTGTACATTCTTGGAAGTGAAATATGTAGTTATCCATCAGATGATAAATATGTGACTGAAGGGATTAGAAAAACAAGTAATCCCAGAGAGATCTTGGTGACAACCATTGTTTGATTGTTATATGCTCTTTGAAAGTTGGATCTATTCCCTTCTCTTCTCAGTTTTTGCTCTAAATGATAAGAAATTTGAACATTCCTTTGTAGAAATAGCAATGATAATCTTTACCTGCCCAATCCAAAATGGGTGCCTGGAAGCCATTTTGTTTCCACTGACCAAAATCAAACATGAACAAGTAGAGACCAAAGGGAACATACGTATGAAATTTAAAAGACAACAATCTTTAATAGGTGAAATCCAAGATGGCTGCCAGTCTGCCATTTTGTTTTTCTGATCAGTCCCAAACCCATCCAGGTACAAAAAGGGACCAAGAGGAACATACTAATGAAATTTGAAAAAGATTTATGCAGTATTTCTCCAGCGATCATGATAATGAACTTTCAAAGTCATATCCAAGACGACCTCCTGGAGGCCATTTTGTTTTTCTGATCATTACCAAAATCAAACAACTAGGGATCAAGGGAAACATACATATGAAATTCAAGAAAGACTTGTCAAGAACTTCTAAAGAAACGATGATAACAAACTTGCAAAGTCAAAATCAAGTATGGCCACCTGTCGGCTATTTCGTTTTTTCTGATCAGTCCCAAAATTAAATGGGCACAATTAGGGACAAAGGGGAACCTAAATACGAAGTTTGAGAGATATCCATCCAGTACTTCTTCAGAAATAGTGATAACAAACTTGCAAAGCCAAAATCCAGGACAGATGCCTATCGGCCATTGTTTTTTCTGATCAGCCTCAAAATTAAATGGGCACAACTAGGGACAAAGAGGAACCTACATGGGAAATTTAGGAGAGATCCATGGAGTTCTTTTTAGGATACAAGGATACCAAACCTCGTTGATAATACCTAAAATGTCATTTTGTTTTTCTGACCGGTCCCAAAATCAAACGGGCACAACTAGGAACCAAGGGGAACCTACATCTGAAATTTGATCCATCCAATACTTCTAAAGAAATAGCGATAACAAAAATTGTTTATAGACAGATGGACATGGACGTAGGGCAATTTGAATAGCCCACCATCTAATGATGGTGGACTAAAAATGTATAACAGGGTATATTTGTACATCTACACATGCAGAAGCATGCTTGCAGGTGGGTGTGGTTCTATTCCGAATGGTTACTATGGAATCTCCAGACAGGTTATACCAAAGCTGGGGGTAAAATCTACTGGTATGGTGCATAGACCTTATTTTGTAAATTGTTCACATTAACTTAATGAGGACAAAATACACATCAAAAAGAGCAATATACACTGTTTGGAAATCTTTCAGCAACAGGTCCACTACCAAGGGGTGGACATTACTGTAGTTGTATAGAACTGTTAATACCAAATGCATGCATGAACCAGTTAGAATAACAAATCCAATAGATTACAATCAAAACTTCAGATCAACACCATCACTGTGACTGTAAACGTTGCTACTTTTGACTCTACTAACTCCACAACTCAGACTCAATTGACACCACAAATCCAACTCTAATTACCACCACACGGATTCAATTAACAACGCCTGCTGACCCCAACTCTGTAAAACCTCCACTTTGACTCAATTAACACCACCTTTCTAACTCTGTATAACACTTTCACCCTGACTTAAATGAACAACACTACTACTGTGACTTTGTTAAATAGCACTACTAAGCATCCATTAAAAACATCACTTAAAAACTCTCAGTCTATGTTAACAATACCACCCTGACCCAGTCAACACCCAAGGATGCTATGACCAAATTGGGACAGAATCCTGGACGCTATGACCAAATTGGGACAGAATGCAGGCATTTCTAAAGAAAAAGAAGGATTTTAATTAACTTTTTTCTATTTTTACCCTATTTGACCCTACCTCTCCTGCTCCAGGAGGCCAAGACCTACCCTTTATACAAATTGATCTCCCTAAACCCAGGAATGCTTCAGATCAAATTGGGAGAAAATCCAATCTTTCCTACTGACAAAGAAGGCTCATAAAGCCCAAGAGGCCAACACTGACCATTTTTTCCCTTAAAATCAAGGATTGCTTATGACTTTTACTCTTCAGGATGCTAAGTTGATGATAGATCAATAACAATGAAGAAATTATATTGATTCTTGCAAAAACAAACTCTTCGGTGGTGTTCCATTTTTCCTCGTAATGCAATATTTGATCAAAATCCATCAAGAGCTCACTTAGAGGAGACGGCAATGGCTAACAAAGAGCTGTCATTGATTGGTGATTTTAACCTTAGCAATCTGAAAGTATCCACACTTTACCTAGCTAAATGTAAGAAAGTTTTGAGCATTTGATAGATACTTCTGTATGTTGTAATATTCTTTCATGCTACTGGCCAATGGATTTATATTTAGAGATTTGTATAGACATCTGGTTCTATAAATGTAATGTTTAATGATAAGAATTACTGTATTATCAACCTTATTATTATTGATATTACTTGTAAACCCAAATAGGAAAGTGCACATTAGATTAACTACTATAACAAATTTGAATAACTTGGAGTTTGTGGTAAGGATATGACGAGATATGCATTATTGAAGCCATTAAAGTTTAGTATTTTTCGTTCCTCTATGTGGAATTTTGTGTATTTTATACCATTCCCCTTCAGCAAATAAAATCTGTTTTTGCCATTTTAATTGACCAGTGGCTACAGTATCTGTTTTGTTAAAAATGTTTTTTTTTGTAAAAGAATTATGGATCATTGTAACTGTGTAGAAAAGTCTGTATATTCTGAGGTAGGAGCGGATGAATAACTAGGATACTTTGAGGTAAACCGTCCGGCAGACATTTGCAAACTGTAGATATTATGACCTGAAGAAAATTTGAATGCAAGTGATATTTTTGTGAAAGTTCTTCAAATGTAAAGAAAGAAATACTATCTGAATCCCTTAGGAGAACCGCAATCGTATGTTTTCCTAATCTATACCATGATTTGTAAGAATTAGGTTTACCTGCATCAGTTACATCTTTATTATGCCAAAAGCATTTCATCAATAATGATCCTTTTTGTAATTAAGATTAAAATTCTGGAAGCATGGTATCATTACTATATATTTCATGCTTCCAATCCAAATCATTTTCGCTTTTTCTACGTTCATTTTTAAACCAGATACATTTTCAAAAATATGCGATTCTCTTAAAGTTTCACAGAGTGACATGTCTGATCCATCTAAAGACAGAAAAGAGTCATCTGCATACTGGGATGTCAGAATCTCAAAATTTTCTGTCCTAATTACATTTATACCACTATTTTTTCTTAAATGAATTGCTAAAACTGCAGCACATAGAATAAAGATATAAGGGGCTACTTGGTCGTCTTGATGACAAGATGTTGTAACATGTTAAAGCACTTTAAAATATTCTTGCAAAAGTGGAAAATTCTCAGAACGATTCAACTTTTCTATGAAATTCCAAGACACAGCGTTGAATACTTTTCAAAAATCTACCATCAAAATCATCCAGGACTATCATTATCATTGAGGGAGATTTACTTATTAGTAGTAAGATGTTCAGCAGCACTGGATTTGCCAGGTACCGTATATATTTACACTTCAATATTAAGTAAATAACAAAGACCTTGCTACAGGTATGAGAGAGAAAAAAAGAAACACAAAATTTAAAATAAGATTTTAATAAATACATTAGATGTGCACATACATCCATATAATTATTCAGCACTTGTGTTATTATTCCATACACATTTACACATCAGTTTTTCTTGTTCAAATAATGATTGTTTGGTGACTACCCAAATGTCAAACATCTGTACATCACCTGAAATACAATGCCATTTTTGTACCTTTTCGTATGAACTATGAAAAGGTCACCATACATACATACATACACAACAACTTTATTTTAAGCTACCATTAGCAGTAGCAAAACAGATATGTAAATATATATAGATTTATCATATTAATACATGGTGTCAGGAGAGAACAATTCCAGCAGCCGATGCTATGGCTAGTTCCTTTTAAACAGGGCTGAAAAAATTAAGCACTCATTCGAATCTCAAAATCTGTACTCAAGAATTGAATTGCACACCCCTGTTATCTTCTATTTGCCATCTACAAATTTCCATCCATATCACATATCTAGTTAGAATCAGAAGATGTTGTGTATGTGGTCACTCTCAAGCCATGCTGCTTCCTGTTTCAACCGGTCATCGTCTTTGGTGACCTTGAGAAATCTAGCTCCACTTGCAACAGCAAGAAGGAGAAGGAAAAGGCAGAGGACAAAGATCATTCTGTTGCCATGCTGAAAAATATCTTCATGTAGTAGCATCAATATCACACAAGCGATCAGATTTATAGGCACACGGAACCAATTGATCACTCCCCAACGATGGGAATCTGGAATAATACGACTCCGCAGGTATCCCATTGCTGGAAAATATATTCCTACTGCAACCTCAAATAAAGTCAAAGCAGAGAACGAGAGTGATGCATCCCTCTTCTCAGGGTGTGTGGATATAATAAGCAGAAGGTTTGCGATCACTGCCATTACTATAGATACCATGAGTAAAGCAGAAGGTTGGAAACGTCTTGAAGTTGATACTACTGAGAAAAATCCTTGCCCTACTAATATGCTAGCCATAAAACTTGAAAACACAATTCCAAGAGAAGGATTACCAGACTGCAATATAGGTGTCCACAGGAAGATCACAATGTAGATCACACTTTCAAACAGAGCCTCAATAGCTCCCAACATGAAAATTTCTTCCTTTGTCACTATCATCTTAAAGCCTTCACCACATAATTTTTTGAATTTAATTTTATTAACACTGTAATTTTCTGTCCAGTGTGTGGACACCATTATACCAGAGAAAATGAGAAATGGAATGGCAAGCATATAGGGAGCGACTGGCCCTAATCCAAATCCTTCTGACACCAAATTGGAAGACACTCCAGCTAATACCGCCAGAACACCATTCCATGTAGAAGCTTTGGCAAATGTGACTGAAATCCATTCTTTTGGAAAGTCATGAGTTTCTAAATGTTCGTGAATGTACCAGGCTTCAAAAGCAGAAAACAACACAGAGGTAGCAATTCCACCGACAATTCTTCCTATCAATAAAATACCATACCCAGTGGATAGTTTCATCAGACAGGAAATGGAATACAGGACTGTGAATAGCAGACACAGTTTCTTGCGTCCGAATTGATCTGCAGCGATTGGAGTCCATGTACCAAGAATTATGGTTGAAGCAAATCCCACTGCATATAGAGTTGCTATCTGTGCCTCTTGGTACCCATAATATGAATATAGCTTGTACAAGTAAGGGCCCTGCAACCAATCAGCAAACACAGCCATAAGGTATGCCGCAAAATAGCCATGCTGGAATTTTAGGAACTGTGGATTGTTTCCCTCCGAGAAGTCTTTCCTTCTTTGGTATGCCAAAAACTGAAATGCTCCACAAAGACATAGCATTACCACAAAGGTGATGTAGGTTATAGCAATCATCTTTTAATTCTGGTAATATCCCCTTCTTCAGATCTTTAAAAAATAGCTGATTCAGGAGATGTATTGCTCGCCTTTTGACCATACAAATTGCAACCTATAAGTAATATAAAAACAATAAGTACAGATCAGACATAAATTTAGCTACTAAAGTAATGGCTTCAAGTGAAAACCATTTCTTCAATTTGAAATGTCATAAAAGCATATGCATATATTTATTTGGGTTTTGAACAGAAAGATGTTAAAAATTAAGGATTATGAGTAACTGAGTTTGTGTAGGTATCTGTGTGTATATATATCAGACTGAGTAGGTTCAGTTTTAGCTAACAGCAAATTGTCAACTGTCAACTGAGTGACAGCGACCGTATCAAACACTTTGTACATGCCACACCGACCCGTTACTTTTACAATATATCTAATAAAAAAAACAGTAGTCGGTATATAAGTAATTGTAGCTACAATGTTGTATGTCAACAGTCTTGACAACACAACAATTTTGATGTCTAGGGAAGAGGAGGCTGATATTGAGATTTTGAAAATTTGATGTCTTTGGTAACTGGGTCTTGTTGGGAGTCTTGGGCTACATGCCCTGTCTGTGGTCAAGCACCCTCCCTTAAATCCCTCAGAAACATGCATCCGTGCTAATACTAGCAAATGTGATTAAAATGGTTATGTACTATTTTCTTCGACGACAATCGGTTAGAATTAACTGACGCACGCGGTCAATTTTATCTATAAGTCGATAATTAATATTGTTACCTTCGGAGCATGCTGTTGTATCAAACAACCCTAGTCAGGACCAAGCGGAAAGTTGTGGTTGGTGACATGTCACATCCTTACTCTCTAACTTAAATTACTGCATCGGTCGAAAGAGCAAATGAGTTAGACAATTACATCAATCAAGACTTTTATCATTTTTATTTACATGAAAATCATATATGTATTAACTTTTAGTACCTTGTCATATCATGAACTGTAACAATTAATTATTGTGAAACTAAAATGTTTTGCTTTCTAGAGTATAAAAAACGGAAGTAGAACAAACACTAACTTCCGGGTAAATAACTGGTGAAAACACGTGAAGTATACCGGTGCAGAGCGATTTCCTCCATCTGTTGCGGATACTAGTACCTTTTGCAAACGTCATGGAAGGAAAGTTACCACAAAAGAAATACTACAGACAAAGGGCCCATTCTAACCCAATGTCAGATCACATAGTTGATTAGTAAGTTTAAACTGAATGAATTGAGAACGTCTTCCACTAAGTTCCAGGGGTGTCTACACCTTGGTCCTCGATAAAATCGTCCCGATTGTCCCACTAAGAATTATTTTTTAAACTAATCAACATTGCATATATATGGTGTGGAGATTCCAGGGGTGTCTACACCTTGGTCCTCGATAAAATCGAGATTGTCCCGATTTTACAGGACTTAAGTGTATTTTACGGTTGTCTGCACCCTACATAAGTTTTTAAGTACATGTAATATTTTAAGCCTATACCTCCTTGCTAGACATTATTTTTTAAACTAATCAACATTGCAGTTATATATGGTGTGGAAAGACTTAACTATCTGCATTGTATGTATATTTTTCCTTTTGCATAAGACGTAAATACAATATGAAATGAGGCACAAGTAAAATTAACTTGAATTAGTCACAAGACTAGAGAGATTCCGCGTAGTAGCTGCCATTGTAAATAAGTTTTCAATCGATGTATGATTTATAACTATTGTGCTGTTGTACACAATCAAAAATATTTCTGGAATGCTGACCATAGCTGGGGGTCACTAAATTTGACTTTTTTAATAGGGAGAAGAATGAGTATTGTGCACAACCAATCCAAAAATAAAATATCTGATAGATAGTTGGAACCATCGTACTAATTACACATATAGACTATAACATTTTATTAAGAATCATATATTTAGATCACGATGATTTCTGTTTTTTCTTTAGTCCCCTGAGCCCTGACAAAATGGATTGGTCAGAGCACTACCCAGAGTTTTGTAAACCTCCATCTAACAGAAAAAATGAAGAAATTGATCATGAAAGAAGAGATAAAGGTAGACAACCCAGAGTGGAGTTTGCAGACATTGGATGCGGATATGGAGGCTTACTGGGTAAAGATTTATTAAATCGGAGTATGAACTTTGTTGCTAAAGAATGGAAAATTCAAGTTAAAGTAAAAGCTTTAAAGTGCTAGAAAGAGATTCTATCTTTGGTATAAATTTTTAATTATTCTAGAAATGTTCTAAAAAACAAGCTGGGAAATTAATGAGATTTCAATTTAATGGTATACTTTTGGGGATTAAAAGCTTTACGTTTTGAATATTAGAATATCAGAATATTTGACTTGATTGATCAATTACAAAATATATCATGTTTTATTTTAAAATAAATCAAAAGCAGTATACAAGATGTATTTAATTTCCACACTTACAGAATCAAATAGTGAATGGGATCCAAACAGTACTTAATAAAACTACAATTTCTATAACAGTACTGATATAAATTGAATTGCATTGTAGGCCTCTAAACAGTAAAATTTTGTTAGTTAACATCACCAATCTCAAATGTTAAGTGGTAAATAGCATCAGGTATATTTTCTTGTAAAAAAAACTTTTGAACACATTTTATACCAAAATTCCTCTATGTTAAAAGATATATTGTCACTGTTTTTCTTGTTTAATTTTGATAGTCCAGTTATCCCCAGTATTTCCTGACTCCTTGATGTTGGGAATGGAGATTCGAGTGAAAGTGTCGGACTATGTAAAGGACAGAATCAAAGCTCTGAGGGAAAACAGTCCAGGAAAATACCAGAATATTGCTTGTATTCGAACAAATGCCATGAAATTTTTGCCAAATTTTTTTTATAAGGGTCAGGTGAGTCAGTGTACAGAAGTAAATGCTTGAATCTTAACTTTCCAACATATGGCCTCCACTATATAGATTTTCTGTAGACTTGTCATTGCAAAGCTACAATTTCCTCCAATCTTGCTAGAGTAGACTTTCAGGTTGGTTTACAAGGACAACTCTAGACAGATTCCATATAGTGGTGGTCATTGTAAGTAAACTGAAAAAAGAGAAAAGTTGTTGAAATGAGTGTAAATACTTAATTTTCAACATTTTATTTCTTTGACACATACGTAATTCAGTAGAAAGATGTTTTATTTTCCCATCACTGTATAATTTGTAACTATCATTCTGTTATGTAACTTTGCCTGAATGTCAAATGTTGCAGGCATCACCAAAATTCCATGTTTATATGTAGGGAAGTTGTAAGTCTGGCTATACCACAATGAAGTTAGAAAAAAAGGTGGAAGAATATGTTATTGTTTATGTGCTGTAACACATGAAGATATGGCTGAAGTCAGTAATTATCTAGTGAAAGCCTTTACATGGGTACTTAGAACTGAGCAATTACAGTCTTTGTCTTAGAAATAATTTTATTGTCCTACAAATGTATTATGATAACTAATGATGATTAAATATTTGATTTTGATTTAATTAGGATTGTAAATTTTTTTTACAGCTAAAAAAAATGTTTTTCCTGTTCCCTGACCCTCACTTCAAGAAAACTAAACACAAGTGGAGGATTATAAGTGAGACACTCTTGGCGGAGTATGCCTATGTCCTTAGTGTTGGAGTATGTATACATGTCCTTCTATTGACTGGTTACAATGTAGAAGTTCTACTGATTGAAATTCATTTATCATATATGTATTTATTCTCATTTTAATTCAGTCAGCAGTAATCACTGATGCATGTGAAATGCTGTCAGATATTTCTATAAAATGTAAAACATACAGATTTTAATGTGTGCATGGCGTGTAAGTGTGATATCTTGTCAGTAGTAAGATATTTATTGTGTATTACAAATGACCAGTGATAAATATCCTCATATATTATGAGTACTTGTCTGTTTGATCAGGGGTTTACAACAGTCCATCTATATATGATAGTGATTGGTATGTATCGATTGATATGAAATATTTAATATCAAGTTAATACAATTTTTGTATAAACCGTTTTTCTCTGTATAATTCTTGCTTGTTTCTGGTGTTTACAGGGCATTGTATATACTATAACAGATGTAAAAGATCTCCATGATTGGATGGTACAGCACTTTAATGACTTTCCTTTGTTTGAGCGAATCCCTGATGAGGAACTGGTAAGAAAATTTGTTGTCAGTCATCTTTCCTTGAATTACACTTTTAATACAAAATGGCTGCATGTGGCCACAAACACGATCACTGTTATGAGGTGTTTTGAACGCAACTGAATGGTGAACAAGTAAGAACTGTAAGGGCCCTTTTTAAAATGAAACTTGAAATACCAAGTTTCATTTCTGTCATAACAAAGTTTTATTTGTCTGACAACAGATTGACCATATATAGATCTTTATAAATGCAAATAAAAAATGATTTTTCAATATCAGAAATTAGTGAGCTGTTGATACAGCAGAAAATGTTACTTTTTTTTTTTATTTATTTATTCTAAATTTCTTTTCTTTTTTTTCGTATAGAATTCAGACATTGTTGTTGAGAAGTTATATGAAAGCACTGAGGAAGGTCAAAAGGTCACCAGGAACCGTGGAGATAAATACCTGGCTGTGTTCAGACGAATCCTGGATCCTTACATAGCCAGCACATCAACACTAGAACCCAGCTGATTTTTTATCAATAAATATAATGTTGTTGAATAGCTTATTTCTTTCACCTTTTTGTTATAGAGAACTACATGGTTGGTTACTGGTATCAAACATATGCTATGTGATCTGTTGTAATTATAGAATATTTGTAAAATACCGACAACTAACATATTGTCATACCCTTGTAATGTAGTTAGGATGGGGAGTTATACTGATATCAGCTTGTCTGTCTTTCAGTCTATCTGTTGACAGAACTTAACCTAAGAATTTTCCTACTCTCTTAGTCAGTTTTCAATGAAACTTCACATATATCTTAATTATTGCATATAGATCAGTTGTTCTACACTCTTTGAGTGTAATTTTTTCATTCTGATATTTTCTTATGGAGCTATCGGGCTTTGTCAAATAATATATCAATGTTTGCACAGACAACTACTCAGATACTTGTAGGCTAATATAACTAAACTTTACATTTAACAGAAGCAAGCTCTGGTGTTGTGTCTTTAGGTCTTGATTTTTTACAAATTGTTGCCACGGTTACAGAAACTGAGTCTCTAATTGGTTGATCTATTTCAGATTGTCAAACTGAAATATTTTGCTGAAAGGTTAGTTAATCAGCTGGTAATGAAAAAATCTGAATTGTTGGTAATAAATAAACAAAAGGAAAGCTACCACTTGAAATATATAAATCTGACCTGTCTAATCAAATCTACAACTGTGAAACGAAAGAGAATATTCCCAATATCTATTGATCAATGTTGCAAAAATTTTCACCAACCACTCTTTAACCAGCATTTGAACAATTGGGAGCTTATTGTTAACAATGCTATGGCAACATGAAAACAATTAGTGTGCCTAAAACCAGAAACCTCCAGCTTACTAGTGAGAAGCTCTGTTGGTTGTTCACTGGTGATATCTACACACACAGGACTTGTACACATGGTGATATATAGACACAGAGGACTTGTACACATGGTGATATATAGACACAGAGGACATGTAAACATGGTGATATATAGACACAGAGGACTTGTAAACATGGTGATATATAGACACAGAGGACTTGTAAGCATGGTGATATACAGACAGAGGACTTGTACACATGGTGATATATAGACACAGAGGACTTGTACACATGGTGATATATAGACACAGGACTAAACATGGTGATATACAGACATAGAGGACTTTTACACATGGTGATATACAGACAGAGGACTTGTACACATGGTGATATATAGACACAGAGGACTTGTACACATGGTGATATATAGACACAGAGGAATTGTACACATGGTGATATATAGACACAGTGGACTTGTAAACATGGTGATATACAGATACAGAGGACTTGTACACATGGTGATATGCAGACATAGAGGACTTGAATACATGGTGATATACAGACAGAGGACTTGTACACATGGTGATATATAGACACAGAGGACTTGTACACATGGTGATATATAGACACAGAGGACTAAACATGGTGATATACAGACAGAGGACGTGTACACATGGTGATATACAGTCACAGAGGACTTGTACACATGGTGATATATAGACACAGAGGACTTGTACACATGGTGATATATAGACACAAAGGAATTGTACACATGGTGATATATAGACACAGTGGACTTGTAAACATGGTGATATACAGACATAGAGGACTTGTACACATGGTGATATAGACACAGAGGACTTGTACTCATGGTGATATATAGACACAGAGGACTTGTACACATGGTGATATATAGACACAGAGGACTTGTACACATGGTGATATATAGACACAGAGGAATTGTACACATGGTGATATATAGACACAGTGGACTTGTACACATGGTGATATACAGATACAGAGGACTTGTACACATGGTGATATACAGACATAGAGGACTTGAACACATGGTGATATACAGACAGAGGACTTGTACACATGGTGGTATATAGACACAGAGGACTTGTACACATGGTGATATATAGACAAAGAGGACTAAACATGGTGATATACAGACATAGAGGACTTGTACACATGGTGATATACAGACAGAGGACGTGTACACATGGTGATATACAGTCACAGAGGACTTGTACACATGGTGATATATAGACACAGAGGACTTGTACACATGGTGATATATAGACACAAAGGAATTGTAAACATGGTGATATACAGATACAGAGGACTTGTACACATGATGATATACAGACATAGAGGACTTGTACACATGGTGATATAGACACAGAGGACTTGTACACATGGTGATATATAGACACAGAGGACTTGTACACATGGTGATATATAGACACAAAGGGCTTGTACACATGGTGATATATAGACACAGAGGACTTGTACACATGGTGATATATAGACACAGAGGACTTGTACACATGGTGATATATAGACATAGGACTTGTACACATGGTGATATATAGACATAGGACTTGTACACGTGGTGATATACAGACATAGAGGACTTGTAAACATGGTGATATATAGACACAGAGGACTTGTACACATGGTGATATATAGACACAGAGGACTTGTACACATGGTGATATATAGACATAGGACTTGTACACATGGTGATGTATAGACATAGGACTTGTACACGTGGTGATATACAGACATAGAGGACTTGTACACATGGTGATATACAGACAGAGGACTTGTACACATGGTGATATATAGACACAGAGGACTTGTACACATGGTGATGTATAGACATAGGACTTGTACACGTGGTGATATACAGACATAGAGGACTTGTACACATGGTGTACATCACAGAAGAAGACTTGTACATGTGGTATACATCACAGAAGAAGACCAGTCAAAAACAGGAAGGAAGAGGATGAGAACCTATGTGAATCCAGATAAGTCTATAATATATTGGAAGCCCCTTTAAATTTCCTGTTTAAATAGTCCTTAATGCTAAGCTAAATCTAACCATCGGGATGCTATTATCTTCTGTGCTCTTTTTCAAAAAGCTTAGACATTCCCACTTGGGCACTCTGACAGACTTCAGCTCCTAGATGCCAGACCCCATAGTATCATGTAGCTCTTCAAAAATATGTTATGAAATATAATGGTATGGTCCATGTACCAATACTCCAGTGAAGAAAGAGTTTCGTTTAACCATCTCTAAAAATGTTTTTAAAGAGATCAAGTGGCTGGGTGACGGAGAATTGTGTAATCTTGATTAATATGAAAACTATCTGTATCATGCTTTCATCTGATAATGAATATTTCACGTTCAGACTAGGTAAAGTTAGCAGGATATGTGTTAATATTGAATTAAATCTTTTGTCTATGCAAACACTCTGGTACCAGAAGAGCACTTTTGAATAACTTTTACAACAGATCAAACTACATGTACCAACAACACAGTTTTCACTATAAAGTCACAGACTGTAACATACTATTACTTGCCCATATTTATATTTCACACGCAGGAACTGCTTGCGCCAGATGTTGATATCTGAGCGGGGAATACACGGAGAAACATGATCTTGTACGGTAACCAAAGGAGCATATGTGTAGCATCAACTACTGCAAATACCTGTATATTGGACATTTCCATGCAAACTACAGCTTGCAGTGAATACTGTACATGTAAACCCATTTGTAAATATCATTTGTATACGTTTGGAAGCTGCTGTGTAGATAAAAAGCCACAGGTTGTTTGGATAGTTATTCATATAAACTTAAAAAAACTGGAAAACACATTGAGCTGTAAAAGATCGTATTTTCCAGTTTTTTTTAGTTTTTATATGTTTTCTGGACACGGTGAAGTTACCATATATTCACTATATATATATATATATATATATATATATACAGGTGCTATTATTAGCTTTTATGCAATATACAGTGTTTTATGTGGAAGTTACAGATATTTTGTGGTATTCTAGGATTATTATACGTCAGTTGATGTTGTGTATAGCGTCAAATGTCAGTATGATATTAGTGTCATTAGTCTAGTGATGTGTTTTCATGCCTGTAATGTGGGCCACATTGGTATATTAAGGTGTCCTGTGCTGTATTTATGCATAATCATTAACAGAGTAGAGAAGTAATTGTAAATATGTAATTTGATTAGGGATGAATTTAGAACATAGTGTATAATAGGTGGTTTTGGAAGTACATAAAGGAGAATTTCCATTTAATTGTAGTTATGTCCAGTGAGGACTAGTAAAGTTATATGCCAGGCTTCAGTCCATGGATGATCTGGTGGATCATGACAATGACCAGGATAGGGGTCTGATGATCTATTTTGATGTGTTAAGGAGTTCTATGGTGAACTGGTGGATCAGGACAATGACCAAGTTAGGGGTCTGATGAGGTATTTTGATGTGTTAAGGAGTTCCATGGTGAACTGGTGGATCATGACAATGACCAGGATAGGGGTCTGATGAGGTATTTTGATGTGTTAAGGAGTTCCATGGTGAACTGGTGGATCAGGACAATGACCAGGATAGGGGTCTGATGAGGTATTTTGATGTGTTAAGGAGTTCCATGGTGAACTGGTGGATCATGACAATGACCAGGATAGGGGTCTGATGAGGTATTTTGATGTGTTAAGGAGTTCCATGTGAACTGGTGGATCATGACAATGACCAGGATAGGGGTCTGATGAGGTATTTTGATGTGTTAAGGAGTTCCATGGTGAACTGGTGGATCAGGACAATGACCAGGATAGGGGTCTGATGAGGTATTTTGATGTGTTAAGGAGTTCTATGGTGAACTGGTGGATCAGGACAATGACCAGGATAGGGGTCTGATGAGGTATTTTGATGTGTTAAGGAGTTCTATGGTGAACTGGTGGATCAGGACAATGACCAGGATAGGGGTCTGATGAGGTATTTTGATGTGTTAAGGAGTTCTATGGTGAACTGGTGGATCAGGACAATGACCAGGATAGGGGTCTGATGAGGTATTTTGATGTGTTAAGGAGTTCTATGGTGAACTGGTGGATCAGGACAATGACCAGGATAGGGGTCTGATGAGGTATTTTGATGTGTTAAGGAGTTCTATGGTGAACTGGTGGATCAGGACAATGACCAGGATAGGGGTCTGATGAGGTATTTTGATGTGTTAAGGAGTTCTATGGTGAACTGGTGGATCAGGACAATGACCAGGATAGGGGTCTGATGAGGTATTTTGATGTGTTAAGGAGTTCTATGGTGAACTGGTGGATCAGGACAATGACCAGGATAGGGGTCTGATGAGGTATTTTGATGTGTTAAGGAGTTCCATGGTGAACTGGTGGATCAGGACAATGACCAGGATAGGGGTCTGATGAGGTATTTTGATGTGTTAAGGAGTTCCATGGTGAACTGGTGGATCAGGACAATGACCAGGATAGGGATCTGATGAGGTATTTTGATGTGTTAAGGAGTTCCATGTTGAACTGGTGTAGATACTTAGTATTTAGACATGACCAGACCGTTGGTGGAGTGAAACTGTGTCCTTTGATATCCTTTGTGGTACCCAGCGATGTGGTATCAATGACGTGGTGTTGTGACATGGTGTTGTGACGTGGCGTTGTGACTTGGTGTTGTGACGTGGTGTTGTGACGTGGCGTTGTGACGTGGCATAACGCGGCGTTGTGACTTGATGTTGTGACATGGCGTTGTGACGTGGCATTGTGACCTGGTGTTGTGACGTGGCATTGTGACGTGGCATTGTGACTTGCTCCGAGGTGGAATGCTGCCCGCCGATATTGACTGTTTTACAGTGCATTATCATAATGGAAAACACCCCATCAATGAACTAATATTACTTAGTATGATGCTTATAACGTTTGTGTTGTATTCTTAGGTTGATATGTGAGTGCGAGTGTAAATGGTGAAAATGTTTGTAGCTATTGTTCATATTGTACATAGGAAATAAATGTCGTAAATAATGTAAACATTGTGTTTTCCTTGCTGTCACTGGTATCATATGGACAACATGCTCATTCCGTTACACTGAACTTGGAATTAAGGTAAGTTCTAATCTTCTTTTCTCATCCCATTTAAGTATCATATCTATGTGTAAAATTGGTGAATATTTAATAAAAAAATATCTTTTAAACTAATAATTGTAATTACATAGCCTCCTTGAAGGATGATGGGAAGTTACATTCAGATGCTTTGGACAAGGCTAACATCGTCAATAGGCAGTACCAATCAGTATTTACTAAGGAGGACCAGTCATCTGTCCCAGGACTGCCAGGAACACCATATCCTTCCATAGAGAACATCACCATAGAAGAGAGAGGGGTTACAAAGTTACTGCTTAACATCAATCTTAGTAAGGCCAGCGGTCCAGACAACATCTCTGCCAGGCTACTAAAGAATCTTGCTGAGGAAGAATATACAAGAATATACCACAGCTGCTTCAGCACTGGAATATTACCATCTGAGTGGAAGAAGACGAATGTCCCACCTAGACAGGCACAGCATCCTGAATGATTGTCAGCATGGATTTAGGGCCAGAAGAGACTGGGAGACCCAACTTCTCACCCTATGCCATGACCTGGCAAATAACATCGACAGGGGACTCCAGACAGATCTCATTATCCTGGACTTTTCAAAAGCCTTTGACCAGGTACCTCACCGACGGTTGCTTAGGAAGTTAGACTTCTGTGGTATCAGAGGACCGACACAATCCTGGATAAGGAGCTTCTTGGAAGGACGAACCCAGCAGGTCATGGTAGAGGGCAAGTTGTCGGAGGAAGCCCCAGTTGTCAGCGGTGTCCCTCAGGGGACTTGTCTCGGACTTCTTCTCTTCCTACTGTTCATCAATGACCTCCCCAACAACATAGTGTCCCAGGTCAGACTTTTCGCAGATGACTGCATAGTCTACAGAACAGTGAGAGGAGAAGAAGATGTTGACACACTGAAAACAGATCTTTCAGAGCTGGCAAAGTGGGAAAAACTGTGGGGTATGGAGTTCCACCCAGACAAGTGTAGTGTTCTGAGGGTCACTAAGAACAGGAAGACCATCCAAGCCTGGTACCATCTTAAAGGACACTTACTTGAGGAGACTAATTCCAGCAAGTATCTCAGGGTGGATATCTCAGCAGACTTAACTTGGAACCACCACATAGATAGAGTACGCAAGAAAGCAAACAGCACTCTTGGCTTCCTCAGAAGAAACCTGTAGATCTCCAATGAGGATATAAAGGCACGCGCATACTATACATTTGTTCGCCCAACCTTAGAGTACTGCTCATCAGTGTGGAGCCCACACACCAAGAAACAAGTGGACCAACTTGAGATGGTCCAAAGGAGAGCGGTGCTGTACACCACCAACAGATTTCGCAATACCAGCAGTGTATCTGAGATGATGCAGACTCTACAATGGGAGACACTGAAATCAAGACGGCTTAAGATCCAGCTCGCCATCATGTACAAGATTGCCCACAAGTTAGTGGATATCACAACAGAAACCTACTTAACACCATCTACAACTTGCACTCGTAGGAACCACTCACTAAAGTTCTCTCATCTCCCCTCATCCAAAAGCACTTTCAGGTACAGTTTCTTTCCATCTACTATCCCACTTTGGAACTCTCTCCCAGCCACTGCAGCTGAGGCCCCTGACTTGGTATCCTTCAAGCAGGGGCTATCAACTCTTTCTTTTTATCCAGACTATCTCCTCTGAAGCTGGTAGTGAGAGCTGTGCCGGTTGGAGTTTATCTCCTGAGGCCGCTACGGTAGCCGGATTGGTCAAACTAGCAGTGGGATGAGGAGTTAGTTACAGGACACACACTACACAATACACACATTCAGTACAAATATATAGTTACAGGACATACACTACACAATACACACATTCAGTACAAATATATATCTCTTCTTAAATATTATCTTATCATACTTGTTTTTATAATTTGTCAGATGAAGCGCCGCGCACACACTGTCAGCCAAATGACAGAACTATGCTATTCTATTTTCACTTTCTGTTTGTTCATGCCTCGAAAAATACGAAACCTTGGCGGTTATTTTTCTTTCCAATGAGATATACAAATATTTTTCTTCCTTTTTTATTATTGAGTTGGAAAATATGTCTGCAGACCAATTGTAATCTTTTCTGTAAAGTTTTAACACTAGGAGTTTGTTATTCGTAGCGTACCTAAGTCACGAGAGGAAGAGGTCACTGGGTCAGTCTGATATGTGTGAAGGCTGACCATTTCACGATCCACGATGTTCAGACGCTGTTCAATTTTAGGACTGTGTCCGAGACGTTCATGGAATTACTCGCAGGTATCCATTTTGACATTTGTACAATGGGAATTTAACTAATAACATGAGTGTGCTGTTATCAAATAACATCTGTCGATTAAGATTTACAACTAAAAAGAGTCGAGGTACGTACGTACAATGTTTAGTTAGATACAACAATTACACACAGTACACACAGATACACAAATGAACATGCGTAGGTTAAAGTTCTAAAGTATCAGCGGAAAGCCAGATTTGATTACAGTAATTTTGAAAAAGGACATGTCTAAGCATTGTATAGAATTTTAACTTCCAGTAAAGATTTCTATGCAAGCGACATTGCGTCACATATAAGTACACACGATGTTTAAAAGTACTGTCTATATACAACATGTGTATCATCAACCTAGACTGTACCTATGTGAAATTCTCAGGTCCATGTAGAGTGCATAAATCGTACATGGTTCAGAAAAAAACTAGATAACTTCATTTTCTTAAAAGTAAATTACAGATTTGTTCATGTTGATCATAGTTCTACTGACATGAACATTTCGTTATTTGGACTTTTTTCTTCCTTGATTTGGCATTAGTTCTGCTGATGTTTTGTGAGTCACTGTGTTATTTTTTCTTTTGTTCCCTAGTTTTATTGAATTTAGGCAACAGTCATGTTGACAGAATGGTATTTTCTTATTGTTTTGTGTTGCAACAGTTTACTGCACACAACCACTTTCATGGTCATGTAGTCATGATCACCCATGAAAGAAGATAAGGTGTGCTGTAGACTGAATTAATAACAGTGACCATGAATGGCTAAACATGGTCCAGCATCTATCACAGCCAGATATACAACCAAAATGGCGAACACCTCACTGGTGTCAAGGTTTTACTGTCCATAGTATCTGTCACTGTAAATTACGTAATAGAAATAGTCAAAATGGAGCATGACTCTGCATACCTTTCCTTATACATGTGTTACTATAGAAAAGAACCCCTTTCTACTTTATAGACCCCTGTTTGTAGTAAATAACCTGTGGTGTATCATATCATTTCTACATTGTAGTAAATACAGATACAAATGAGAAATAAATGTTGTCTATTACGACTTGATTTGGGTTATATGTCCATAATCACGTTAATTATTATGGTGTTTAATTTTTGGGGAAGGTTAATGATTGAGTGGTACCCTGGAGTTCATTTCTGCTTTGCTCAGTATGTGAAAACATTTTCTTTTTTTACAGACTCGAAAGACTATACGACGACTTATGTGTTCATTGGCTCATGAAAATTTATCATGTGCACTGCACTTACAAAAGTGCCATTCTACATGTACTCAACCTATTCGACATTTTTCATCATTCATTCGAGGCATTGGACTAAATGTGGACAAATCAGAGTGTTTGATGGATGAGGACATTGTTGTGAAAGTTTCCAAATTGACTCCAAGCGAAAAAGTCACAATCCTGGCTACGACAGAAATAGATGGAAATCTCTTTTGGTCACATGGTGTATTTCGAGCCAATGACAGTGGTGTTGTAGATCTTAGCACGGATACACCAATTAGCGGCAGTTATGATGGTATGAAGGATTGTTATATGGAAACCTTTAACTCTTCTCAACAGATGTCTATAGATGTATGCTTAAATATTGAGAGGCTTGTATAAAAATGGTGTTTAACTTATCAGAGTATCATATAGGCAATGTATATTCTGACAAAAGACTTATGGAGGGTCTAGGGGAAATCCACAGATAACAAAAGACTTACTGGAGGGTCTAGGGGAAATCCACAGATAACAAAAGACTTACTGGAGGGTCTAGGGGAAATCCACAGATAACAAAAGACTTACTGGAGGGTCTTGGGGAAATCCACCGATAACAAAAGACTTACTGGAGGGTCTAGGGGAAATCCACAGATAACAAAAGACTTACTGGAGGGTCTAGGGGAAATCCACAGATAACAAAAGACTTACTGGAGGGTCTAGGGGAAATCCACAGATAACAAAAGACTTACTGGAGGGTCTAGGGGAAATCCACAGATAACAAAAGACTTACTGGAGGGTCTTGGGGAAATCCACCGATAACAAAAGACTTACTGGAGGGTCTAGGGGAAATCCACAGATAACAAAAGACTTACTGGAGGGTCTTGGGGAAATCCACAGATAACAAAAGACTTACTGGAGGGTCTAGGGGAAATCCACAGATAACAAAAGACTAAGATATCTAGAAGTAATATTGAAATGAAAAGTATCTGTTTTTTCCATGATGTAACGATAGTAAAGGACAAGAAAAAAAATACCCATTTGATGTTCCACATTATTTTTATTCCATAATACAATAAAGAGCAGACAAAGGAGATTTGTTTTTTCAAATTTCCTAGAACTACATGGTCTAGCAGCTGGTTAGATTTCGTAGTTTGTTGGTCAGAAAATGCCTAAATATTGAGTAGATCTGAGATATTATCCCACTGTTATTATTTAATCTATGATAAGTATAAATCACTCAACTTCGTATCTCTTTAATGTTAAATGGTTTTCACCAACAGAAGCAGATCCTGTAGGCTTAATTTGGAGTATGGTGGCAGCACCATGGTTACCAGCACATTGGCGCATGTTCCAAGCCAGAGCTATCAAGCCAAGGATATTTACCTTTAGTGTGTTCCCAGAATCAGATGATCCAAGTCAGTACCTCAAAGATAGAACGAAAATGTTCGCATCTGTTGAGCATAAAAGATGGTACAAATCTTCTGATACAAGACGAATACCTGTTGAACATCCACGACTCCAAGGCACTGTCTTTCTACCAGAAGGTATGCCTTCAGTTTGTTTTATTTCACTTCTATTTCAACAGAAGAGTTAAGATTCAACAACATATTTATGCAGGTAGGACATATTGAAGGATCCTAGAAGGATGAAACAGCTGTATGATATACCATTACTGACGAGTCTAAGAAGGGCGAAACAGCTATTTGATGTATTTAATTCATTGTTTGTCACTACTGTATCTAATCCAAAATTTATATGACAAGGTGTTATGTATCTTTCACTTTCACGATATGAGGATTGTTTTACATTGTAATGGTGAGCATTGCCTAATCTCTCACATTTTCTCACTGTAATAATTGGTGAAGTGTCACAATTTGACTGTGAAGATTGCCTGACCTTTAACTTTCTCATTTAGATTGTGAAAATGAGCTATGTTTTCATGGAATGTTGTAGGATTTTTTATGTTCCAAATTTGATGATTGCTCATCTATAACTTTTTGACTGTGGAGATTGCTTAACATTCCCGACCTGACTGATGACTGCCTCTTTACAAGTTGACCGTTGAGATTTGTTGAAGTGTCTCTACCTCATTTATAACATTATCTTTATTAAGGTTTGCATTATTGTTTATGACTGTGAATTTTCCCGATCTATCACGTTTAGACTCAGAAGTTAGTCCTTAATCTTTTATGTTTTGACATTGACAATTGTGTGATCATTTTTCTGATTCACAAATGTGATGATTTCTGGCCTTTTTAGTACTAACAAGAGATTCTTTGATCTTTTATGTTTTAACTGTGAAGGTAGCAGGATTTGTTTCCTCAATGTAATGGCTGCCAAACTTTCATGTCGTTGCTGTTCTAAAACAGAAATTTACATATCTTTTTAGCCCACTCTGATCAGATGGTGGGCAATTCAAATCGCTCTGCATCATTCTATCCATAAACAATATTTGTTATGGCTATTTTTTTTGAGAAGCACTGGATGGACCTTTCTCAAATTGTATATGTAAGTTTCCCTTGGTCTCTAGTTGTGCCCATTTTAATTTTGGGACTGATCAAAACAAGAAAATTGGCCAACAGGCAGCCATCTTGGACTTTTTCAATGAAGTTTGTTTTCGCTATTTCCTCAAAAAAGTCAAGGATGGATCTCTCTCAAATTTTATATGTAGGTTCCACTTGGTCTCTAGTTGTGCCCATGTTATTTTGGGTCTGATCAGAAAATCAAAATGGCCCACAAGTGGCCATCTTGGATTTTGACTTTGAATGTTTGTTATCACTATATCTTGAGAACTACTGAATAGATCTTTCTCAAATTTTATGTATAGGTTCCTTTAGGATCCTAGTTGTGCCAGTTTGAGTTTGGGTCGAGTAGATTGACAGATCTTGAAGTGAAGGCTGTCAATCTCTCACTGATTGTGATGATTGACAGATCTTGAAGTGAAGGCTGTCAGTCTCTCACTGATTGTGATGATTGACAGATCTTGAAGTGAAGGCTGTCAATCTCTCACTGATTGTGATGATTGACAGATCTTGAAGTGAAGGCTGTCAATCTCTCACTGTTTGTGATGATTGACAGATCTTGAAGTGAAGGCTGTCAATCTCTCACTGTTTGTGATGATTGACAGATCTTGAAGTGAAGGCTGTCAATCTCTCACTGATTGTGATGATTGACAGATCTTGAAGTGAAGGCTGTCAATCTCTCACTGATTGTGATGATTGACAGATCTTGAAGTGAAGGCTGTCAATCTCTCACTGATTGTGATGATTGACAGATCTTGAAGTGAAGGCTGTCAATCTCTCACTGATTGTGATGATTGACAGATCTTGAAGTGAAGGCTGTCAATCTCTCACTGATTGTGATGATTGACAGATCTTGAAGTGAAGACTGTCAATCTCTCACTGATTGTGATGATTGACAGATCTTGAAGTGAAGGCTGTCAATCTGTCACTGATTGTGATGATTGACAGATCTTGAAGTGAAGGCTGTCAATCTCTCACTGATTGTGATGATTGACAGATCTTGAAGTGAAGACTGTCAATCTGTCACTGATTGTGATGATTGACAGATCTTGAAGTGAAGGCTGTCAATCTCTCGCTGATTGTGATGATTGAGAGATCTTGAAGTGAAGGCTGGCAATCTCTCACATATTAACATGGCAAATAAAATCGTATGAAATGGCCGCTAATGTTTTCCGGCCTTGTGGAAAATGTTAGCAGCGATTTCATACGATTTTATTTGCCATGTGAATGTTTTGATTTTCTATATATACGATACACAAAGTTTTTATCTTTTTTGAATTATATATATATGCATAATAGAAATGAAGATTGATGATTTCGATCTTGTCTAGTAAAATTATACGGTATTTGTGATTGATTCTAGTTAATATGATACTCCTACCACAGGTCCAGGTCCCTTCCCGGGGGTCATTGATATGTACGGTGGCCTGGTGGCAATCGTGGAGGGACGGGCAGCGCTGCTTGCATCCAAGGGATTTGCCACTCTGTCCTTGTCATATGTTAACGGAAAGAATCTGCCACAGACAATGCTCAACATCGAACTAAATTATTTTGAGGTAATCAATAAAGCACGCTTTCTTTGAAAGATTTACATTTGAAGAAAGAATCCATAATGATGTCATTGATGGGCTTATGGCAAAAATCAAAAATGTTTTGAATCCTGAAGATGAGATTTGTGTTGATCAGCCTAGATTATACGAAAGGAAAATTCAATGTAATGATGTAGGAATTATTTCCACAAGTAAAGATGTACATATAAACTCTAAAACGCATATTTCATGTATGTTTTCATGTGTGTAAAGGAGAATTAGGGCTTAGGACGAGATATCATGATTGACACATGATTTACCTACATGTATCGTATGATGTGCTTAAATCCTGTCTTCATTGGAGAATAAAGAAAAGCTGTTCAATTTGTGATACAGGATGCGGCAAATTGGTTTGCTAGTTTACCAGAAGTACGTTCAGATGGCCTTGGTGTGTTGTCTTTGTGTCTCGGTGGAACGATGGCATTGTGGATGGCTCAGACTATTCCAAACGTATGTTTACCTGTTACATAATTCAGGGAGTAAGTTCCCCTCTTCCAAATTCATATGTTGATTGATGTTGTAGTGAAGGCTTTGATTAAATCTGTGTCTATATACAAAAACCCAATCCTTTGTGTGTGGAAATCAGTTTTTGTTTATACACCACAGGTGACACAAATTATAGTAAGGAGATTAGATGGTGTGCTATAAAATTTATGACCTTCGTCCCAGTTGGGTTGAGAAGTTAATATGAACCAAGTCTTTTTTTAGATATGATGATTCACTCATTAATACAAAGATTCCTCTCATTCCAGGTCAGAGCAGTGGTTAATATCAATGGAATGCCATACACTCACAGTAATTGGACGTACAATAAAATTGACATTGGATGTAAAACTTGGTAACTGCTTGATCTACTTCCTTAATACAGTGTAGAGGATGTGTTTGTGTTTTTAGCATTGTTGATCAATAGAACACTGGAGTAATTACACTTAAAACTATTTTCAATTTTTAACAATCTATAAATGACTGCATTACATGTATATTTTCACTTTTGTAAATGGCTACTGAGAGCGTCACGAAGAGTGATCTCTCCATCGTTCTCTTTCTATAATACATTATGTTTTCTGTCATTTCAACCTATCACAGACAATTTGTGTACAATTTATTTAATACTGAGAGCATCATGAATAGTGATGTCTCCATTGTTCTCTTTCTATAATACATTATGTTTACTGTCATTTCAACCTATCACAGTCAATTTATACTTAGGGTGTATCACAGTTTCCATAACATAAATCCATAGCTGATAGAAAAACTGAAAATACAGGGCTTCAGCTGAGATGCAGTATGATGGGTACTAAGATAGTATTAAATGGTTGTCAATCTCAATGGAAAATTTGCTGTCTTTAGATATGTTATATGCTCATCAGTATGTCTGGTAGTCTTGTTGTTATGAACCTCGTTCTCATTTTTATATGGCATAACTGTGATTGATTTGTGATAAAATCATGAGGTGGGCAGAAGAAATACCCTTCCACAATGCCAGGTGTTATTTTCTTTTCACATTCATGAATTTTTATGTGAATCTTCCTCTTGTTTATATTTTGCCCTTTTTCACATCTACGGTGAATAGGAAGAAATATTTTGTGAACATGTCAATATTGCTTTGTTGTTTTTGTCCTTCTAGGATCGACATAGAACGATTTAAAAAAATGGAGGAAGGTTTGTCGGTCAGGGACATGTTTGTGGTTCATGACGAATCCTTTTTAAAGGTGAGTTTGGAACAAAGAAACTGAATACCTATCTAGTAAGTGAAATCAGCATACAATAATTCTGTTCAGAAATAGTTGTCAAGACTTTTCAGATGGTTTCAGTTAATACCACTGAGCCGCAGTGTCAGTTGGCCACTCATACACTGAATTATAGGTGTCCTCACCTAAATGTCTGATTGGTATATATCTAAATTAAAGACTTTGAATTTATCATCAGTAAAAATGGAAGGAAATAAAGCATAAACAGCATCTCTAATTTTGGAGACAGTTTCTAGACCAACTTTATTTCCAGCTGTTTTTCAGCCCACCATCATCAGAAGTTCTCATATTTCTTATGTAGGACCCCATCATCCCTAGATGTGTACCATAGAGTTTGGGACTGATCACTATTTTTCTTAAGAACTTGATGGATCTCATGACTTTGAAAGTTTGTTATTGCTATTTCTTAAACATCACTGAATGGATCTCTCTCAAATTATATATATAGGTTCCCCTAGGTCCACAGTTGTGCTCATTTGATTTTGGGTCTGATCAGAAAAACAAAATGGCCGACAGGTGGCCACCTTGGATTTTGACTTTGCAAATTTGTTAACATATTTCTTGGGAAGTACAGGATGGAGCTCTCCCAACTTTCATATGAAGGTTCCCCTTTGTCCTTATTTTCAGATTTAGGCCTGATCAGATAAACAAAATGGCCGATAGGCAGGTGTCTTGAATTTTGACTTTGCAAGATTGTTACCGCTATTTCTTGAAAAATGTTTCATAGATCTTTCTCAAATTTCATGTGTAGCTTCCCCTTGGACTCTAGTTGTTCCAATGTAACTTTGGGACTGATCAGAAAAACAAAATGGCTGACAGGCAGCCATCTTTGATTTGACAGGTGATTATTATTGCTATTTCTGCCAAGTAATTTTGTATCATTAAGAGCAAAAGCAGAGGAGAGAAGAGAAAAGAAGGAGAAATTATCCAACTTCTAAAGAACAAGTAAAGATCATACATTGGTTGGTGCTAATATCCCTCTTGGATCGCTTGTTGATATCTTACTTTGAATGTTTGAATGTACAGTTATGTCAGGAAATGAATGCATGTATTCTTGTAGCCTTGGACACATGGCGCCCACCTCCTGACAATATCCGGCGGCGATGACCTCATGACCCGTATGGAATATAATGTTCGCTTATATGAGGAATTCATGCCACAAGATTATCGCCAAAAGAAAACAGAGTTTGTAGTATATCCTGGAGCTGGACATCTGATAGAGGTGCCACACGCCCCAGTGTGTCGTGTTGTCGAGGCAGCTAACAGGATCCAACAGGCATTACATCTACAGAATCCCGTACACCAACATAGTGAGTTTTTCAAAGACGCCATTCATAACATCAATAGTCGACATAATAGTTCATACAAACAGTTGACATAATAGTTCCTACAAAACATCAGTAATACATTATCACACACTGAGTTGACCATTCATGAGTGCTAGTTGTAAGTTCTCATATGCATATTTTTTTTTACATTTTTACGTGTGATACTGATTTTGTATTTTGACTCGAAATAATGTATAGGTTAATCTTTAGTACTGAAGGTTTATTTACGCTGCAGAACTGTCGAAATAACAAGAGGATTTACAGGATTCATCTAGGATTTGGATATTTAAACATTGTATCTCTAAGAAAGTATTTATTTGTATATATTTAATTTTTAGGCTGATTAAATTTTGTTTTAATGCTTATAAGATGAACAAACTCTCTGATAGGCAGTTTCGATAATATCAAATTCATGAAATTCAAGCTTTTGAACACAGCAGTTTCGATAATATCTGAATCATGACATTCAGCAAAGTAAAATTTTGAAGTCATTGCATTCATAGTATGCTGTTTACTCCTGCTAATATCTATTATCAGTTTTGTTGACATTTTGACATTATGTTTTTATTGAATGCTGCTACAGCAAACAGGTGAACTTACATATACCGATGACAGTTATACTGTAGGCGAAGTTTCCTCAGAAATCTTTTACCAACTATGGACGACAATTTGAGATATCCATGTTTTGTCATAGAAATGATATTCCTACATAATTACTTCATTCAGGTTTTAGAAAAAGATTGCCCTATGCTAAATATGAATTATCATATGAAGAAAATATGATGAAATGTATGGAAAAGTTGTAAGAAAACCATTTGTTCTAATGTGATCTATAAACATCATGTTCAGATAATCTATTGCTGTCTGGAGGATATCCCAAGGAGCACGCCGCAGCACAAAGGAACGCATGGCAGCTATCAGTAGACTTTCTCAAGAAGCATTTGTGTTGAAGAAAAAATTCTCTGTTCTCTCAGTGTCAGCTACGCTGAATTGAGTGTATAACATGGTAAAAATATGTCACCAAATGAATGAAAAAGGCATTTAAGTGAGAGACCTGATAGGAGATTAATTTGTGAACATAATTTGCTGCTAACGTGTTCATGTCATATCTATTCAAGTGAACGAACATGCCATATCTATTCAAGTGATTGAACATGCCATATCTATTCAAGTGATTGAACATGCCATATCTATTCAAGTGAACATGCCATATCTATTCAAGTGAAAACGAATACAGACGGAATAAACAGAGCATTACTCGAGAACATTGCATAATCAATGTGTCACATTAATAACAGGTATGCTTTATACATAAATTACATTATCAAAGGCAAATTGCAGATGGTTGTTAACAGCATTTTCCTCCAGTCAATCAAAAAGAGTTACTGCCCTTGTTTGCATTTTTTTGCTAGCTAGGAAAGAGAGACAGAAGACAAGGAAGAGCAGAAATTCAGGCGGGTAATCTTTAGCATCCAAATAAAACAATGTAAAAATGCACCCGCCACACCCTATTATTAGAAATGGAATAATTTGCCAATTTTGTATGAAGCTGTTGTTTGCTTTGTTTATTTCTTTCTCTCATATTTTTTAGCATTCTTGTCCATCACAGTCCTTTCTCATCAGTGAGACATGATATTCTGTGTGGCAGACAGTTATCAAATAAACAGCGTTTCAATTGTGTATGTGTAATAAGGCCTTATCAGGTGAACAAATAATTGTCTATATTTTACCTGCACTCATTCTTGAAGAATATGTATGATGGGCAAGAAAAGGTGGGTGTCGCTACGCAAAGGAGATCAGTATTATAATTGTTGAAGATTCCAAGATAGGAAGCAAGCATTGATTTTGTTTAATTATATAGACTTAATGTCAAGGGGATGTCTGTCCCCAGGATTGTCATGATAAATAGCATTGTTGTTTTTTTTTACGTCAGCTACGGTGTACAGTATACATGTATTTTTATATCATTAAATACTGTGGCCAAGATATTCCAAATATGGTGTTTATTAATCATTTACTGTGATTGAGTGATTTGATCTTGGATAATTCATTTTATACACAGAAAAAAGTTTAAAAATCTGGCCTATGTAATACCAAAGTCTTGCTTTCACCCATTTAGTCGAACTGTACCTATTGATAATCACTTCTGTGCATTTGGTGAGTGGTTACTAACTGTGGTCATTATGGCAATGTCTGAATTCACTAAATTTTAAATTCATACAAATATATACACACCATACATCTATATAAACATCATACACTTATATACACACCATACATCTATATAAACATCATACACTTATATACACACCATACATCTATATACACACCATACATCTATATACACACCATACATCTATAGAAACACCCCGGTCCATGAAAATTTAACTAAAACAATCGGAGCGTTGCTGTTACAAGCTACATCGGCACAGACTTCCCTCACTTATAATAGTGCTTATGATTATGTCAGTTTGTTGGTACTGTGTTTACAGGTACCCCAGTTTTATCTACCTCATACAATATACTTGCATAATTTGTTGCTCACTTATTCCAGCAGGGGTTAGCGCCAGCTACTATTTCTACATATGTCGCAGCTATAGGGGTTAGCGCCAGCTACTATTTCTACATATGTCGCAGCTATAGGGGTTAGCGCCAGCTACTGTTCCTACATATGTCGCGGCTATAGGGGTTAGCGCCAGCTACTATTTCTACATATGTCGCGGCTATAGGGGTTAGCGCCAGCTGCTATTTCTACTTATGTCGCGGCTATAGGGGTTAGCGCCAGCTGCTGTTTCTACATATGTCGCGGCTATAGGGGTTAGCGCCAGCTACTATTTCTACTTATGTCGTGGCTATAGGGGTTAGCGCCAGCTACTGTTTCTACATATGTCGCGGCTATAGGGGTTAGCGCCAGTTACTATTTCTACATATGTCGCGGCTATAGGGGTTAGCGCCAGCTACTATTTCTACTTATGTCGCGGCTATAGGTGTTAGAGCCAGCTACTATTTCTACATATGTCACGGCTATTGGTTATATAAACAGGCTCTGTGGTTACGGCGATCCCGTTCAGTCATTTTTGATAAAAAAGCTGCTTAATTCGGTTCATCGGGGTACTCACCAATCCGATAATCATTTACCTATCACACCTGAGATCCTCACTCAATTGGTTGCCTCCCAAAGGTATACTACGTCGTCACCTTATCACCTTCATTTAATTAATGCCATGTATTTATTGGCTTTCCATGCTTTCTTGCGTGTGGGTGAGATGACTGTTAACGTGGAACGAGCGTCGGTCAGCAATCCGGGGAAATGAACACCGAAAAGATTGATTTCAATGACAAATGTTTATTTACAATGATGACAATAAAGAGATTAAATAAAAAAAACCTATAATACCCACACGTCACACTCACTAATTCACTCATTCACAAACACAATTATTACAAGTTACAGTCTGTAGCTACACACACAACGACGAATGGGATCCTGGTACAGTTCCGGTGCAAGACAGTCGCTAACCTGCAACCACGCTCAATCCAGAGCCAAGAGGTATAAACACATCAAGCAGCACCATGCTTGCTTGAAACGCCCAAAATGGCAAACTCACTAGTGTCCAAGACACGACAGGAAAGCTGGGATGTACACACTAGTGTCCTTGACACGACAGCCATCCCAATAGTAGATATACTGTGACTCAGCCTCCAAGCAAGTCGCTGACCCTGGCCTACGTAACGACCCAACACATGTATTCCATGCTGACCTTGACCCTGGCGAAGAGAACTTATCCGGTCGGTCCTGACACTGGAGTCACAATGAGTTGGCACAGCTGACTGGTCCTGGCTTGCTAGCTGAGAATCCTAGTCCGTTATGTGAAGCACAATCTGTCGTCTGTGCCTTGTTCACAATATCGGAAACAGCTATATTTACATATCGGCTACACGAACTCACAAAACTGTGGACCGTAAACAAGTGTCCATTCCGTGCACAACCGGTCAAGCCCGTGACGTATATCCGCCCAGTGGTGCGGACAATTAAGAGTCCTTACACCGCAAAACAAACTCAAATTAAAACTTACCATTTATAGACAAACTATACATGCTTACGTGACAATGACATAGAGTAAATCAGCTGGCAATGTGTTACAGTTTGCAGATCTTAAGGTGCTCACAAATTCTTCCTGCCCTCTTGGCCAACTGGAATTGACATTTCATTCCTTCAAAGGACATTATAACATACGTCCTATTACGCTAGCCATTGCTGCTGCCAGGCAAAATCAGACTTTATGCCCTGTCCTTGCGATGCGACAATATCTGCAGCTTTGTGGCCAGATTTCTGGCCCACTTTTTTGTTTTCCTGGTGGGCAGGCTGTTTCTTATGCCTTTTTCTGTGACAGTCTCAAGCAATCCTTGGGCTGGGCAGGCCTTTCTCATCTATGGATTACTCCGCACAGTTATCCGAATTGGTGCTGCTAGCTATGCAGCATCGCGTGGTGTTTCTGATGATGAGATACAGCAGATGGGCAGGTGGCAGTAGTTGGCCTTTAAACAGTATATTTGTCTGCCTTCAGTGTTTGATTGGTGTTTTAATTTTGAATGATACATTATTTATTCCTTCAACATTTGTCGTACCTTTAGTCATGGGGTCTACTGGTCACCTGAGATAGAGTTAAGCTTGTGCAAAAATTCCCCCCTTGCTTTTAATGGCACATTATATCTATTGTATTGTAATAATTTTTGGTTATATATTTTCTGTCATATCTTGTGTATTTTAGAACATGTGTATTACCATATTTGGCAACTATTTATTTAACCTTTCTGATTTCATAGTTTCTCCCAACTTCCATGGCAGCAGATGGGGGAGAGATTCCTTACCCATAGGTTGCACCTAGGGAAAGTTATCTCTGTGGCATTTTCTGATCCCCATCTTAGACTTGTTTAATGTTTTTTTCATAACATTGTTAACAAGAACATTTGGTATATGATGTATGTTCATGAGAGTTTACATATGTACATTTATATATATATGTCGTTAATAAAAACGGCCAATTTCAATTCATATTGAGTCTTTGTGGTTTATTTACAAGTCTAACTAGCTCGCCATGGTAGCTGTTCATAGTGGAATCATTTATAAAGGGTACTGAAGACATATGAAATTTTTTAGACAGATATATTGATAGCTATTGATTCTAAAGTGGTAAGTAGTTGTGTTTGTCATATTGTTGTTCAACTGACTTAAAATGCATGTCCAGTTAAAACCGTCATGGGAGGTAGATATGGGGTTAAATAACCGAACAATATCAGTAAAATATGTCTGCCACAAATGGAAATAGCAAATATAATTGAAACATGATATTCATTAGAGATTTGCATTCTCCATACAAAGTACACGAGATATAGGATCTGTACTCACTGTTGACTCCTGAAGCAGTTCTTTTATTTACTTATTTGCTTCTCACACCACAATTACATGCTCATCATACAAAAACTACTGAACCCGCTGATATAGGATAAAAAACATTTAAAGCACCTTGCCCCTGCAATCATTCTGGAAAGTTTGATTTGTTTTTTTACCTTTTGTTTAATTCTTTTTTCGAATTTTATTGCATGAAGCTTTCACTTTACGTTAGTTGTCTCCCCTTAGGGTTTTTGTTGTTAGTCACCTTTTATTCTTCTTTATCGCCGTGTTAGAATCTTCTGCTTCTTAATCCTTTGCATTGGAATGCAATAAAGACATCTGAGATAATTGTATCAGCCCTCACAGATGGAAAATTTCGAAATTCATAATAACACCAGGTATATATTTCATTTAGATTTATCTATAGTACCTGCTAAACAAGAACATCATAACAGCACTTACTACACTTTACAGTAATATTTGACCATTTAAGTGTTTTTTGTAAGGAAACCATTCATTGCTACCTCTAAATGTACATATTCGATTGAATTTTCTGTATTTAAAGCTACAGAAATAATTTAACTAGACATGACAATTAATTGTGTCCTTGTACATGTATAGATATATTAGAAAGTTAAAATTTGTAATGTTTTACTAATCAGAAATGTTTCAAATTTTTATCTTAAATATATAATCAGTGAAGTAATAACAACAAGAGACGAATGAGTTGTCAAATTTTCCTGGCAATCTGCTCGTTTATCAAGATACAAAATAAGACACAGACTATTACATAAATTACACCATATCAAACAAGCATTAGTTTGTTAGGATCCAGTTCCAATTTTCGACAATGCTGGCAATATTACATACTGCAGCACTCATCTGGTATATATAAGGTAAAAAATTGACAAATTTGACAAAATTTTCATACTTCCATAAATTATACATATTTTGAATTGTTACCATGGCTACATTAGTGCAATAACAAATAAGAAAATTAACACCTGCGGCTTTGAATCATGGTCATTTCCTTTTGCAAAATTTGTTGAGATTCATCCTAATATATACCATCTGAATATCATGCCTCCAGGCTTTTTAGTCCATGTGTAAAAGTTGTTTGAAAGTTTCAACAAATTTGACCCCTGTGACCTTGAACATAAGTCAAGGTAAGTTTTCTTTTCACACCCCTTGTTTGGTTTATCTTAAGAACATACCAGCCAAATATCATTCCTCTAATATGTTTAATGTTTTTATGTTAAATATGTTTTATGAACGATCAAGACAAACTAGGACATTGTGAAAAAAAAACCCAAGTGGCTCAAGGGCCTTAATGGTCAACTGGGTCATAATGGTTCTTGTAACGTCATAGAAATAATTTTGTTTAAAAAAGTTATATAACTTTAATTATAATGTACACATAATAATATAACTTTAATTATAATGTACACATAATACAAATGTGAGACCCTAGGGTGATGAAATTTACAATTTTGGTAAAGCATCTGAAGGCCTTTCTATCCATGATGAGTACTTGATTTTATCATACCTGGGATATGAGAAGATTTTTTAAGTTTCAATAAATTTGACCCTCAGGAGTTTGCCACAAGAAGTCGAAAATGTTAAAAGTTTACAATGCACAATGCCGGACAAAAAGAGATCGCATTAAGAGTATATATGAAAAAATATGAAGGTTTTTTATTTCTAAAAAATGATGTCTCTGTTCAACAAAAAAATGACACTATTTTTAGTACCTACAATATAGATGCACCAGACCTGTTATTTAACTGGTCTCATTCACAGATAAGTTATAAACAATAAATATATCACAAAGAATATTACTCCAACCATGCAACATGGCCACCATGATAAATTACATTTTTATCTTTCAGTAAATAGGTCTCTATATAATGCTGATCTATTTAATCTTCACTTTGACTGACAAGCACATACATGTAGTTACAAGCCACTTTGTAAGCTACACACATATTGTAAAAAAAGTCATAACTTAAGTTTGTACAGCAAACACAGAAACTGACACCAGGATGTATGTTTCACCTGCAATGCACACCCCTTTCATGAAGCAATTTAGGTAACAAGATTTATAAAGTAAAGTAGAAAGCTTTGACATAAACAGGGGTCAAAATGGCAGCACAAAGAACACTTTGACTCAGGTGTTAATTTATCTCCAAGTCCAAAATGTTGAACTAGGACTGTAGCTGGATTCGAAAGTCTTCTCCGTAGTAGTCAAAGGCTTTTAGGTCGGATTTCTTACACAGCATTTCTCTAATCAAATTATCATTGATCTGGAATAAACAAATTCAAATCGATAAGAATAGTTACTGGTTGTTCTTGCAATAGACATGCAAACACTGTTCAGCTATTTATCCCAGTCAAAAAATTATCGATCTTTTGAGCTTCAATGTCTGCATTAAAGTATTACCATAGAAAACTTTACTATTGTCCAATGAACATTTATCTACTCCAGGGAATTTATTACTAAGCCTACCTATTTTTTTAAAGTATAAGTTTTTGAAAAAAAAAATACAAGAAAGTCTTTTCCTGAACAGATTTGTCTTCTGAGGTTTTGTTGGGTTCTTAAGAACCAGTTTTACAGTAGATAATCCATTTCAGAGGTTCTCCAGGGCAGCAAATCACTTTCTCTAACAATACAAAATAAAACTAGAGTATCAATGAAACCTATGAATGCTCCCCAAAAGCAAATTTAATGGACACAAAATATTAACGCAGCGTAAAAATTCAGTAATTAAGGGGTTTCAAACCTGAATTTCTTATACTGCACATCCTGTTAATATGACCAATATATACACCAAGTTTCATTATCCTAGTTTAAATGAAAGTTATGCTACAGATACTAAATTTTAACAAACGGCAATAACTTTATAACTTTCAGGATCTGATTTCAGTACACTGCATATTTTCTTATCATGGCTAACATTTTTACCAAATTTCATGATCCTTGCTCAAATGTAGACACAAAAGAACAGATGGACTGACAGATGGATGAACAGAGCAGCAACTATATTGCCCTCTCCCCCAAATATAAAAATTTCCATGAGCATGAAAAAAAAAATCAGAAAACTTGATTCTGCACATGTATGTAGCTTCTTATCTTCAGTGAATTTTTACAGATATGTGTCCTAGCTATTTGATATACCATATTTAATCAAAATGTCTGGTTTACCAGTCATACATTGTATTTTAAAACTGCTTTTAAGAAACAAACAATTACATACAGATATAATCTTACAAAGAAAACCTAGGTGTCCAGATTTAAAACCTTCCCATGCATAATTATCTTACCTTGTTACACTGCCGAAGGTCGAGTAATGTTAGTTTGGGCATACATTTGGGTATTCTATCGAAACATTTTCCAAAAATCTTGTGTAGCCCAACCAAATCCAAAGTTTCCAATGAGCTGTTCAATGAAAAATGCATCAGAAATAGTCACTAGCACAAATGTGTATGTTAGAAGTCATAATATAAAATATTTTCTTTAAAATGTCACTGATTTAGTAAATTTACTGAACAGTGGTACATTGAAGTGTGTGATTATTACCATCCAAAGCCTTATTAGCAGATAAAAGTGGTAGGAAATATGTGAACATGTAAATAAAAAAAACGTAGATAGCTAATGATAAATCAAACTAGTTTCCCATCCCAGCTATTCTTGAAATAAAACTGGTCAAAACTTAGAGGAAGGTATAAAATTACCTGCAGGTATCTACAATGGCGGTGACGGATTCCTCCTGTAGACTGCAGCACCAGCACAATCTAAGCTGTCGTAGATTCCTACCACAGCTGTGTATAAACACAAAAAGATGATATAACAAGAAAATTGTGTAAAACAACAGTAAACAGAATGACATCAAACTCAGGCACATTTGTCTAAAAATAGTCATCCATTCACAATCAAGGAAAAATCCAACTCATTCACCATTCACAGGTATCAGTGACAGAAAACTATGTAACCTCTCTAATGTAACAAATCTGTGTGTTTATGGAAATCTGTTGCTACTACATACAAGTTACACCATATAAGGACATACAGGTATCCGCCAAAGAAACCATGTATCACCAGATATGGACATATAGGTATCCTCCAAAGAAACCATGTAACACCATATAAGGACGTACAGGTATCCTTCAAAGACAACATGTATCACCATATAAGGACATACAGGTATCCTCCAAAGAAACCATGTATCACCATATAAGGACATACAGGTATCCTCCAAAGACAACATGTATCACCATATAAGGACATACAGGTATCCTCCAAAGAAACCATGTATCACCATATAAGGACATACAGGTATCCTCCAAAGACAACATGTATCACCATATAAGGACATACAGGTATCCTCCGAAGACAACATGTATCACCATATAAGGACATACAGGTATCCTCCAAAGAAACCATGTATCACCATATAAGGACATACAAGTACACATCAAATACATCAATACAATAACTCAACATCAACATACAGGTAACCTCAAAATAAACCAACCAAAAAAGTTATCATCTTAATGGCGCATGCATACACTACATACTAGTTTGTACTTTCACATGGTACTGCATTCATGGGCAATATAAATGCCAGTACAAGTGGGTGTTAAAATCCAATTAAGTGCATCAGCATTTCTTGTTTAATTTGCCATGATACAGTTGGTATTCCCAATGCCCTAGAACGTTTACTAAAGCAGTATCAGCTTATTACAAGGGGAGACAACCTCAATTTGTTAATATTGTTTGCTATATATTCCCACACCATTGGCAGTTCATGAGAGGATAATTCACAACTGATATCAATACAGTTTCGCTGTAATGATACCATAAAATTGTTAAATATCCAGGTAACCTATACATTCAATAGATGCTGATTATCTACATATCAACATACATTCAAGTTCATATGACATTATGGTTTCATTATACATACAGGTAAATTCCATACATATCTGCCAAAACAATCAGCAAACATACAGGTAAACTCCATACATATCTGCCAAAACAATCATCAAACATACAGGTAAACTCCATACATATCTGCCAAAACAATCATCAAACATACAGGTAAACTCCATACATATCTGCCAAAACAATCATCAAACATACAGGTAAACTCCATACATATCTGCCAAAACAATCATCAAACATACAGGTAAACTCCATACATATCTGCCAAAACAATCAGCAAACATACAGGTAAACTCCATACATATCTGCCAAAACAATCATCAAACATACAGGTAAACTCCATAGATATTTGCCAAAACAATAAGCAAACATACAGGTAAATTCCATACATATCTGCCAAAACAATCATCAAACATACAGGTAAACTCCATACATATCTGCCAAAACAATCAGCAAACATACAGGTAAATTCCATACATATCTGCCAAAACAATCATCAAACATACAGGTAAACTCCATAGATATTTGCCAAAACAATCATCAAACATACAGATAAAATAAATGCATTATCCTTTTTTTCTATAAAGTATCAGAGATTATGAAAATATGTAATAGTTGATGATACTACTGTAACTAGATACAATTTTACCATTTGAGGATTTGTAGCACAGCTGAATCTTTTAGGTCTCCACAATCAGATAGGTCTAGGCAGGTCAGATTTGACATGGCATCTGTGGAGAACAGCTCAACCACTCCTGCATTGGTCAGCTCTGTACCTTTCCTCAGAGACAAGCAGTTTAGCTTAGTCATTTTCTGTCATGTAAGGAAAACAAACTGTCAACCAGTGAAAACTTGTAACTATGAGTTTTTGAATGTATATTCCAAAAGAACAAATCTGACTGATTACTCTCAAACAGTTTAGGGATCTGCTTGCTTGACATAAAATTGAAAGAGAGAAACTCTATTGAGAGAAAAAAAAAAGGAATATTTACCGATACTTCTCGAAGCGAGGTATCAGTCAGTAGTTCACAGAAGGACACCGTTAGTCTCTCTAATCCAGAACAACCTGCTACGGCTTCAATGGACCGATCAGTCAACTCAGCACCATCAATGTCCAGCCATTTCAAGTTTTCATGGTGATGCTCTACCAAAGTTATCATACTCCTTCAGGGAAATCATAGGCAGAAAAAAAAATAGTGGTATTGTATACATGATGCAATTAATGGAAAAATAACTTATAGCTTTGGCTATTAGTCCTATCACTGCATTTATCAGGCAATAACCCAGGTTTGGTAGGTCCTAATAACCCTAATACAGGTATAACCCTGGAATGTTTCCGTATTACCCCCAAATGAGTATACAAAACCCCACAATAAGTGCAGTATACTTTAAGTTTCAAAAGGCAATGGGAACACTGGCCCTAGACATAGGCCAACTGAATTCCCAATTTTAAGTAAGAGAATATGAATTAGCCCCATGTGTTTATTATAAGACAAAAACAAAATAATAGCAAAACCCCTGCACAACCTCTTTGACAAATATAGCAAAATTCAGTATATATGATTCCTATTTAAAATGCCATCTATCCTAACACTAATTCTCAATGACCTCAATTCCTTTGTGTCTCATTTAAAAGACAATTTGAAAAAAAAAATTTTTTTATATATATCAAATAATGCTTCACTGAATATAACGATAATTAACAAATAATAGATGCTTACTTATCATTTATCCATCCGATTCCATCAATATTGAGGGAGACAATTTGTGACAAATTCCTAGCTAAGTGACACAAGCCAGCATCTGTTATAATACAGTGGGAAAAATTCAAATGTTTCAATCTTTTGGCCTTTGCCAGTACTTCACAGCATTCATCAGCTACCATGTGACAGCCTTCAACATTGATTCTTTCCAGGTTTTCACAATTGAGGACAAAATACTCAAGAATATCAGCAGAACAAGTACTGCAAAAACCCAGGTCAACATCTGTTAGCAAGGGACAGAACTCTGTAAACACAGACACTTCTGAAACACTCAGCATCTGTCGGCTTTGAAGGCAAAGTTTTCGAATACATCCAAGTCGTTTGATGATCCAGCACAAATTGACTGATGATAAATGTGGATTCCAATTCAAGTCAAGTAAAGTCCACAAACTAACATCGTACGCAAGCTTTCGCCATCGCTTACTAACAAGTGAAATCTGTTTACATAAATCCAAGGGGTCAAAATAGGAAAATATTTTCAGAATAATCTCATTTGGGACAAAATCAAAATGATTACAGTGCGATCCATTTTCTTCTCCCTTTTCTTGACAAGAGAAACTGAAGTCAATCACAGCAGTGCTAATCCTATTACTTATATTTTTTATGTCATTTTCTACAACAGATACTAAATGTGTATAATCCACCTCTTCCCCAGTTTCAGTCTCTTTATCACATTCATAATGATCAAATGAATTTTCTGTATTAATTTTTGCAAAGGTTTTCTCATCATTCAGATGACATGATGACATCTCAGTGTTCATATCTGATTGGAGAGTGAAGTCTTTCTGGGTGACATTTTTAGAAGACACGCTGACTGTTGATAGATCTGTCATGGCTGAACTATACACACCATCTGCTCCATGTCTGAATTGGACTTTTTCTTCAGAAGCCCCTTGACGACAATGGCGTTCCTTGTCTGTTGTATAATCAGTTCTACTATAAAGGTCACCATCATCTGAATTAGTATCAGTGTGCATTCTACAAATTAAAAGAGCACTTAAAATTTTAAAAACAATAAGATACTTAGATACGATATAAAGAATACAGAAAGGTGGTGATGGTAAACACAGAAAACTATTTTTATCTAATGCATACGTTTGATCTATAGCAAGAGGGTTTATGAACTGATGTGAGAAAAAAGTAAAACCTTAAATAAACCAGGAAAATATGTATGAGAAAAAAAAACATTTTCGTAATGTTCATATTTCATGCTTACCTTTAAAAAGTGTATAAGGTTTCTTCAGTTAACATCTGTTTCTGTTAAAAACTTTTAAATGTCAGCTATTTTCCTACAAAAAGTATCACATGACAGTTGACATTTGCAAAATATATTCATATTACATGTACCTTGCTTTCTGTATCGGTCCCGTATGTCAATTAACATGACATTCAACGCAGGTGTTAATGGAATTAAATCTTAAATCTGTTTTTTGAAATAGCCATTCCATCTCATAGAAAGAAGTGTGGAAAAATATTTTTGGCATCAACGTCACCCTCGTTTATTTATTGTTTACACGGATGGCATTTACCAACCACTAAAACGGAAACGTATTCGGTCATATTTATCCGGGATAAAAATCAGATAAATATTTCAAGCATGCATAACTGTACCCTCATGTCTGTGTCCTACTACATTATTCTGTACCAAGTTTTAGAATAATCACGGTGATTTATTTTATTATGATCTTATCGAAAAATAATTTGCTATAAACAGGAAGTACTAGCAGAGTTATCGCCCTATATTGAGTCACATTTTGTTTGAAAATGGCGGCCGCGACGACACTCGATCGAGCAAACGAGATCCTCGACGACGAAGCTCTTGCAGAAGAGGTATTGTGGTTTTAAACTAGTTTGTGATTGGATATAAATATATCTTATACTACTTAATTATAGTTGAACAATTGAAAGGGATATCTGTAAAGACACTAAATACCATGAAGTAGTCAAGTGTTTTGGAGGATGAATTATGAAGTGACGTGCATATTTGTCTACACAACATGTTTTGACTGGCAGAGGTTTTGTCTACACAAAAGATGGTTTATTTTGATGGGTTTCGTATTTGGTTTTCTCGCGACAACGAGACGTTTAGGATATTTAGATTATTTATCCGTTGAATTTATTTGGAATTGGCAATCATGACCTAAGGAATATTAATCATGATCAGTTGCTAATAACAAATGTTTTGTCATCTAGAAACTTCTTGAAGAGTTAGAGAATGAGGAAATCCCTGCACATTTACGAGAAGCCCGACTGCAGAGTCTTAAGAGTGAGGCTGAACAATTTAAACTAATGAAAGAAAAAAGTCATGGCATGTACACGTAAGTAAAAAAAAAAAAACTTTATGACTTTTACCATTTCTCGATTATGTCATAAATCTGAAATGAGACCGAGACTATCATCTATAACAAGTATTCCAGTTCCTCCTCTAGAATCCAAAGATGTTCACATCACCATATGCAACATCTAGAACACATTAACAATAAAACAAGTAATATATACCTAGCTCCCACAGTCACATGTCTTCTATATAGTAGATAGATTAAATTTGTAATGATAAGAAAAACGTTAAGTGTGAAATACATTACTTAGCTAACTGTGGTTAAAATTGAATATTGTACAATTGATATTGCCTTATGATTTCAGAGAGATTATGGAGGAAAAACAGTTTTTGGACATGACAACAAGTGAAGATAGATGTGTTGTTCATTTCTTCCATGCTGACTTTAGACGATGTGCAATAATGGATACACATTTAGAGGTTACTAGTAGCTTTGCACTTTCTGATTCATTTGTATTCTTGCCAAACAGACTGATGTTTAAGAGAATGTCTTTGTATTAACTTGTTTTTTATATATAATCACAGTTACATTAACAAACTTAATATGATTATAATGACTTTTAAAATAACTTGAATGACAGGTGGATATAAGATTTATGATCTATATCAGGAAAAAAGATAATGATAGGTTACACTGTTTTGCAAATTTTCTTTTGAATTACATGTATGTATGCCCTCTTGTACATATATAACTGATACTGGCTTTCGAATTAAAGTTTTTATAGCACAACATGTAGAAAATTTGAGTGTGACGCTTTGAGGATACTAGTTTTGCATCTTGAATTGTTCAATTACATTAATATTACATATTTTTTCCTTCTTTTTTCTTCAGAAATTATCAAAGATATATTTCGAAACAAAGTTTGCAAAAATAAATGTAGACAATGCAAAATTCTTTGTGGAAAAACTAAAAATCCGGATGTTGCCAGCCCTCATATGTTTTAACAAAGGCATTGTTTGTGACAGGTGAGTTCAAATTATATTTTATTCTCAATTTGGTTATTTGTTATAGGTCTTTTTGTTTACTTTTATTTTATACCAGTTCAAGTAAATGTCATATTGATACCAACAACAAATAATAATTTTTGTAGCTGTTTAATTGTAATTGTTGACTAGTTAGGTACTTTTTTGTAAGAGTCAATTTCTCTCTTCTTTTAAAAATCTAAATGTGAAACTGATCATCAAAATGATAAATTCCCTGAAAATGAGAATGAAAATGCATTGTTATTTGAAATAAGACATGACGTAACTTATGTCTACCTGCTTTAGTAATTTATCTTTAAATAAACTATTTAGATTTCATTAATCTTATAACAATATCTCTAATGACTTTTGTCATATTTATGTCATTTTACACATAGCTGCTGTTACATAACATTTGTTGCTAATTTTCCTGTGACGAAAAGAAACTGCCTGTAGTTTTATACTCATATATACATTAACGAATCTGTTGTTAGAGGATGGTGTTATGCAATAGTTAGGGCCCCGCATCGCGATGCGGGTGCCCTATAGTAATCACCTTGTCCGTCTGTCCCGCCGTCTGTCTGTCCGTTTCGCTTTCCGCACGATATCTTGAGAAGGAATGATGAGATTTCGATGAAACTTGCTTATGATACTTGGTACATAAGTCCCTCGCTCAAGTTCGATGTTCGCCAAATTCTGCGCATATTTAATGAGGCTGCTGCAATCTGATTGGCTGAATGTTTTACAGAGAATTTCTTCTGAAGGAATGATTTGGGATTTCTTTAAAAATTGCTTTGTGATACTTGGTACATAAGCCCCTCATTCGAGTTCAATGTTCACCCTGTCCGTCTGTCTGTCCGTCCGTTTCCCTGTCCGTCGATCCATATATCTGTCCATCTGTCCATTTTCATTGGATTTTGATGAAAGTTGCTTTCAATACTTGACACCTGTCCATATATTTCTTAATATTAAGAAACTCAATCATAAGGGGTAGGTATTATGCGGGGCCCTTCCTCGACATTGGTCTAGTTATTCAATAATAATCATTTTCTGTTCCAGAGTGATTGGGTTTGAAGACCTTGGAAACACTGACAGCTTCCAGACAATTGTGCTAGAGAAAAGGCTAGGAAAATCAGGTAAGTTATACAATATATAACAGGTACTTCATTTTGTTATATATATGTGGTACATGTATATGGACTTAATGTATAATGTAGGTTTCCCTCTCCTCCCTTTTTAACCATGTGTAATAATAGGGCTAAATACCAAACTTCAATATAGCCTCTACATGTTGTTATTTTGGTGTGATTGACTGACTTTCATGCAGTTCTTAATAGTATGCTTGATAATGAATACAAAGGCAAAAAATATAATACTTAGTATTCAATTATGATGCCATTTTTGTTTTCAGGAGTGATTGACATTCCAGAGGAGTTCAACACAAAGAAGACAATTTTTGGCCATCGAAAAATAAACAGGAATGATGACAGTAGTGACGATGATGATTAGCTATTTAAATTAAAGAAAGAAATTTTAGAATGTTTCATTTTGTTTTTGCAATTTGGTAACATTGATGTGTGTGGAGACAATATTCTACTTACATTCATGTCTCAATAACATAACAGTATACAATTGGCATGGTACTGTTTTGCAATAGAATTGGTGGGAATTAGTACCCACAGATTTGATTTAAATGGGTGACACTTTGTGGAAATATCATGTTTTCACTAACCATGGGTGTTCCATACAACACTTCTCCTTAAAGGGAATGGATTATATTCCGTGGTAAGTGAAGATGAAAAGACATATGCAGATTAATGTGAATATATTCCGACATATATTACAATTTTTGGTGTGGATTTTAGTAGTGTGTTTTTTTACACTAAACTTTTCATATTTATTGCTTAATTTCAATGTAATGTTTTACCTAAATAGAAATGGAAATGTTCAACCTCCATTTCCATGTTTGTTTTATGCAATCCTCCTCATGGCAAGAACTCAAATATCTAAATTAAATGCCCCTCATTGTTGGGGTATTTTAATGGTTTTAGCACTGCCACAATCCAAGATCACACAATCAACAACATATACCAGTATTTACAAGATGAAATATAAAACAATGTCCTGCTTATCTAGGTTCTATAGTGATTGTGTCTCAAAATTTCATCTCAGTAGTTTTTTTATACAATGTAAATGGTTGGAACAAACATCAAATGTCACAATTCAAACCCACTGAAGCCAAAAATATGGCATGCACATTGCTGGCTATGTTGCTGAATTTTGTGTTTAAAGATGTAGCTTATAGGTAAGAAACCATAGGCACTTGAAGATTATTACATACACCACATTAATAATGCACCTAATGGGCCTGAATTGCTTACATATTAGACAGCTTAAAAAGAAGACTTTTGTCCCTAAAACAATTTCTGCAAACTAAAAAGCCTCTCTTAAAGCAAGCTACTTCACAAATATCATTGTTATTGCAAAGAAGTTAACTTCTTAATATATTTGACTACTGTAACCTTGATAGTCAAGTAATTCAATTGAACAAGCTTTGTTGATTTTAGTTCCGGCCTATTACCATGACCCAAGGCATTTAGGTTATTGAGAATATATGGTTTAAAGATTTGACTTCTATGATCTTGAAAGTGGGTCAAAGTCATTCTTCTATACAAATTTGATTGCCCTTCATCAATGCATGCTACAGACTCAATATCGATATCCTGTGCCACTTGGGTTTTAGTCCCCTAGTAGGAACTGCAGTGTCCTTCCATTCATACTTATTCCATCTTGTTTTAGGCTTCATCTCCTACACTACTTATTTCCGGAAGTTTATACTTTTGTTATCAGTTCATCTTGATGAGGCAGTGTCATTATCAAAATTAGGTCACTGTGACCCACATTTTGACTTTTTAGCTATGGTAAGGAAAATAAATTGTCTTGGCTTTATCTCTTACACTACTAGTAACTGGAACTTATCACTTGGAGTATAGGTTCACCTTCATAAAGTGGTGTCTGGTGTATTAGAAGTAGGTCAGTATGACCTTCATTTTGACTTTTGATCTACATCAAAGAAATCAGGTTGTTTGACTCCATCTCCTACACTATTAGTTACCAGAACTTTTTACTTGGGGCATGGATATATTTAAATTTCATTCTTGGCATTGTAATTTCATATTTAGTGGAGAGGGGTGTAATTTGCTGATTTGTATTGTTAAGAAATTGTTGAAAGATTTTTCAACACATACCCGTGTGACCTAGAAAGTGAGTCAAGGTGAACAAAATGACAGCCCTTCATTCCAGCATATTAGAAGTCCAATATCAATATCGTGGACCTCTTGGTCATTAAGAAGTCATTTAAAAGTAAAAGATGATGCTGGATGGATGACAGATGCTACACAAGGGAAAAATAAGCTCACTTGATCTTTCAGACAGGTGAGCTAAAAACAAACATTCTGGGTACCAGTATATTGATGATTAAGAATTGTCCACTACTGGAGACTCTAGCTGACTAAGATTCACTTCATAAGTTACTGGGTCTCGTATGGAAGATAATGAAAACAAAAAATCCATCAGGCAAGTTGGACCATGTTTTATTCATAAATTGGTCAAATATTTGACAACCTGGAAACATAATAAATGATTTAAAATGGCAAATTGTATATTACATAACACCAACAAAATACAGCACTACGTTCCAATATAAGTTAACAGACATCCACTATTGAACAATTTCTGCATGTGCTTGCATCAAGGCTGTACTTACTGTGAGTTTCTTTACCATCCTCCAATTGTCAACAGTTCTTAGTTTTTATTATTTTGTAGACATATTATTGTAGATAATCCATTATATGTATAAAAAGAACCAAGGGACACACTGCAGTACAAAATACCACAGGCAAACAGTTTTCCAGTATTAAAAACATGAAGGTAGATATTACATACACTTCTGAGTTTTAATTACAAAAAAAAGCAGTTCTTCAAGACAGAAAATTTTGGATTTTTTTAAAAATTTATTTTAAGCTTTTTATTTACTGTATACATTTTTTTAACAGAAGCCATGTGAATGACAAGTTACACACAACTCTACTTCTTTGTTGACAGTCTACATGTATACCTTTACTTTTAACCAAATGAGATTTAAATAATAAAAACTATTGTAAACCTCTGTACCACTAATTCATTGAAATTCAACATCTCTTATTGACAAGCTTTCATTAAATCTTCATTAGAGTTGACCTTGGTATTTCAAGTTAAATGTATCGCTTCATGGTAAAGAAAAAAATTTAAAAAATAAATGACCCCAAACCTAAGCTAACAACAACCCTCACCTTGCTTTTTTCTAGTCCCAATCTTGATGTTTATCATCTTTTTACTACTTGTATAAGGAAAAAAAACTAATAATCCTGGCATCCTTTAATAATGAATATCCCTTGAATTGTGCCCATCACTATTTAGAGAAGCTATATTTAGGCTAAAAAGTGTGCATTAAATGTGAATATCTATGATATATCAGTCTGATTAGTAGAATGTAAGAATAATTGGGAATTTACCTGTGGGTGTTGTCGTCCAGTATCTAGTACAGCAAGGAGCCTTACAGAATTATCAAATGCTGCAGTGTTAGAGCCTATGGACTGTTCTATATTCACAGGATGGATGTTGGATGTCTTACCTACACCTTCTTATTAGCCCCATACCCATGCAGACCTTAATAACTAACAGTAAGCAGTAACAGCAAAGCGGTGCAACACTTTCAACTGTTGCAAAATCTGTGAATAATGAAGAGAATTAAAGCATACCTGAAAAAGTCATTCATGATAAATACATGTTATATGTGTTTCTTTATTCATAGATTCTGATTGGTTGAAATATGACCAGTAAAAGAACAATGGCTGTGGTAAAAAGTGATCAGGATATTCATCATAAACCAATCATAAACTTAGATATACATTGTATAAATATTTACCTGGCAAGTAATAGACCCAACACAGAAAGTACAGAACCAATAGGATTTTTTATAATTAGAGAATTAAGATATCTGATCCAGATGACTATGGCCTGGGAGTGGGACACCAATATCTCTCTCCTTACATTGGTCACTAAGCAGTCCCTGTAATTACAGTCATTGTCACTAAGCAGTCTCCGTAATTACAGTTATTATCACTAAACAGTCCCTGTAATTACAGTCATTGTCACTAAGCAGTCCCTGTAATTACAGTCATTGTCACTAAGCAGTCCCTGTAATTACAGTCATTGTCACTAAGCAGTCCCTGTAATTACAGTCATTGTCACTAAACAGTCCCTGTAATTACAGTCATTGTCACTAAACAGTCCCTGTAATTACAGTCATTGTCACTAAGCAGTCCCTGTAATTACAATCAGTCACTAAACAGTCCCTGTAATTACAGTCATTGTCACTAAGCAGTCCCTGTAATTACAGTCATTGTCACTAAACAGTCCCTGTAATTACAGTCATTGTCACTAAACAGTCCCTGTAATTACAGTCATTGTCACTAAGCAGTCCCTGTAATTACAGTCATTGTCACTAAACAGTCCCTGTAATTACAGTCATTGTCACTAAGCAGTCCCTGTAATTACAGTCATTGTTACTAAACAGTCCATGTAATTACAATCATTGTCACTAAAATGTCCCTGTAATTACAGTCATTGTCACTAAACAGTCCCTGTAATTACAGCCATTGTCACTAAACAGTCCCTGTAATTAGTCATTGTCACTAAACAGTCCCTGTAATTACAGTCATTGTCACTAAACAGTCCCTGTAATTACAGTCATTGTCACTAAACAGTCCCTGTAATTACAGTCATTGTCACTAAGCAGTCCCTGTAATTACAGTCATTGTCACTAAGCAGTCCCTGTAATTACAATCATTGTCACTAAGCAGTCCCTGTAATTACAATCATTGTCACTAAGCAGTCCCTGTAATTACAGTCATTGTTACTAAACAGTCCCTGTAATTACAATGAGTCACTAAACAGTCCCTGTAATTACAGCCATTGTCACTAAACAGTCCCTGTAATTACAGTCATTGCCACTAAACAGTCCCTGTAATTACAGTCATTGTCACTAAACAGTCCCTGTAATTACAATGAGTCACTAAACAGTCCCTGTAATTACAATCATTGTCACTAAACAGTCCCTGTAATTACAATGAGTCACTAAACAGTCCCTGTAATTACAGCCATTGTCACTAAACAGTCCCTGTAATTACAGTCATTGTCACTAAACAGTCCCTGTAATTACAGTCATTGTCACTAAGCAGTCCCTGTAATTACAGTCATTGTCACTAAACAGTCCCTGTAATTACAGTCATTGTCACTAAGCAGTCCCTGTAATTACAATCATTGTCACTAAACAGTCCCTGTAATTACAATCATTGTCACTAAGCAGTCCCTGTAATTACAATCAGTCACTAAACAGTCCCTGTAATTACAGTCATTGTCACTAAGCAGTCCCTGTAATTACAGTCATTGTCACTAAGCAGTCCCTGTAATTACAGTCATTGTCACTAAACAGTCCCTGTAATTACAGTCATTGTCACTAAACAGTCCCTGTAATTACAGCCATTGTCACTAAACAGTCCCTGTAATTACAGTCATTGTCACTAAAATGTCCCTGTAATTACAGTCATTGTCACTAAAATGTCCCTGTAATTACAGTCATTGTCACTAAACAGTCCCTGTAATTACAGTCATTGTCACTAAGCAGTCCCTGTAATTACAGTCATTGTCACTAAACAGTCCCTGTAATTACAATGAGTCACTAAACAGTCCCTGTAATTACAGTCATTGTCACTAAACAGTCCCTGTAATTACAGTCATTGTCACTAAACAGTCCCTGTAATTACAATGAGTCACTAAACAGTCCCTGTAATTACAATGAGTCACTAAACAGTCCCTGTAATTACAGTCATTGTCACTAAGCAGTCCCTGTAATTACAGCCATTGTCACTAAACAGTCCCTGTAATTACAGTCATTGTCATTAAAATGTCCCTGTAATTACAGTCATTGTCACTAAACAGTCCCTGTAATTACAGTCATTGTCACTAAACAGTCCCTGTAATTACAGTCATTGTCACTAAGCAGTCCCTGTAATTACAGTCATTGTCACTAAACAGTCCCTGTAATTACAGTCATTGTCACTAAGCAGTCCCTGTAATTACAGTCATTGTCACTAAACAGTCCCTGTAATTACAGTCATTGTCACTAAACAGTCCCTGTAATTACAATCATTGTCACTAAACAGTCCCTGTAATTACAGTCATTGTCACTAAGCAGTCTCCGTAATTACAGTTATTATCACTAGGAAGACCCCATAATGACACTCACTAAATCCTAGTCAGTGTCACTTCACAGTCCCATGATTATAATTATTGTAACTAGATCCCATAATTACAAGCAGTCCTATTTTCTGGTCCCAGATCCACACATCACAAAACTATAGCTACCAGTATTTTGAGGTACTTTCTCTATGTAAATTGTTATATGCTTTGAATGAGAACTTGCATTATGCATTGATATGATCTATTCTACATTGATAGCATATGAAGGACTTTCCTTCAATTCATCAAACGATATCTTTACACATGAGCATTTTCATTTTTAAATACCCAGTATAACATTAAATGTAGAAAGCAACAAAGACCTCTTATTGATGCGTATCACATCAACACATAAACAGGGTTATTTTCATTAACAACATATTTATAAATATGGGCAGAAATTGCACTTCCTGGGATAAAAAAAACACACGACCAATAAAATAAGGATTTTCTGTACTACCAACTTAAATCTGGTCACAAATCTTCAAACGTTTCTGGCATACGAAAAATATTAATCTTTATACAGTAATTTTTGTTGCATTCAACATATCAAATGTTTATGAAAAATTCTCCCTGACAGAATGAGACAGATAGAAAATGTATCTTCTAATTGAATGAAACATCGTTTCAGCATGAGCACTTATGAGATATAATTCTGTCATAACAGTTTAGAGATTAAATTTTGTATCAATGTTGATGGCCGAGTATTAAGTTTTGTCAACATTCTGAAAGTTCTGCACAAAGATTTCAAATGAAGCACAAGAGGACAAAATATTGCTGTATCCATTTTGTTAAATATCACAGCCATAGTGAAATAAATTAGCAATTGATAAAGGCACATCACTGAATACTTTCTGTTTTTACTTTTTTTTTTCGCTCAGCCAATAAATACTTTAATCAACATAACTGTAACATATCAAAAGTCTTATCAAGATCCATGTGCCTTGAGCGCTAAAACAGCAGAAATATTTGACTTAGTACCAACACGACTAGATAACATATAATGTAAAATTATACTAGGTCCCTCAGTCTTGTCAAAAAGATTCTTACTGCACATCAACAACAGTTTATAACAAAATTTAGAGATATATCAATATGTTTTAGTAGTTGATCGAATCATTAGAATAGTTGAAATTGGTCAGATATAAAGAGAATGTGTCCTACTGGTATTATGACTATTGTCTATGAAGACATGTAAATATAAAGAAAACGTATAACTGATATGTAATGTAACCTCATATTGCTTTGTACTACCTCTGAGTGAATTTGCAATACTACTGAAATTCACAAGAATATCTTATATCAGTGATTCCCAAAACAAAAAACTTGTGAAAGTAGTATGTGTGTGAAATACAAAAAAAACAAACACACAATATAGCAATAATTTTCATAGTGTTAAAAGTGAAATATCGTAATTGCTTAGGCGCTTGGATTTCAGCTGATAATGAAAATGTCTAAAATACATTATGTATTAAATGTGCGATTCAGCTCGTTATTACAACTGGTGTTTCAAGTACTTATATTTGTACAATCGTGCTGCATACACACAGTGATAAGTGTTAGATGTATGTAGAGATAAATACATATTGACACAATAAAGAAATATATTGTAGTGAAAGTTCAAAATAACATATAATTAAAAAAAATCAAACAAATATCAGAATATATCTTAAATTGCACAAAAACTGAACACAAATAAAAATCAGACAAAAATTGATTAAACATGTCTTAATAAACTTTGGTACTGCATATGGTACTGAATTACACACTGAGATTTCTTTTTAATAACTGAATATAAAGGCCATAGAATATATTAATTGTATATGATGTTAACAAAGTATGTCATACTGATGTGATCAAGAAATATGTGTGTTTTCATAAAATTGCATAATACATGTACAATATATCTACTCAACTATTTCAATCTTTAAATTAATAATACCAAAATTGAGAATATTGTTTCCATAAAGAATGTTTCAATATCAAGTACAGACCCTGTAATAACATTGCTTTTGTAAAAAACCAAAGTACAGCAGAAATTATTGTACATAAACAGTAACCAAATCAGATCAGCAGCGAAGAAGACAAGAATTTCCCTTTGGTCATTACACATTTAAGTACATCAACTGACAGTCTACTGAGTTAACGCCCAGTTAATTATATAACATTACCTTGGTAACAATTCAATAACAATATTGCAGCTCCACAATGTGAGGTGTGGGGTGAGTGTATATCAGGCCGGGCAAAACGCCTTTTTTCTTAATGTATTGTGCAGACAGCAAGATTGCCACTGACAACTGGTTAATCAGCTTGTCAATAACAAGTGCCCCCCAATATACATTATTTTTTAGCAAACAGTATTATACAAACATGTTATAACTGGTATGTTGCCATTCCCTATTATCACAGACAACTTTCAACTATTAAAGTCAGGTTGAGGGTTTCCTCATTATCTGTAAATCACTTTGTAAAAGCACATATCTAAATCAGTGGGGAAAGTAGCTAGTGTAAATTTACCAATGTCAATATCTATTTCTTCTGTCCTAATTATCTAATATTGACATGAAATGATCAATTATTTTAAACAAAATTTTAAATAATTAAAGAGGAATATTGAAATGTGAGAATGTTCAAGTTAAAAATTATTTTTTGATACTGAAGAATTACTACTTAATTGAGCTCTTTTATTATTATGTATACAAAGTATGTATAATACTGTTGCCAAAAAATCATGTAAGATTTTCAAATTAACGAACACTATTCCAGATCACTTTTCTTCCCGAATTTCACTAATTTCAAACAAATATTACATTTTCCACACATCCAAAAGCCATAAACATATTGCCATATCACATCCTTGAGTAGTTCTCTCTTTACCAAAGAAGTTGCACCAGACACATATAATGCTATCCATGGTAGTTAGAACTATCAAGTTTCAATAATCATCAGTTAACAAGGCTCATCATCGCTATTGCACATTCGATAATAATAATTGTGATCATACATGGTTTAGTAAAAGTGAAAATCACAGCTAAATATATTTTTAAATAAACATTTCTAACAACAGATCATTTCCACAGCAGCTGCAGCAGGACCTGGCATAGGACAACAGCAAGCACGACGAGTATATCACGATTCTGGACAAGTGAACTGTTCCCTTGAGGTTCCTCTTTCTCCTTCCTTAAGGAAAACATTTGCTTTTGTAATAGCTGAACTGATTGGTTGGTCTCTTTTTGCATGTCTATCAATGGCTGCAGGGCTTTCACAAGCGCATCTTCTGATAAACGGCTCTTGTTGTTGGAAGCCGTGCGCTGGATTCGTCGAGCTGAAAAGAAATCAACAGACTGACAATTGCAAAAAGGAAATGATAAGCAAATACGAAAAAGTTTGGTTTTACAACACCAAGGACACATATACACATACTTTATGCAATACAGTCACACAATAAATGCAATCAATTCCCATGAATATTCTACAAAAATGTTACATCAGAATTTAATTTGATCTGACCTTTAACATGATCATTATGTCCACACCTTCAGCTGAGGTTTGTTTAAACGCATGCTTACCTTTAGTTTGGTCAGATGAATCGCTGTTGTGTCGAGTGTCAATCTCTGGCGTTGAACTTTCACTCTCTTCTCCCACAATACGTAGCCTCTTCACAGAGCTTCGATGGATACAGGGTGCAAGCCGACCACCGGTGGCCACCGGTTGCTGCTCCAGACTTGCAATGCTACATGTACGCACAACTGGAGTCTTGTGACGTGTCCATGTTTGAATACAGTAGTTGGACTCATACTGCAGCAGATCATTACTGGGATCCCACGGCCTCATACTACAATATACGACCACCACTGTAGTGCCATGTGGAATATATCTGTCCACTTTTATATCACATGTTTAGGTCAGAAAATGTCAATTTCATTTCAGAAATCAATAAATTAATAAAACTTATGTAAATATCTAGCTGTTGCATATTGCTAAGTAGAGCGTAAGATTAGCAAGCCAGAGGTCCCCAGTTCAAATCCTAGCAGAGGTTTTGAAATAAAGAATACCTCTGTTACCTTGGCACCCATCAGGAATCAGGAATAATACTTGGCCATGCCTCATAGACATCACTGTAATCACTGGAAACTCGAGGATGAGTTCTTTCCAGAAGGGGGAGTGCAATGGTTCTGGTCAATACCAAGATGTAATATACAGCTCAGCTAGAGAGATCTTTAAGTGCGATGATTTCAGCATAAGACTAGTAAGACAGATGTCCCAGTTTCCAATCATGCTTGAAGCATTGCAATAAAATAATGACATCTGTTACACTCACTCTAAATGCTTGTAGACCCAATCGCCTGTCAGAAGATCTCTTTCAAATAAACGAGGCATCCATTCTTCCATCTTTGCCTTTCGTTCGCGTGCCTCCTTCCTCTGCCGTTCCTCCAGTAGATATTTCTCTTGGGTGGCATTTACCATGTCTGCTACGACCACTGCATCACTCACATGCCTCCATAACCTGTTAATAAGCCAACTCAATATTTAACAGGAATGTCTACTGATAGCGTATGATTTTAAATGCATGTATTTCTGTCACAATATGAAGTGATGTTTTTGTTTGACAATTATGATATTGTTCATTCTTTCATCAAATAGTAATCCTGTATTCGGCATTATATCAGTTGTTTTAAACTCCCCTCAGTATCACCTGGCAATCAGTAAGATTATATTCTTTCAATATTTTGATGTTATATGCCATCACAAAAGAAAGGTCCAATGAAAGCACAAGCTATTTTTTCAAATAATTTTGATTGTGTGATAAATAGGATATTTCCAGGGTTACAGGTTCTTCCATTTCATTTGAGATTCCTGAAACAGGCCACAATTTTTTTCTGCTAGCTAGAAAGTAGCTTGAGAACAATACAATGAATTCCTTATGATTGTTTCATTAACATGGTATGAAAAAGAAGCTCATCTCAGATCCTCTCTATAAGTTATATAGGAATTGAAATATATGTTTAATTTGTAATGTATAAAAATTACATGACAATCTGTCACAAATCCTAATATTACATGAAATCACCCCATCTATTGTCATAGAAATTATGATCTTAAATCTAAAGTGTACAGAAAGTGCTAATAACTGATCTGATAGATATCTAAATACACTTAAAAGGAAAAGTGGTTGAACATTTTGAAGGATTTTTTGTGTGTATCAGTACTACAGAACAACTTGCCTCTCTGATTCCATGTCTCCTTGAGAATCCACAGGAACTGTATAACGCAGTAACCTCTGACTCTTCACTTCTGGTGTTGGGCTCCAGAACAATTCAGCTTCCTGAAAATACCGTAACAGTGATAACTATGCAACAAAAATAAAATGCACTTTCCAATTGTTGGTTGTCACCAACTGCTTATCACGTAAACAAATTTCTTCAGCATTAGTTAAGGCTCTAGTCTGATGAATAAAGAGAGCTGGTTACAAATATCTCACTATATTTACACAAGGTAGGAAATCAACTGCCAAAAAACAGATATTTCAGTAAAAAAATGTTTCAGAACTAAGACAGGATACAATAATATTTCTGCTCCACTCAGTCAATTGGAAACTGAACTAACCGACGAGCCCTTCTCTTTGAGAAAAACTTCCTGGTCCCAGTGTCCTTCCACATGAGCCAATGTGTCTGAACCCATCTTTATCTTCCCAGATATTCTGTTGGATGCAGCACCACTTCCTAAGAACGGCTGAAAAACCAAATAAATACCAGTTTTTGGATCCTTAATTATGACACTTTTTTCCAAAAGCAAATAAGCGCTCTTATATACTACAAAATTTCCATTTAATTTTAATTAGTAATGAACGTGTTTCATTGAAAGTCTTATCACTGATAACATTGCTGAGCAAGGCTCTGTCACACTGATAACATTGCTGAGCAAGGCTCTGTCACACTGATAACATTGCTGAGCAAGGCTCTGTCACACTGATAACATTGCTGAGCAAGGCTCTGTCACACTGATAACATTGCTGAGCAAGGCTCTGTCACACTGATAACATTGCTGAGCAAGGATCTGTCACACTGATAACATTGCTGAGCAAGGCTCTGTCACACTGATAACATTGCTGAGCAAGGCTCTGTCACACTGATAACATTGCTGAGCAACGCTCTGTCACACTGATAACATTGCTGAGCAAGGCTCTGTCACACTGATAACATTGCTGAGCAAGGCTCTGTCACACTGATAACATTGGTGAGCAAGGCTCTGTCACACTGATAACATTGCTGAGCAACGCTCTGTCACACTGATAACATTGGTGAGCAAGGCTCTGTCACACTGATAACATTGCTGAGCAAGGCTCTGTCACACTGATAACATTGCTGAGCAAGGCTCTGTCACACTGATAACATTGCTGAGCAAGACTTTGTCAAAGAAAACACACAGCAATGCCATGGCTTTGAATATATTATGGCAAGTTTCATGACGTCAATATTTCTGAGTTCTTTGCAATACTCTATTGAAAATTTTCAAGGCAGCTTCCAGTTCTTGAGACCAGTGTGTTACATTTAAGTTTTACCTTGAGTTTGAATTCCAGCTCACACCTGTACCCTGTTTTTGGACAGTCAATGGACACCTTGCCTCCCATCTCCATAGTAAGTGTTCCTATTAGGATTCCTACCAACAGTAAAACCAGCTGGGTGACCCTTTATCTTACTTATATGCTTTTTTCAAAGACTAGTCATGACCCCTGATCAATGACTTTGCATGGATCTCTTTGTCTCAATTGGATTTACATTATGTATTTCAATTCCATTACAATTTTTAAGATTTTTGTTAAAATGAACATTCTAAAACATCTATAATTTGATATGTTCTCACTCCTTAAGAAGCCAATTTGCAATTATACCAACCCAGAAAATCACTGAGCTCTGTAACTGAACTTTGTATTAATATTGTAAACACACATATATGAGAGATCATCTTATCTTACTGTTTTCTACACTGAAAACATTACACTAAAATGTGATTTGATTTATTGCAACTTCAGTTAACATTGTTTATACAGAAATCAAAGTGAATGTACCAATTTTTAACTAAAATGTTTCACCAATAAAAGTGATGATGCACCAAAATCTAACCCAAGTTACAGTACATAACCTGGTTCTGATTTTACATCACAGTACATGAACATACCTTTACAGTGAGCATATGGCATAGTTACAAGATAATCTTCCCCTCGCTTCAGGAATGTGAGTTTTGCTGTGCCATCCAAAATTGCTGACAAGGAGTTCCCTGAATAAACACAAACACACAATGAAACAGTGAGCAAATACAATCACAAACACTGATCTGAAAACACTACACAAAAATATTGTGACAAACAAGAATCATCGTATAAATTCCTGAAATTTGGTCATAAAGAACCCTAGAATATGTTTTTCTCCCACCTCAGCCCATGTAGGATAGACATGTCCCATATGGAACACCCATGGAGGATAAATCTATCCCACATGACTCGGTGACCTCAGTCGGCTATCACAACTGACTCAAACCGACGAGTGGATGCTTTGTTTGCAGGTTCCGTAGTGCGCGACTGTAACATCACAGTTAACATTAACTATAACAATACTTGTCCAGTGAACACAAATAAACGTCGGAGGATCATCTATGACTCTGATTCTGAATGAACACACGCGTGACACTCACACCATTGCAATTTTTCGCGGGCATAAACAATTGACATCATTATAAACTGGGAAATCCCCTTTTTGTCCATGACATCGCGGCAAGCCTACCCTACCTTAATAAATGATACGGAGTTAAATGTTGTTCAATACAAGTATTTCCATGTATCTATCGCTAATTAAAATATTTAATTTCCAAAAAATAAATATTTTTAATGGTTATTCATATTGCGTTTGTAGTCTGTCATTTTGCTCTCGCGGAAGAATGTAGAATTTTGGAAACGTGAATGGTGATATTCATATGCCATTCAGGCACTTGTACCGTGGGATTTTTTTTTACGTCGTGGTGGGAAATAATGGGGTGGGAGAAAAATAATCAACCCTTACCCAAGGAGGATGTGACAGAGAAATCTCCAACCCTCGGGTGATTTTTTTGTAGTCTAACCCTCGGCAGAGCCTCGGGTTAGACAACAACAAAAATCACCCCTCGGGTTGGAGATTTCTCTATCACATCCTCAGGGTAGGGGAAGATTCTATTAATAAACTACAAAAAATCAAAAATGAATTTGATGAATTTTTATTACTTGTTTATGGTAAAAAGATATTCTAAGGAAAAAAACTTAAATGTTAAAAATTTGTTGTGTGGGGTTTCTAAATCTCACCATAAAACTTGGACTTTGTCAGGATACTTGAACTGATCGTAAAGCCATCATGTCGGTTAGTCACATGGAAGGCAGTCACTGGAGGGTGGTGTGATATCTGATAAAGACACAAGTTATTTCATGGATTCTAATGATACACAATCAACAGTTTATAGATCTACATGTTTTGGACCAAAATAATGTTCATCTGCAAATGTACATTCATCTGAGACAACATTTCACAGATTCAAATGACGAACAATCAACAGTATATAGATCTACCTGTTTGGCCTAAAAGGATATGCATAGACAGTCTACAATATCGATAGCAGCAATTTTTAAATACAGACCCAACACATCAGTCAAACCTAATTGTTGACTAACTTACTTGTTCAGCTATGTAGAATGTGCGACTCTTCGTCTTGGTGTGCTGCCAGTAACATCTGAATGATTCACCAATGACTGGGTTGTACGGCTTCTTCAGGCCCTGTAAATCAACAATCAATATACTGTTATGTATCCAACAGAACAGCACACATCTTCTTAACGCCCAATCCTGTATTTGAAATATCCAATTTTTCCCCTGATGATATTTACAAGAAAACCCAGAAAGATCTTGGTGACCACCATTATTTAGTCTTCATATGTTCCTCAGAAGTTGGATCTTTCTCCTTTTTTCTATTCTCTGATCTGTTTTTGTTTAGATGGAATTAAAAATTCCTCTAAAAATAGCGATGATAATCTTTAACCCAAAATCCAAGACAGTCGCTAAAATAGCAAAAACCTGAGTTCATGTAACAAAGACATAAAAAAGTGACATTTTCATGCTTTCTAGATATGAAAGGTATATCTAAATCTTACTTTTGGCTTTTTATAGAACCCTGAGAGGTACCACTTGATAACGCCTTTCATCCTGGAGTAGGGATCTTCTAATGTCACAGCTCTGGTCATGAAAATAATACTCATTAGCCAATTGATTGAAATGAACTCAGCTCATCTGTCAAATGTTATGTAATTTGGGAACATTTTTGCTTAAACTGATTCAACATTTTAAATCAGAAATTAAATACAGGTCAGTAGGTCTGTCATTAATCTTATTTCATTGAAGAACACTAGACTAAATGGTCAAACCAATGTACAAAATTGGCCTGAAGAAGTTCATTTCTTTGGACCCTGTAGTTCAACAGAAGATTCTAAATCAATTTCAACAACATATAATGTTTCAGACTGAAGTTTAACGCTATGCATTCAAGTATAGATATATTTCATAATTAATTCTACAAGAGTTCTTGAGGCAGAATTGAAAAGTCATTTTCCTGATCTACTATGAACTTATATGATCTTACAATAATAATAAAACATCTTTCCTACATTTATTCATAAAAATACATTTCCTAATTCAGACATTTTTTCATAATCCAGACAACATTATGATGAATACTTACTCAGATAAAATGTCTGCATGATAGTAATAATCAGACAGTTTATCTAGGAAGGAGCGAGGCTCTAGGATAAAGGCTGGCAGCACCACTTTTGATAGATCCATACCTGGACGTACCTGGAATATCAAACAAAGACCATATCAAACATGTTTGTTTCCACTACATTAATCAAATCAGCACTTTCAATCATACAGTGCTTTGCTACCAACCATTAACTTAATACATAGATGTATTAACTGATTTAACAGAATTTCATGTATTTCAATCAAGCTAATTGTTTAAGTTAAAAGTTTCTTACAATGTTTAACATTTTCTTGGATGTACCTTTATGCAATATACCTGATATAAGTGAGTAGGTACCATATACAAGGTTTTATTTGTATGTTTTCTAGGATTATATTGATGCATTGTCATATTGTGGTAGGTAGCCACATTATGCAGGAGGTCTGTCAAAAACTATCCAAAGTAACTTGGGAAAAGTATTTTTCTCAAGGAAAGCTTTATCCAGACACACAATCTGCTTTATGTATGGACCAAACCACACATCTCAGATCTTCACCCAAGGTTGTAAAATAAAATGCTCTACCTGTTAACTATTGCAGCTCCTTTCCACAAAGAGGATTTTGCTGATATTCTCTTAAAAAATGCTGAAATATTCTGATACAACGAGATGTCACACATAGTACTCACCTGCTTCACCAGAGTCCAGATCAGACCTTTATTCTCATCATCAACTTCTTCTGTTTGGCACGCATCCCCTTGCTGCAAAATATAATAATTTCTTATAGGAAGAAGATCCTATTTCATGAAATAATAAGTTGTTGCAAGGTCTAGATTAACAGTAATATCCAAATACTTTTAACTACCAAATGACGAAAAACGACGTATAATTTGTCACTTTTTAAGGTAAACTTTGGTATTGATATAAACAAAATGCCACAACTCTGCACATTATGAGGCACATTATCAAGTCTTATTACACAATCCTTCCCCATCCTAACAAGTGTAAATCTCATCATATATACCATGCCAAAAACAGTCAAATGGGGATTAAAGGGTCATAACTCTGTAAATATTTAGGTGTATAATCAAATATTAATATGAAATATTCTGTCTTTTTCAGAGATATGCATACTCAAGCACAGATAAACTAGCAATACCTGCAGTCGTATGTAAAAATGTGCAATAGAGACTGAAAAAAATGACCGACAATCGGACATATCTACAAACTACAGTTCCCATCAGTGGTACTGATGGAGTCACCCTTAACTCTATTTGTGTTGGTGTAAAACATTAATTTTCCCTGTTGATTTGCCCTCTGATATGACTATGACTCTGAATACCTATCTGTGTGTTGCAGAAAGATATTCCAATTCATCATTACAAGCCATGAAAAAAATATTGTTTCTTGTGAAAAGAAAAAAAAACCAATATTGTAAGAAAAAAATCATAAATACAGCTACAAAAAAACATTACCTGTCCTAATTCCTCGACAACATTCTCCATGTATGATGTCTCACTTGGCTGACTGATTTCATCAAACACTTTGTCCTCTTCCTCCTCTGTATCTGACTCCGTATCAGTCTTTAATTCCTCCCTGTCTGTCCGACTATCTTCCTCAAGATCTGTAACATAATTTACAATCTTAACAAGTTGTAGAAAGGGGTTTTATGCAGATTTCATATGGTTATATGGTGAACCATGTTAAGTCTAACTTCAAATCTACCTAACAATAGGCTGATTTCTGATAATTAGGTCATCTATGTCTTAGGCTGTTGTCTATCCTTCAGTAAGCCCATGTCTGATAATAAGCCCATCCATATCTAAGACTGTTGTCTATCCCTCAGTAAGACCATGTCTTGTAATAAGCCCATCCTTATCTAATGCTGTTGTCTACCCTTCAGTAACCACATGTCTGATAATAAGCCCATCCATATCTAAGGATGCTGTCTATCCTTCAGTAAGCCAATGTCTGGTAATAAGGCCATCCATATCTAAGGCTGTTGTCTATCCCTCAGTAACCCCATGTCTGGTAATAAGCCCATCCATATCTAAGGCTATTGTCTATCCCTTCAGTAAGCCAATGTCTGATAATAAGCCCATCCATATCTAAGGCTGTTGTCTATCCCTTCAGTAAGCCAATGTCTGGTAATAAGCCCATCCATATCTAAGGCTGTTGTCTATCCCTTCAGTAAGCCAATGTCTGGTAATAAGCCCATCCATATCTAAGGCTGTTGTCTATCCCTTCAGTAAGCCCATGTCTGGTAATAAGCCACTGTATATTTCATTTCAAAGATTTCCATATCTTATCCTATGCTCAACCCCCTGATATAGAGAATATATGTTACCCTCCCCGTCCTCTAAATCTATTACAGGAAAATAGAGTTAAAAAGATTTCATACATGTATATTTCAATTGCCAGGAGTACAAGTAATGTATGCTTCTTCAGCAACAGCTGTAGAAGGTGCAAATATGTTAGGACAATGGACAAATATCACATGGATATGACAACTCACCTACACCAGCAAAATGTTTCTCACAGTCACTATCATTCAGTTGTTCTTGTTCTGTTGAAGGGGGTAAGAGGGTGTCTGGAGTATCAGGGTTCTCTCCCTGTACCAGGTGGGGGTCTTTCTTCATGGACTTCATCAGCAGCCCAGTACACCGCAGGGCCAAGTCAAGGGCATCCATCCAACACTTCCCTGTATAATATACACAGTAATTTACATTAAAAATAATTCAATAGTAGCTTAATACACAGCACAGCAACAAGTCAAGGGTGGCCAACCAACACTTCCCTGTATAATATACACAGTGAATTACATTAAACATATTTCAATATTAGCTTAGTACACAGCACAGTAGGGTGTCTATTCAACACTTCATTGTTTAATCAGGTTTGGGAAAAACCACAAATTTGAGTGCAATTTTAATCGGGGTATGGATATGTCACTAACAAAACACCAAAATTGCTAAAACAGTAACTTTGACACTCTCCATCTGAATAACAATCAACCGCTTTTTCCTAGTAAAAGTAAGGCAATTCACTTACCAGCTGATTCTGACAGGGCCCGAAAGATGAGGTAAGAGTATGGTAGTGGCTGAACGATGGCTCCGATTGTCTCCCCTTTTGGTCCCTGTAAAATAACAATGGCATGGTTTATTTTTGGTGTTATTTAGAATTTTAAAAAGCAATGAGGTAATGCTATTAATGGTTCAAGATAAGAAACAAAGCTTATTATTACCAATGTATAGAAATAAAACTGAAATAGCCAAACTCTTTTACTTTACCACATTTGTCTGTCAATCTGCCCATCTAAGTAATAAATCTAGCTCATATATATATCAACATTATAAAGTTTGTAGCACGACAGAAATACCTTTGTAGCCCAGATGGATTGGTCGAGAGGATGGAAGAGTTTGAAGCAGAAGCCGTCCTTCTTAGAGGGTCGCTCTATCAGACGACACGTGTTCAGGAGAACAGTACCCACCCAATGGCTACTCTGTAAAGCAATTTGCATGTACTTAATTGAAAATGAAGAACGGTGGCAAAGTGTACTTAACTGATGATAAGGATACATTTATCAAATTTTCATAAACTCTGATGCATTTCAAAGACTATTGATGGAAGCTAACATGTATTACAACAAAACGACCTAAAACCAGCATTTTCCTCCCTTGGACATATCCCTCATCTCTAAGTAATAAAAGGACCTACCTTCTGTTTCTCGCTCTTGTACAATACTAGGAGTCCAGGTTTTAAAACACACCACAGCTTGGTCCAGCTTTTGAGCGTTCCACGAACCTTAAGCCAATCAGCAAGAACAATCACAGAGGAATCCTTGTGGGTGCTCATCAACTCCTTGGTCGCCTGTTTCTTCTGGTTGCGGTAGTACTTCTTTTGTACCTTGTGGACCAAAAGCAAGTTACTCTTAGAATAGCGACTAAACACACTATTGGAACAAAACTTGGTGTTTCACAGTTATCCGTCATAAGTTTATATGGTACTTACTTAAGCCAGGTATCAAGATCATCAATAAAGATCATTGAGAACCTCACTGTATGTCTGGAAGAAAGTCTACAAATCACCACAAGGAAGCTTATCTAACATTAGTTATTGTAGAAGCTAGTGTGGGCAGACACATTGACCATCTGGTCTGATAGATAGCTGAGTTTCTTTGTACCCAGTACTTTTATTCAACTTTCTTCACAATAACAAATCAACTTGTTCATTGATACAAAACTTGACCTCGATTATTGGTGACTTGTTTTTTAAGTAAATAACTTAAAAAAATTTTTGCAAGTGGCATTCATGGGCATATGAATGCCAACCAGAGGACAATTTAATGAAGCATGTAGTGATTCAAGGTGAATTTGCCTTTATCGAGTAAGCATTCAAAATGCTAAACTCAATACTTATCTTTATTTTCTTATATTAATAACTACCATTTTCATCTTGTTTTAAGGAATATCAAATTGTTCACATTATCTATATTATCCCTATTACACTGACTGTTCATGATCCTGTGTAGTACACAACAGACTATGCCATACAAAGATAAATATAAGATTAAAAGATATACACAGTACTTAGAAAGATCCCAAAATCCAACTTATGTCATTCAGGTATAAAATGCTGGCTAACTAGATTTGGCCTATCAAACAGGAAAGGAATTGAGCATTCAGTTAACTTTCATGTCTTTCTGGCTGATGTTGCATTTAAAAGATAACTTCAATATTAAACTTAATCCTCATTTTTAACCAGACTAATGAAGATTTCAACATCCAGGTGATAAGACTCCAATGGTGATGAAAAAAGATTTAATCTTTTTTAACAAAAAACTGTTTTGAACCTTCTTTGCCCTTGCTATTTAATACCCATATTTAACAAGAAAATTCTGTCAGAAAACAATTTTAGCAATGATTTTACTGCAATTTGTGATGTATAAACTATTTTTTGTTCATCTGTAATGTTATATAGAGCTAATTCTACTTTTTATGTGTTCATATATATGTATGTCAGAATGAAGATAAACAAAATCATTCTGAAAATTGCAAAATTGATTAAAAACCATTTTTTTTTCATTTTTCCACAAATATCTGATTAATCAGAATGTTTTCATTTCACAAAATCATCTACAAACATTCAATGTGTGATAGCAACAAGACTTTCACTCATTGCAAAATAAATAAAATTTAATTTAGAAAAGACAAAAATAAAACGCATTTTTAAAAAACATTTTGCATAATAAACATACCTTCAATGATTCTCGTTTGGACATTTTTGAGGGGGTCCCTGTACGTTTCTCAGCAGGAGGGGTAAACAGCTTCGATTCGGACTGGGAAAAAATCAATCAGTGTTATTTACATGCATTATGTATGTAGATTCAGAAACAATAGATCACTAACTAACTTGGAATACATGGTATTGGTTTAGCCTGAAATTTTTCCAATTGACTCAGTGTGCAGGGGTAAATGAAGGGATAAACCAATATCAAGTTTTGTTATTAATTTTCTTTATTTTTCAAGGAAATTATGTACCTGAACTAATATCACATGTTTTATACTTGATCTAAGGAAATGAAATAGGAAATTTGTAATAACATCTCATAGTCTGTGGACATGACAAAATGTCTACATGTCACAATCTCTTCCTGGTACATGTACGTTATAGAAAACATCATTATAACTATCACAACACTGAGAATATTTCAAAGAAATTCATTGCAACAAAAAAACTATAACAACATTGTGAATATTTCAAAGAAATTAAGTGTAACAAAAAACTACACTGATACTTCAGCTGGTCTTGTACATTAGTGTGGAAAGAAACTTATCTGAAAAATTAACTTCCTCTCTTTCGGAAATGTTAACAAAATTCTGGTGACAGAAGACTGAAATAAAATACTTACGCTGGCCCGATTCCTCTGGAGGGAAAAGGAGGGTGAGGACAATGAAGAACTCAACATTGGACTGCCTAAATCTAACAACAGGTCGTCTTCATCTGAAAATATGCACACTGTATCATCAGTACAGGAGAAACTGGCAGGAAAAAATGAATATCCTTCGTTATTATACAGGAAATCAACAGGAAAAGTACTCTTCAAGACAATTAAAGAATCTTATCATGACTACACACATCGGAAAGCAGTGTTGGCTGTGTTTATGGACATCCTGTAAAAATGATAATATAATTACAGATATATAACTATGTTTCCAGTTACCTTGTTTAGTGGTTAGTATACAGTAGCAATAAATATATACTTGAAGGTCTCATCCACAGTTTTGTTAGCTTTGTATCACAGTTTTAGGATGTTTTTCTCAACAATATTTTAAACAGAAGAACAAGTAGGAAACTTTTCTGTTCTTAGAATCAAAATATTTCACACCCTATCGAAGATTGCTTTGGTAGTTTTAGAGACTGTATATAGATATTGTTATACAAAATGTATGAGTATTGATTAAGCTTGGAGCAAGTTAGAAAGACTTTGTGTGTTTACAAAATATCAATACACAACACATGTTACATCAATACCATTGTGTGTCCAATATAGCACCACAAATGGACAATATTGAATGCCAGGTGTGTAAATGGAAATCTCCAAAGAACAGAATTTGACTTTGTATTGGTATGTCATGTGTCTTGATTGAAACAATCACTAAATACTCAAAACAAAACAGTTGATTATATAGATACTAAATATTATCTTTCCCATTGAAACTTTAAATACCACTGCCAATGGACTGTTCATTACAAGCTATTTATTATGTAAGTCATAGCTCTTAAACAAATGGCCATGGTGGCCGTGGTAGCCGAGTGGTTTAGACGTCTGACCATCTTTATCACAAGCCCTCCACTATTGGGTCACGGGTTTGAGACCTACGTGGGGCAGTTGCCAGGTACTGGCCACAGTTTGATGGTTTTTCACTGGGACCTCCAACTTTCCTCCACAATCCAAACCTGGCACCTCTTCAAGTGCCCCTGGCTGTTAATTAATAGGACGTAAAGCAACAATAAACCAAATCATAGCTCATTATCAAAAAAGAATACTGAGCCAGTAATCAGATAAACTATCCACAGCACTACTAAATAGACTATCCCTATAAACAGTCCACCTCAAAGACAGGCCACCTCTATAAACAGTCCACCTCAAAGACAGGCCACCTCTATAAACAGTCCACCTCAAAGACAGGCCACCTCTATAAACAGTCCATCTCAAAGACAGTCCACCTCTATAAACAGTCCACCTCAAAGATAGGCCACCTCTATAAACAGTCCACCTCAAAGATAGGCCACCTCTATAAACAGTCCACCTCAAAGACAGGCCACCTCTATAAACAGTCCACCTCAAAGACAGGCCACCTCTATGAACTGGCCACCTCAATCAACATATCACCTCCATAAACTGACAATGCACTGCACAAATCACTCAACCTACACACTATTTCTTTTAACAGATTAGTCCAACCAACAGATAACCAGACTATATAAAAACTTTATATTGCAGTTTTTCCCAATGCCAAATGAATGTATTTGAGTTACCAAAATTATTCAATAGTTTTGTTCCTTACCATATGAATGCACAACCTGTCTTTTTTTTATTGGAAATTAATCATTGCCATTTGTTTTAAAAACATCGCATGTACATTATGTAAAAGTGTTAACATAAAACATCTGGCATTTGTAAGTATTTACATATCTTACTAAGTTAAGGAACTATACATCCCGATACTGATCATAAGAACATATCAAGATATACTTGTAGGCCCACTACATTTATTATTCATTAAGGAAATAAGACCATGGTAATTAAACTATAGGCCACAGGTTAACATCCTAGTGTTCACAGCCCACTACACTACCAATATATTATATATATTTGATCAAACACCTTATTGCTTGTGGATTTGGGTAGATCACAAACTTCTGCCAGTAAAAGTTAATGAATTAATATCTCTAAGCTTGTTTTCCCATCCTATATGCATCATACATGCATGTGTAATATTATTAATTATTGAATAAATCAATATTGTTTCAACAAAGAGGTTGCTTTTCGACAAGTTTTTATTTTTCAATTTTTGTGAGAGCTAGGACCCAAACATTGATTCCTTTACACTATGACTGAGAGATAGGACCCAAACATTAATTCCTTTACACTATGACTGAGAGAAAGGACCCAAACATTAATTCCTTTACAATATGACTGAGAGATAGGACCCAAACATTAATTCCTTTACAATATGTCTGAGAGATAGGACCCAAACATTAATTCCTTTACAATATGTCTGAGAGATAGGACCCAAACATTAATTCCTTTGCACTATGACTGAGAGAAAGGACCCAAACATTAATTCCTTTACAATATGACTGAGAGATAGGACCCAAACATTAATTCCTTTACAATATGTCTGAGAGATAGGACCCAAACATTGATTCCTTTACAATATGTCTGAGAGATAGGACCCAAACATTAATTCCTTTACAATATGTCTGAGAGATAGGACCCAAACATTAATTCCTTTACAATATGTCTGAGAGATAGGACCCAAACATTAATTCCTTTACACTATGACTGAGAGAAAGGACCCAAACATTAATTCCTTTACAATATGACTGAGAGATAGGACCCAAACATTAATTCCTTTACAATATGTCTGAGAGATAGGACCCAAACATTGATTCCTTTACAATATGTCTGAGAGATAGGACCCAAACATTAATTCCTTTACAATATGTCTGAGAGATAGGACCCAAACATTGATTCCTTTACAATATGTCTGAGAGATAGGACCCAAACATTACTTCCTTTACCTCCCACTTATTACAGATATGTTGCTTGGTGAATCCAGTCTGCTTCTCCATGAACAGCTGTATTAAATGCATCTCAACATAACTTGATCTTGTAAAGATGTTGATGACCATTTGTAACCTTTCTACACCAGACATTGTGTAATTCTGCTGAGTGTAGGACAGTAAGACATGTGGCTGTGACTTTCAACACTTAGACCTATCATGCCCCAAACTGCATTAAATGATAATATATTACAAGAAACTGACACACTGACACAATCTGACATCTGTAAGACCTAGATTTAGCAAATAATTAAAAATAAAACTGTTGAACAGATGAAAGTGACATAATAAACAATGAAATCCTACCTGATTAACCAAACTTTAATGGACATACCTTAGCACCAGTACTGATAATGTAAACACTCATTAACATATGATTTGATCATATAAACACCATTTAGGTACCCTGTATGTATAAACCATGCCTGGCAATATATGAACAATTCTAATACATTCAAAATACAACTGTTTGCATATCCATGTCCCCTGTGACCAGAATAACAATAAAGTGTGATCACTGCAGTATTTCATTCAACATCATGGGCAACAGATTAAATTCATTACTGGTCACAGTTTCACATATTTTTCCTTAACTTCTTAAATGTAAAATTTCCTTCAGAAAACATGACAAATTTTCATGAAAAGTTTCTAGACTATTTATCAAAACTAATAAAGTTTTGTTTTGTATACAGACAAACTAACACAAAGGGTTAAGTTACTGTAAGTTAGCTTTTTCTTGGGTGTGGTTTACTTCTTTAAATTTCTCCATCAAACTTAACAAGAGATCCCAGAGGGATCTTGGCATCTTGATCTTTATTTGCTCTTTGAAAGTTGGTGGTCGGGTGCCACAGTTGTAATGCACTCAACTTTTACATAGCTGTACAGGGTTTGATTTCCAGAATGGACGTAAAAAGGTATCAGATGAACTGCCCAACCAGGTGTTTTCCCAGGTACTCCAGTTTCCTCCTACAGTAAGACCCATGCACACTTCCATCCAGGCCAACAAGAGTTATTAATATAAGCTTAAAGCTTGTTTTTCTATTGTTGTGAAATAAATAAAGTTTATTTTTTCATAGTTCTAAAGAAATAGCAATAACAAACTTTCAAATTCACACTAAAAGATGGCCACCTGTCAGCCATTTTGTCTTTCTGATCAGACTTAGAATCAAACTGGCACAACCAGAAAGTAAGGGGAACATACATATGAAATTTGAGAAAGTTCCATTAAGCATTTCTCAAGAAATAGCAATAATAAAATGCAAAGTAAAATCCAAGATGGTCGCCTGTTGGCCATTTAGTTTTTCTGATCAGTCTGAAAATTAAAAGGGCACAACAAAGGACCAAGAGAAACCTACATATGAAATTTGAGAAAAATCCACCCTGTACTTTTGAGTACATTTCTCCTTCAATCAAGGAGCATTTATGAAGTTTTGATTTCGAGGTACTCTGTCCTCAATTAAAGTTCTTTATATTCATAAAACAATCAACGGGACAATTTGATGAATTACAGTACCCCATCAAGATACTGCCTAACCAAGATGAACTCATACCCCAGACATTTTTTGTCTGATGAAGGTCAAAGATCAAAATGTCGGTCAGAGTGACCTATTTTGACACATTAAACACTGCCTCACCAAAGTGAACCTCTATCTCATATGTATAGTTCCAGTGACTAGTATTGTAGGAGAGAGTGCAAAGATAAGATTCATTGCAGCAGAACAACAGATCACAGGACACAAAACCTCTCCACTCTTCACAGATGGGGATAAATTAATATAGAGAAGGCTTTGCTGCTATAGACAATGTTTAAAGGTCTGTATAAAGAACCAGATCTAGATTTTATTCCATGGCACTCAGATTTTTCTATCAGCACCCCTGTTTCAAACAGTCTTCATCAAAATCAAGACTAGATAAATAAGGCCACACAAGCTGGAGATAAATAAGGCCACATAGGCTGGAGATAAATAAGGCCACATAGGCTGGAGATAAATAAGGCCACATAGGCTGGGGATAAATAAGGCCACACAGACTGGAGATAAATAAGGCCATACCGTATGGAGATAAATAAGGCCACACAGGATGGAGATAAATAAGGCCACACAGACTGGAGATAAATAAGGCCACACAGACTGGAGATAAATAAGGCCACACAGGCTGGAGATAAATAAGGCCACACAGGATGGAGATAAATATGGCCACACAGGCTGGAGATAAATAAGGCCACACAGGCTGGAGATAAATAAGGCCACACAGGCTGGAGATAAATAAGGCCACACAAGATGGAGATAAATAAGGCCACACAGGCTGGAGATAAATAAGGCCACACAGGCTGGCATATTTGCTTGAATCTTCTGATGAATATCCGTCAATATAAACTATTGAACTATTGACTGAAATGATGGATACAAAAGGAACAATTTGTAATCAACACATTATCAAAGTTTATAGTGAAACAGTTATAATTTATACAGACATATTCTTTTAAATGAATTATTGGTTTTGATTTAATGAACTGGAGTACAAGTAATTCTAAACAAAACAGACTGAAGAATGATTAGTACATAGGTGTTTGATTTTAATACTTTTCTCTGATGTAGAACTGACATTATGTCTATATTAAATAAGCAGATGTTACACATGCTTTAAGTCAAACTAGGCCATCCTAAGGTTTTAATCAATGGCATGCACAATGTTCACATGTAAATGAATGCCACAGTCACTAGCTAGACATCCTTGACAAAAGAATTTTCAACGCAGAGTCAGTGAAAATTTTCAAAAGTCGATATCAAAATACATGGTGGTTGCATGCTAATCCACTACATAAAATGGTATACATGCATTTAAAACTGTAAAACTTTCTTTTGGTTGCCATTAAATAAAATTCAGGCCCATTATTCAGTCTCTAAAACATTTATTGCTTAATTTTCATTAATTCATGATTTAATACTTTTAAATGTTCAACAAACAAGAAATCCCACAGGGATTTTGGTGTCCACTATTGTTTGATCTTTATTTGTTCTTTGAAAGTTGGATCCTTTCCTTTCTTTTCTTTTCTCTTCTCTGTTTTGCTCTCAATGATAAGTAATTTGAACATTGATCCTTTGCAGGGATAGCGATGATAATTTTAAACTGCCAACTCCAAGATGGTCACCTGGAAGCAATTTTGGGGTTTTTTTTATCAGTCCCAAAATCAAATGGGCACAACTAGGGACCAAGAGGAACCAACACATGAAATTGCAGAGAGATCCATTTTGTATTTCTCAACAAATTACAATAAAAAACTTTCAAAGTCAAAATCAAAGATGACTGCCCGTCAGACATTTTGTTTTCGAGAGAGATCCCTGGAGTGCTTCTAAAGAAATAGTGATAACAAACTTTACTATGAGAAATCCAAGATGGCCACCATTTTGTTTTTCTGATTAGTCCCAAAATCATATGGGCACAACTAGGGACCAAGGGAAACCTACATATGAAATTTGAAAAAAGTTTTTTTCAGTACTTCTAAAGAAATAGCGATAAAAAAATGTTTACAGACAGGCATACGGACAGACCACAGATGTGGGGCAATTTGAATAGCCCAACATCATCAGATGGTGGGCTAAAATACAAATGTGGAAAAATAAAATCTGTTAAAAATAAGGAAAATCTGACAATACAAGAAATCCTAGTGGGACCTTGGTGTCCACCATTGGGAGCATCATTCCAGCACTTCACAAGATAACAAGAGTTGTTTATGAAAGGTGAATGACCAGGGATATAAGGCAATTAAAACAGACCACCACCTGATGGTAGTGGGCTTAAAATGTCATTCTTGGTCATTTAAGATATTATTGGAAAATTTTTGGGCTTTGGGGAAAGAGGATGAGATTTTCCTATACAAAATAGCACATTCTGAGAATTTCAATGCAATTTCCAGCAAAAACTGGAGTAGTTCCCCCGTAGTCCTTATATCTCTGTAAAGTGGTCCACTTATAATCTGTTTACTACTTTTAAAGCAGAATGACTCACTTGTGAGCTGTCCATTATTTTTCAGTAGCCAGGTTCCCGAGGATACCTCACCACCGCTGGAGTGTCGGGACATGCTGCACCCTAAAGCAGCTCAAAGTCAGTCTACGTTTGTGTTTTCATTATCTCATCTTCATTACCACTTCAAGCTGGAAAAGAATAGACAAAGAAACTATTACACAAACTGACACAAACTATCATCACAAGCTGGGGTGCAAATTGTGTCACTCCACAAATGCTGCGATACAGATTTTGTCAACATATACCAAAATATTCAGCATTAATAATAATCTTCATGACCTATTTACTTTCTAGTCATTTCCAATGTAGACAATCCTCATCATTCTCCCATATGCATGGAGGTATCACACTCAGGATACATACCTATATACATATACATATATATATGTATATTATACCAGTATATACTTAGCCCTTTTTACAACAATTGTTCTTTCTCACCGAATTGAATTTTTTTTTTTATTATTGAGTTGTGGAAAAATATTTTTGGGTTATCATGGGTTTCTATGACAAGAAATTACAAAAATATTTAATACATTTGCATAATATGGAGGAATCCTTGCCTAAAGCTAGATAAATCGATATTTCAATTTTTTTTAAAATCTAATTCTTTGAATGACTTAATTACAATTTCATGTTTGAGTGCTACATTCAAATTTACATCCCCTCAAAAATACAAATCGCCGATATAAACAGAGGCATTTACTATAAGTCTCTGATGCAACAAATAAGAAAATAAAATCAATCCATTTAAGGTGTAAGATTTTAAAAATTTTGAGATAACATTAAAAGAAAATTTGAAAACTTTTCGATTTTTTCACCCTTAAGATATCAATTATTTATCATAATCCAGGACCAAGTTTTGGGACCAGGGCCGAGAATGGGTACGGCATACACCAGTGATCGGTAACATTAAAGAAAAGATGGCAAGTGTTGTGGAAGAAAGCGAGCACCTTAATGTTAATATGGAATTTCAACAATGTAAAGAGACATGATCAAATGACATTATGTGTGGACATGGCCATGGTTGTTGTATACTGCCACAAGTGTAAATTGTGCAATATTGGAAAAGTTATTGAGTGACCCATAAAAGACAAAAATGTATTTCAACCAGACAGAGAAATGTCTACTTGGCCATTTCTACATACTGGTGTATTCCCAAATTCGTCAGATCTTAACTTGGTAATTACTTCACCAATCTCATTCATCAAACACCGCATTAGAAAGATAAATATTTCTCTTAAAGCTAATGTATGTGTTACTAGGATCCGAATTCTGTGGTTTTATTATTGGTTTACATATTTCGGCTTACTACACTTGCCATCATCAGAATCACTCTATCTAGCCAAAACATGTAAACCAATAACACCACAGAATTCAGATGTTGATAGTCAATAGTAGTAATGTATGGCATTAATATGACAAAGTTGTGTTGTCAGAGTTACAACATTGCCTCTAGGTCAACATGTAATTTACTTGTATAAACCAGGATCATGTAATACTGAGGGATAAGAAACTACCTACATATTTTTGTTATGTTACAGCATAGACGTTTGAGTTAACTTGCCTTACTGTGCTTATAAAACCATTTTGTTACAAAAGTGAGATTCACTTCTCACCCCCAAAAAAAAACCTGCAGTGGTCAAGCTGATCAGCGTAGAAGTGGCATGAGGTTAGATAACAACATAGAGAAAAGAGGATTTCATGGCTCAGTGCACAAACACTAAACCTCATGCCATAAAAGTTACCAATGGGCTTAGTTACTTATCCCTCCATATTATACGTCCCTATCAACACAAGTCTTTCTGTCGTGTGTATATGTACATATGAACTCTGCACATTGTAGTTTGTTGTGGGTTATGAAATCTAGCTAGTAACCATGAAAATTGGGTGTGTTTATAGCTAATAGATACAGTTTGTGGAATCGCCTACATAGTAGTCGCGACAGAATATCTTATTTGTTTCAAGTTGTTATATATGACAGTTGTATAACCATATTTCAATCTTGCGGTTTCTGACATCTGATAAGTTTTCAATAATTATTTGGTGTCGTCTGCAAAGATCTTGATAAAGCAATATATAGAGTAATTGAAGCATTCGTATCATATATAAGGGAAAAATTATTAGTCTGAGAAGCCAAATGCTGGATACATGAAATATTTCGGAACCTGATAAGCCTAATTCATAATTCAGAGAATCTGTCATGTCTGTCATTCGCAGAGTTCGCTTGACGGCTCGTGGTACACGTTGTAGAACTGTTTTATCATTTTAAATGTATCAAACGATTTTAAAGGGCCGTGTATGAATTAATTGAATAAAGCAGTCGATCGCTATAAAGAAAAATAAAATGCAACATTTTACCTGAACTGTTTTCCTTCATAAATGATTTTTACACGAATTAGCTAGGACATCTTTACAGGAAGTGCCCCTAAAGCGGTGGTACTAATTACAATCTTGCACCACCCGGTACTGCCCGGTACGGCCCGGAAACTTTTTTTTAACCGTCCGGGCTTTTATTTGCATATATATCGTTAAAAGGTTGTCCTATATGTAAAGATATTAACAAAATCAATATAATAGTAAAATATGGTGCAAAATTATCAGAAAATGTTCGCAACAACCAGGGACGTATATGACATATACGTCCCTGCAACAACACAACATAAATCCTGGTATTCGCAACACCGGAACACCTGGTCTTATTCTCATTTTCCTTTTTGAAGAGCGCCCTTGTAAATGTTTTGCCCTAGTTTTATTGAATTTGAGTTGGATTATGCTTATGTTAACATGCCTATTTCAAATTACTGATATCGTAACAATGCGCTCGCACCCTGTTATTTATCTTTACGATAAAATCAACTGCATTCACATACAAAGTTATATAAATAATGCAGTTTCACCACAAATAAAAAATAAATCAAAACATAGTGGTGACTTTCATCATGTGTGTTATTAACGAGAGTAGGGTCATGGTCCTCAACTCAACTCGTACAATTCAACATGATGTGTACCGATCTAAAGTAATTACGTATTAATTTATATATAAATATATACAAGTAGTTATTCCGGCGAGACTCCTTACAGTAAAATACATCATAACTGTACCAATACTTTAAAACTGTTGAGCTAGGGCATTGGGATCTTTCACTCTAGATATAAGCCAGAGCAGATGGAGCGGTGTCACAGAGGGCGGTCTGGTGGCGCAGTGGTAACGCACTCGTCTTTCAACAAAAGGTGCCGAGTTCGATTGCCCGAATCCGGCGTTCGATTGCCCGAACGGGTTTGAAAAGGTAAGCGTAACCTGCCCAACTACGTGGTTTTTCCGTCCTTTGTTTTGTTTTGTTTTTCTGGGTTCTTTCTGCAGTAAGACCCCTCGCGCGTTTCAATCTGGACAAACTGGCAAACGTGTTTAGTAAAAGATGGGAAAACTAGTTTTGAATCGTTAATAAGTTAACCTTATGTAAATGCTATCTCCCATTTAAATATCTTTAAAGATTTTTTTCTCGTTACTTGTCAGACGCGCGTCGTGGTGATCATTCTGATATCCCAGAGTTACCGCCCTTTGTTTAAACCTTTATAAAGCGACAGACGCTTGTTTGAATCTGAAGAATATCCGCCAATTAAAGCGTTGTAGTTGCTGCAGACAGTATACAACAGCAGGGATGAGTAATTCATGTACATATTAAATACATAAGAGGATAGAATAGACCAATTATTTTTTGCTCTATTTCTTTTCAAAGTGTAACCAGTAAGATTTAACACTCATTATAAAAACATAGCCTAAACATAACCTAACCATCCTACACGTATAGTGATTCTAATTCTTTCACAACTTAATTCATCATAGACATCACCATCATATCATAATATTTTCTACTTCAACATAACTTATCTTAAAATCTCATGACCCTTTATATCACCACGGTCACGCAAATCACATATATAACTGCAAAAAAAATCGGAATAGTGAACAGGTGTATGCGCCGGAGTAGAGTGGATTATAACACTCTAGTATCCTCTGATACGGATGCAGACCACCCCCTCACGTCGCCAGAACACGGACGCTCGTCGGTGAGACGATGTCCGGCAACAGGAGGATTCACGGATACTACAAACCAAAGAGTCATACATTGCAAAAATGTTGTCAGCATTTGTGTTAGGACACAGCTTTGTCAGAAGACTGTCAGAGTGGATACAGTGAGAGAATATAGCCCCATCCCCTGAACTGCATGCCCTCATGTACAGAGTTGGGGGTAAGAAATGACAGAAGAACTGTCACCTTATCAGACAAGCCAGTCGTAGTATTTCTCCAGTTTGGAGCGAATGACATCGTTTGTGTAACGGCAATATATCATCGGCAGTTAGGCGTTCCACAAAACGCACACTAAGACACACGTAAGCAAAGAAAATAAACTTTATATTATAACAGTACGGCGGTAGTGGCCAGTGTGATTTCCATTTTTGAAATCACGACTTTCTGAAGAATAGTCTTTTATGTGAAGATGGAGTTCATCTGAACAGAGTTGGAACCAAGAATTTTTTTTTTTTTTTTTTTTTTTGTCCAGGCTGCAAATAACCCCTAAGTTAAAACACAACAATAGGCAACTTTATTTTCATCTGAAATTACAGATATAGATAATTTAATATTCAATCAAACATCTCCACTAGATTGTATGTGCATCTACGGTATTTCTCATTCTCAAATTATTGTATTAAGAATAATTGTAATTTAATTCAGTTAAGGCCTATTTTTAAGACATTGTAACACAAAAAAATGATATGCAGCTGACAAATGATTGATCCCGGTATTTCAATTAAATGAATTTAAAATGGTTATAATTTTGAAACTTTGAAAAGTTTTTAACAATTTATCGATTTTGCCAATGTTATTAATGTCCGTCTGGGCAATTGATGGAAAATGAAGCTTAAAGATGTGGTGTGATAGATAAGAAATACGTACGTATGAAATTATGTTAAAATTGCACGAATTACGGCCGCCGCGTTGTTGCGATATTTGTGATTTAAAATGATAATAGTTTGGTAGAAACCTTGGAT